ACGCAAAGCTAACTTTAAATATAAAAGGTTTTTGGATGTATTTTTTTCTAACTTTAGTAAAGTCGTTCACTTTAGAGGGAAGCATCTCTATAATCATAACTGAGAGTGTCAGCTTTGGAAAAGCCAAATTAATTCCAGTCATGGGAATGTGATCTTTTGCGTACCAACTCGTATAGATAAAATATGTGGGAATTTGCTGAAAGGATATGTGTAAAAAGCCAAATGCTTAGCGCCACTTGTTATTTATTTCAAGACATCGATGAATACATTAACCTAATTAAAACCAAGCCAGAAACAAACCCTTAGAAATGCAAATTATTTGGAAATTTGCCAAAAGCACTAATTGAAAACTTTAGCAGTCAAATTACTTGGAGCACGTGTCAATAAATGCAACTGAATGTAGCTTATTTAATTACTTATCTTGGATAATATAATTTGTTGAGCAGACTTAAGTAGGAGACAAATTTTGGGGATTTGGTTAACCAAAGTGTCGAGTGCAGGTGAAAACTTCTGAAATATTGACAAGCTCTTAGCCTGAAAGTTTGAAATTGCCACTGTGCAAATGTTCCTTAATTAATGGCATTTAAATAAAGTATTAAGTATAAGCGTATTAATTATTGACAATATTTTGTGCAATTGTCAATTGGTCAATCGTTAAAGAATCTGAATGCGGCAAGATGTCGTTGACACTAATTAGCATTTTAAAATTGGCAATAAGTTAACGCTGCTTCAACAGCAACTTCAACTCGGCTGCCAACGTTCGCAATTGAAGCCGAACATAACAAACATGCTGTCAAGTGCAATAAATAACAAGTCTATGAATATACCATGTCGATATGTCGTTGAGCGCATCGCAAAGAGATGCTGTGCCAGACACTGTCTGGCGTCATCAGCAACAACAGCAGCAACTACAACAAGACAAGACAAAAAAACGGCAGCAGCCACAAAAATGTCAAATGTAAGAGCGAAAAGTCCAAGAGCCACAGCATTGAGCAAAGACAAAAATAAAAGTTTTACAAATACTATAAAATTGTATTCAGCTATTGAAAAATTTGCACGCTTTGATGTTGCTGTGTTTGCCTAACAAGCAGGAAGTCGCGCAGTGGCTGCCGCTCATGCTGGAGATGCCACTGCCTCATCACAAAAATACACACAAACATACACAGACACACAATAACACACACACACACACACACACACACACAAGTAACAAGCGACAAAAAGATGCAGGAAGCAACAACTGTTGTCGACTTCCTACAAAATGCTCCCGTCGCACTGTTGGCACCCAGGGATTCACAGCACCCACCGGCTGCGCAGCTGATTGCGTGAGTTGATGCTATCTTAATCTTTCAGTGTCAACAGCGAAGTCAACCTCATGGTAGCTTTGCAACGCAAAGGATGCCAGATCCAGCTGCTTTCCTGGTATTTCTTATGTAATATGCGTGCACCGCTAATCCTCCGTGATTGAACACTAATTGCCCGCCAAGGAACGAACACTGCCAGTCCAAACAAATGGCTTAAGCAATGATCCACTAGCTGGAATCTTCTTGAAGTTACTCTACACTATGCAAATGCGGTTGGCATACAACTGAGCCAACTAAGCTGTTAATCCAGCTTGGTCAAAGGAATAGATTTGGAAATCAGAAAACGTAGTTCATTGGTAGTTAGGTGCATCTTTGAAAAGCTACTTCGGATAATTTGTGCTGACTAGGTATTAAGTACATCGAATTAAAATGTAATAGTGATATAATAAATAAGTATAAAATGTTAGCATAGACCTATGCATACTCGTGTAACAATGAGATTTAAATATATTATTTGCGTCTCTCAAAAGTTAGGTAACCAGATAAAATAAATTTAAAACAAAAAATAAAGTACGTCTAGCTCTCATTATTATAAAACTGACTTTTCCATAGCCCTGTCCAAACGGGGTACCCTAAATGGAATGTCCGCCTTGCTCTCTTGTGTCGCTTTAACTAAACAAAGCGTGAGATTTATCTACTGGTTGCAGTCAGCCTCTCTTTTTTCACTTTACCCGCGGCTCGTTCGCTTTCCGCTGCAATCGGAAGTTGAGCGTAAATCGTTTAGGCGCTTGAAATATTCAGAAAATTCAGAGCTGTCTGAACTGAACTGTGAAACTGAATGCAAATCGAAATGCAAATTCAATTGCTATGCATGCTGTTTTCAATGCCCGCGAATCCCCATCGGAATTCACATCGCGAATGCAATATAGCCAAAGAGCTAAGGAGACTCATTTAGAGGCGTCTGTCGATTGCTGCAGTTGCTCACTGCGATTGCCTGGCAGTGAACAGCAGCATCTGTTTCTGAGGTATTTAATTGATTTGCGGGCACTCGCACAACTTACGACTATCATAACAATAAAACCACTTAAGGCCAACAAGCCCAAACTGTCGAAAAAAGAGCGCAAAACATTTTTGCATATGTTGCGCTGATCGGGTGGAGAAGTTTCGTCCCCCTTGTGACGGCGTGACTGGATCTGGAGTCGGGTTACGCAAGCGGAATTCAAGGTGAAATCGCCGGCATTTGCTTAAAGGCCGGAAATGCAGTCACAAAGCAAAAAAGTGTAATATTGCAGTAGCTAACAACAAATGAGATTTCATTGGCAGTGTATTGCAATCACATTTAGATTTGAGCCTTATTGCATTTGACATATGAATAGTCTGCTAACTTAGTTTTGACACCTAGTCCGATTAGTTAAACCACGGAGAAATATGACAACTACGTCTACTATCTTGTCTTAAATAGCCACTTTTTGCATTTATATTTATATTGTAAATATTGAATTATATATTTTTTATAAGCCTAAAAAGAAGATAAGTTTAAGAAAATTAATTTACTGTTAAATCTTATTAAATATAAATACTGCAGACAAAAACCATAATTATTAAAGACTGGCTGGTTTGTCTGATGCTTAATTTAATTGGTCTAATCCAAATATTTGATCGAACAATATAATAAATCGGTTTATTTTGTAACTACCTCTCAAAGCACCAGTTACATTAAATAAATTAAATCGAATCGGAAAGAAAACACAACAATTGACCCGAAAATGGGCCATTAACTGAAAAGAGCGTTGGGTAATTTGTTCAATTTTCTCCAGCAAATTTTTAAAAGTTCATTGAACATTCACTCGATAAAACTCAATAAACTGAAAAAATGCGACAGCAAGAAAATGGTTTAAAACATAAAGAGAACTCAGATTAAAGGCCGCTAACAACAATAATAATAGCACTCAGTAATAATTCCATTGAAATTACATTTTATTATTTTTGTTTGCGCAAAGAGGTGACGATTCGCAAAAACGCCTGTTTTTTATTTTGGGTTTTTATGACAAAATTACGCAAAATGCTAATTTCCGATTCGTAAGCGTGTGGTCCAACACACCATGAAAGTCATGCGACTATTAAAAAAAAATAAAAGTTATAAAAAGCTAACGAATAAGAATACTAAATTGCTTGAGAGTTGCATGACTGTTGAATGCCCTGACTTTAGTTTAGTTTTTTGTTAATCAGATGGGCCCTTAACTGCATTTCACAAGCAATTCATGGACTTGGGATTGGGAATTATCTGTGCTGGAAATCTGAAAAGACGCGTAGCGAATTTGTAAAAAAACCCACTTGTACAGTAGTCATTGGAGTGTAGTGACTCAACATTATATGATATATTCCAACTATAACTTGGATGTATACTCATATTTTTTGTTAGCAATTATTTTATAGGACCGAGATATTTTCGAAACAACAAATCGATGCATAATAATATATATTAAATTATTTTGAATATATTTCAATAATAGTATGACTGTTTTATTAGTGTATTTTAATAATTAAATGAGAAAAAAACAACAAACTATTTCTTAATGATTTTTACTGTACTGTTGTAGTACGCGCACAGTGTCACAATGAGTTCCATTTACACACACACACACACACAGGCACACACTCACATTTGCTCTTATTGTGAACTTTATTTTGCACATACTCGCATTTATTACAGACATATGTGTGCATATACTGAAATATATAATATAGTACATAGAGATTGCCGCACAATGGCAACCCAAATTTTAATGGAAGGAAAACCCACAACAAACACGCGCACAAATTATTCAAATTGCCATTGTTAACAGCTAGACAGATTCCCGGCTAAGACTTGCCGAGATTTTCATATGGTTTTCACTTTTCGCTAGCTGGAAGTTTGATCGTGAGCACAAGCGCATTTTCATCAACAGTTTGCCCCGAGGAAAGCCAGCAAAGCAGCCGCAGCCGATCACTAGGCCTGCCACGGCTCGAGTGCGAGTTCGAAACACTCTGTGGCAGCTGGGAGATGCGAGTTGCTTGCTGCTAACCGATAGCTGGTAGCTTCAAGCGAGAGCGAAAGTGCACGACATTGGGCTCTGCAGCTGGAGAGTGCTGAGCCCAACTACTCTCTGCCAGGTCTCTGCCACATATCCGACAGCGGGAAATCGCTGGTAGGCTGATGATTTTGGCTACAGCGGCTACATCGGCCTGTGCGGTAATAAGTTGATTGTGCTGTAATTTCGGTTTCACTTGCCCGTCCTACGCTGAGATTGAGAGACTCGCTTAGGCAGACAAAGAGATATCCAAAGAGAGAGAGTGTGAGAGAGAGAGAGAGAGAGAGAGAGAGAGAGAGTGAGAGAGAAAGAGAGAAAGAGAGGCACTGATCATTATTGGCCAGCTCGTTGGCCAGCTGTATTGCTACGGGCCTCTGCCCCACACATGCGCAATGCCCAAAAAGTCGCATCATCATCATCGTCATCGTCATCATCATGATCGCTAACCTCTCCCAGTGTAAGAGTATGCGTGCAATTGTGTATGTGTGTGCTGCTGGCCGACTCTGTGCGACTGTGCGACTGTGGCATCTATGTTGCTGGGATTTCTGTATAAATTGATGATGCGGCTGCATTGGTTCGTCAGTGAAACATTTGATTTGGTCTAATAAACATCGGTGAACCGAGTCCGAGTCCGAGTCAGGATAACAACATAAAACGTGAGCAACCATCTCCATCTCCAACACCAACTTGAGCAGCCAAACAAGCAGCAGCAACAGCAGCAGCATCATACCCAACACCCACACTACAACTTAACAAGAATCTTCTTCTATACTCCCACACCAATACACAGCACAGACCCAGGATTACTGTGACAGTGCAAGTGTGTGCGTGCTAATCCGTTACATCCGTTACATCCAATCCAATATCCAAGTACGCGTTTACTTCGATTTCGTGTTAACGCAGCCATGAAAACCTTCATCTTAATGTCCTGTCTGGCGCTGGCCGCGGCGCGCCCCGAAGCGGGCTACAACTATAACCGTCCCGGAGGCGGCGGTGGCTCCGGTGGTGGATCCCACGGTGGCGGCATTGGCGGCTCAGGTGGCTTTGGCGGCAGCTTCGGCGGCGGATCAGGAGGCTTTAGCGGTGGCTCCGGAGGCGGTGGCTTCGGCGGCGGAGGCTCCGGAGGCGGTGGTTTCGGCGGCGGAGGCTCCGGTGGAGGCTTCGGTGGCGGATCAGGTGGAGGATTCGGCGGTGGATCGGGCGGTGGTTTCGGTGGCGGATCCGGTGGTGGATTCGGTGGCGGATCCGGCGGTGGTTTCGGAGGCGGTACGTCAATCCAGAGCGCAAACTAGTTTCACAGCTAATATTGGACAATTTTTGCAGGCATCGGCGGTGGCTTCGGAGGTGGTGGTGGCGGCGGCGGTGGCACCACTTTGGTTCAAAAGCACATTTATGTTCATGTGCCACCACCAGAGCAGGAGGAAGTGCGTCAGCGCCCCAACATTCCAGTCGGCCAATCCCAGAAGCACTATAAGATCATCTTCATTAAGGCGCCATCGGCACCCTCGTACCAGGCTCCAATCATCCCACTGCAGCCACAGAACGAAGAGAAGACCCTGGTCTATGTGTTGGTCAAGAAGCCCGAAGATCAGCAGGATATTGTCATTCCCACGGCCGCACCCACGCAGCCCTCAAAGCCCGAGGTCTACTTCATCAAATACAAGACCCAGAAGGATGGTGGTGGTGGTGGTCTTGGCGTCACTGGCGGCAGCGGTGGCTTCTCCACTGGCGGCAGCGGTGGCTTCTCCACTGGCGGCGGCGATGGTGGTTACTCTGGCGGTGATGGTGGCAGCTCGGCGCCATCCACCAACTACGGCCCACCCGGCAAGTCCGGTCCCTACTAAGGGTCATTTGCATCACAACAACAACAGCAACAAGAACAAGAACAACAAGACCATCAAAAAGAAAAACATGAATATGAACCTTGAACTTACCACAATCAGACACATACTCGGCTCAAGCTGCTGACTAGTCCTGTCGACCTGTTGACTCGCTAACAAACAACTATTCCCGACAAGAAAAACAAAAAACAAAACACAAAAAAAATCAAAAGACAAAAGACATAATGAAAGAACTTGCCCACACTGAAAACTGCAACTGCGACTTGACACAACTCTGGACGAGAAGACTAACCCGAAAACCTGACGATTTTCTCGCCTAGGCTCTGCTAGGTTCTCTCAAACATAAATGGACAACAATTTCGTCCGTCACTTTTGTACATACAAATATTTCCGACTATCTTTCCAAACATCAAACGATATCTCACAATATCACCATTCATCTCCTTCAATCTCTCCCTCTCGCTCCCTATCTCTATCTCTCTCTCTTTTTCTCACTCTTGCCTAATCCAAGAATAATGAAAAAATGATATAGCTAATAGACGACAAGTGCCGGGTTCTCCGAGGTGGGAACCTCACTTGCCATCTGAGCAATAGCGAAAGAAGCATCAGAAGGAAAAGACAGAAGAAAATACATAGTAGATGATGATAATGCGCGAGTTGTAAAATGCTCCATTCATAATACATATATATATAAATATAAATATACTTTAATTATGTTATTAGCTTTAAGTACTTTATGCACAATAAAAAAAACAACGGTGACAAAATTACGAAAAAAAAAAACAAACAAAGAAAGAATGTTTATTATTCTTCTATGAAACTCAATTTCATTGGGAACTTTCAAAAAATTTGTTTCCATTAGCAATCTGGGCTTGGCAGAGCCTTTGCACAAATTGATTTTTGTGCTCGTCCTTAGAATTTTCATTGTACTCTTTAGTCCTCTTGCTCCTCCATACCTACTGCCCACACCTACGATTTATTGGGGTCAATAATGTCGTCTAAGCGTCACTGCAACCAAAGCGATAAGATTGAGTTCTATGGGTTCCTCTTTTCAATAGAAAGCCATAAAATGATGTATAGCCCACTTGGGCAATGTTTTTGCTAAGAGCTTTTTAGCACTTCATAAACCTGCCATTTATTTCTCATTTCAGTTTGCAAACAAAACTGTGTCAGATTTAGGTCAAGCGTTAAAATCATTTAATCAAATTTATTCGGACAAAACTCAGTTATTCACTCAACTTGTAGTCGACACAGGTGAAAAAAATAAATTAGACTCGAAAAACCGAGTGGGAAATGTATCTTGTGTATCTTGTCAAAGTTCTGAGCCCGACTAAAAACTAATTAAAAAGCAATTTATCGGCTTTGCTTTCATAATTTAAATACCAAGTTGTTGCCGTCAGCGCTCAGTTTAGTAGTTTCTAATTTTTTCGTTTCTTATTATTATTATTAAGTTTGAACCTTGTCTGTCGTTTGCCTTTTTTTGCTTTCGCGTTTATCGTTAATCTTAGCAAAAGGAGGTAAATTAACGCTTTCCGCCATTTAGGCAGAGTGGCGGATAAGGAAGAGAAAGAAAACCGAGGTCTAAGTACGGGGCAGCTGAGTCCATTTTAATTAAGTTGACTTGTGTGAATGATTTTTCCAAAGTTTTTCTGATTGAGGTGCTTGGCACAGGGTCGGCACCTTCCCTCTATGTACCCTTCCACTTAGTGGGACGCCCTTAAAAATGAGCTGGTTAAACCTCAATTGCCACGACTGAGCCAGCATTAAAACTTTACAGCTGTTCAATCGGGGAAACCCCAGCGCTGGGAACTTCAATCTGGTAACAAGCTGTAACTAGAGCTTAAAATACACTCTAAGATATCACCTCCAAAATATTTTCATTCGCAAAAAAGTTTTTAAATATATTTTTTAAATATAAATTCTATAATTAAAATATTTGAATATGTTTCAGAAACAATTATAAAAAAATTAGAAAATAAACTGTGGTTTGTCTTTTTTCTGAGTGTGTTGAGGGCGCCCGCATATTTGCTTCTAGCCACACTCTTCTGGGTAAAAGAGAAACAAAAAACTTTTACATCTGTTTTAAATTGTATTTTTTTTTTGCTTTTTTATCATTTATCACGTTTCGTTTGGTTGTTGTTTCACTTTTTAAACATTGCAATCTGCGTTTATTTTGTTTTTCTTTGTATTTTTTTTATCTGTTTTTTGGTGTAATGTTTTTAATGCCTTAAATACACAGCGTTGTCCGCAGATTCGCATTGTCATTGTCGCTCGAATTTCAGTTTCTTCCTCCACGCTACACTTTGTCACTTTCACTTTTACATGGTTGTTGTTGTTGCTGCTGTTGTTGCTGCTGCTGCTGCTGCTGCTGCTGCTGCTGCTGCTGCTGCTGCTGCTGTTACCTTTGCCCGCCAGCAACAGCAACAGCAGCAGCAAAAGCAATGGCAACAGTTGTTGTAGGTGGCCCGAAGCCATCAAGTTGTGCCGTTGCCTTTGTTTCCAGCCATGCACATATTTTATGTTCATACTTATGTCTTGCTTCCGGATGTCGGTGCAGGTGACGCCTCAAATATTGACCCAGCCAACACTGCCAACACTATCCCTCTAATCAATGGGTCATCACTCATACGATACACAACTCCATTCGCTTGATTAACAAGACAAGCGAAATGTTTAGCGGGCTGTTGACTTTGTAATTACAGCTGTTGGTCCCATAAAGTGCTAAAAACGAAAATAATGAAATTTAAATATTTCTAAATATTTCTGGCTTCAGTCCGTTTTAGTCCCTTTTTTTATTTTGCTTTGTTGGGCACTGCGACTGAAGATAGCCTGGCGTCCATTAATCAGATACGTCTGGTATACCACTTAGACCACTGTATGTAAATGAGGTTGTATGTATGTATATATGCCACCGACGTGAATAGATTGGGTGTTAGGCTAGCCTCGACCCCAACATTGTCGCAATTTAAACCGTTCTCATAGACTGGTCCTCTCGTTCACTGTGTTGTGGCATTGGGCAACAACAATTTGCGGCTGCTTTTTTGCTATTTTTACTATTGTTGTTGTCGTTGCTGTTGTTGTTGTTGCACTTGGCAATATCCTCTTACCGTCTCACATATGGGCGGGCTCAAATTACTCACACGTTTTTACCCCTTGTGGAAAATGCTTTACATGCCTTTGGCACCTGAAAATGTTTGCTTCCCTCTTTGAGCTCTAAATTTTCCACACATATAGTGGCAAGACTGAGTGTGAGTGTGCTTGTAATTTATATGCTTTCACTTTAGACCTTGTAACCCACATCTATCCGTTTACCAGAATACCGCTATTTGGCAACACTTTGTTGGCCCAAAATCTATTTGCATTTTGTTGCTGTTGCGGTTTTGGGTGCTTGCATCTTTCCCAATCGACTCTTTCATTTTGGGCAGGCCTCTTATCAAATGCTTCAAATGCATATGCATACTTCTGATTGAGTACATCTTGATAGAGACTTGTTCTGCATACGAAGCACTTTAAAGTTATCAATTGTTAAAGTGGCAAATGCGCAAAAGCAATTTTAAATCTGCACTTAAAAATCAATTTGGAAGCAGTTGTAAGACGAACAGGAAATGGCAACGATGTGAACGATTTACAAACGTATTCCAAGTGACCAACATTTTAAAATTTAAACAATATAGAAATTTGTTGAATTGAACGTAATCACATTATTACAAAATTGAGTTTATGTGGAAAAATATTATTGTATAACGAAAGCTTCAGTAAACCATTCAACCATTGGCTCAATTATGATACTCTTTCTTTTCACAATTTTAGATCAAAGCATTTCACAAGCAAAACAAACAGAAGACCGAAACGTGTGCAAAATATCACGAGATGGATAAAAAACTGCATGACCTTTATTTAAGTGGCCTTTGCTTAGGGCTCTTGCCTCTGGCGCTGGGTGGTAACTAAAGTCCAGCATCGGACCTAAAGTTTTTGGGCTCTGGTTGCTTCTGGTTGTTTAATTGACAGCTCTTGGGTGGCTTCTGTCTGCGCCTTTCTATTGCCCTTCTACTTCTACTGTCCTGCCTTTGCTTAAAGTTTATGACATTTTCGGTGCTATAATTAATTGCGCGCTTCAGCCCTCAGCCCGTTTGTGAATACGCCTCCGGTTGCGCCCAACCCTCAAGAACCTTAATTATAATGTATGTCTGTCGTTAAAGTAAAAGCCGCGTCACGTACGTTTGTGGAAGACCCACAAGCAACTCGGCAACTGCCACGAAGCATTCATCAAAGTTGAGGTGGCACGCCCATAAGTGTTGCTAGGCTTTAGGCTTTATTTTTATTTGGTTTTATCGCCCAATATGGTTTACCGACTCAATGGTCAGTCAATGGACAATGTTTTGTTCTTGGGCCATAAATTTCGTCGACTATAATTGCACAACGAAAATTCCATTTACAGTTTGGCTAACCTACGAGAACTCCCTCCTCATTCCCACTCATCTGACCAGAATTGTTTTATTTGATTATTTTTTATGACGTTTGGATTTTTACGATACTTTTGCACTCATTTTATTATGTCTTAATTTTCGTTTTCATCGTTGATACCTGGAGAATTGGCCGAGCCACTTTTGGGAGAGCAAAGCTTTTGTAATAAATAATATAATAAATAAAGTTGTTGATTAGTTTAAGTCACCGGCATTGTTATACCGCATTTCTTTTGCCACTCCATGAAAACGGTTTTCGCTGGGCTTGGCTGCACTGCAAAGCGCTGCTGGCTAACAAGTTTTTTATAATTCGAGAGCAATTTTCGAGCACCAGTTTTTTGTAATTGCCATACAATTAACACTGCCCTCCATTACAACGCTTCGCGATATGCGGGTTGACCGAGTTCACCAAGAAAGTTAAAGTTAAGCAACAGGGCACAAACTGCAGGCCATTGTCTAACTTCGAGCACGCGCTAATCGATAAGAGACTGAATTGATTAATAGCTTTAGATAATTAAAATTTCGACAGTAATGAGCTATTTTAAATTTCCTCTTTTCAATAAACGAACTGGCTACTGTATTAACAGCTTTTTCCCTGAATAAGAAAGCAATTCTATAAACTGTATATAATTATGAATTGGACGAGCTTGCATTGTTTTCCAATTTTCAAATAATTTTCTTTTTAGTTTATTAATATTTCATTGTTTTTTTTAAGCCATCATTTTTATACAGTCTTAAAAAGATTGTTAATGAATATTTAAAAGGTAAAAGAAAGAAATTTAACAAAAACCTTTAAAACTATGCCAAATTTAATTTTCTATTTTTTTTAATCAGATTTTTTTCGCACATTTTTATCGTCTTTGTTCCTCTTTCTTTTCGCCTCTAGGGGTCAGTTCCCAGCTGAGTGTAAACAAATAAAAGCAAATCTGAAAACGACGTGAACAATAATTGCAGGCGTACAATAGTATTACGGGTCTTGCTCAAAAATTGCAATCAAGTGGTTTAATGCGCTTACCTGGCCTTTTCAGGCAGCCATTGTGGGGCACGCGGCAGGGGCACAGAGGCAGAGACAGGGGCATAGGTAGGTGCGGAAGTTCGGGCAGCATTCGTACTCACGTTTCGCTGATTGTACAGTTTGATGTCTAGGCGTTTTGCCCGGCTCTTTCTTCAAAAATTAAGCCTTATGATATCAACAAAAAAAAAGAAAAAGAAACAGTTGAAATGATTTGGCTTCGTTTTTGTTTCTTATTTTGTCGTTTTTGTTTTGTCAATTGAAAGATGAAAGTTTTGGGCTTATTGTTTGTGTTTCGTCATACTTTGCATTTGACATTTATCCGACGGTTACTTCAGATATCTGCCCAACGGTCATGTTATATGTTGTGTTCAATTCGATTGATTAAACAAACTCACTCAATGGGTTAAAGCACGTAAATTGCGCAAATAGCCCCCACAGAGCTCCCACACTTAACACGAATAAATTAAATTCCTTTGCACTTAAAAATCAATCAAGTTCGCGGCCCTCATCACATTAATCAAACAAACTAAACAGCAACCCGAAGAATTTTGCTCAAGTCAAGTCTCTGAATAGACTTGACGACAGCGACGTGCCAAGAAATTTAATTAGCGAATAATTTGACTATAAACTTTGCACCTCATTTAGTCCCTTTTGCGTGTGGCACGTCCAAAGAGAAGTGGTCTGAAGGACCGACCATCACTCCAAATCAAAATAGAAATCACTTAGTTCCCACTTTGCTTCGTTCGAAATCATTTTTCAGTCTGACGTTTGCCAACGGCTGGGACCTAACTGCTTTTCGTGGGAGGCTTCGCATAAAGTGGAAATCATTTTAATAGTGTATAAATATTACAGCATGCAGTACACGAACTCATTTTTTATGTAAGCACCAGACCTGGCAGCATTCAGCTTAATGGGTGGACATAACAACTAACAGTGAGCATAAGCCGTAACCATAAACTGTAACCGGTTCATGTGACCGCGCTAAAAGTCAAAGTGTCAAATAGCTGATGCGATCTTTCGCTGCTGCTGTTGCTGCTGCTGCTGCGACTGTGGCAACTGCGGACAATTAAGATACGGCCAAAAGCCCAAATTTGAAACAAGTAATCCGTAGCAATTTGTTGGCAAACGAAACAAAATCTTAACGCAGCAAAACCAACTAATGAAATCGTTGTTATGACGACACCTGCACAATTTTCAATGCTTGCCTTGAGTCAACTGGCCAGCTGATGCCTCACATATGAAGATGCCTCAATATGCTGCAAGCTGAGTTTCCATTAAACACAATTTGGCACACTCAGTTCAAGGTTGAATTAAATAATTGCAGTTAATCAAATCGAATTTAGCCGATAAACTCTCTTTGTTCGATCAACTAAAAGTGCAACACACAATCCTTGTGGTTGTAGTAGGTCAAACTCGATACTTTGGCATGCCACATTTGCCACAACGAGTTGTTGGTTGCTTGGCAACAACAACAAATATCGAAGTTTATCGCTTTTAATAACGGATTGAATGTTGAGCTTGAGTGCACGCAACAAATAGAATGGAATTTTAGCACTCTCATTAGAAATTCGTTTATAGACGTGCAATGCGAACCAATAAGAATTTGACTTCCATAATAAACAGACTTATTAAATATTAAAACCTTTAACTGCCATCATGGAATCTTCTTCATGTTCTCTGCTGCTGACGTCGACAAAAAAATGCAAACAAGAATGCTACACGAATGATTGAATTTTAGATATCCTATATACTCACTCGTACATATTGTTACATTGTAAGCAACTTTTTTGACTTTCAGGAGAGGGCGAGTTGAATACTTAATGCGCAAGTCTGCCAACAAATGAAATCAAGATTTATTTTTTTTATTCGAACTAAGTTGTTAGAAATTAACTTAAGAAATGTATGTGCTCAAGTGCTTCAGCCTGTGACATAAGCAAAGTCAACAGATATACAAACACCTTCTTCAATCATTTTATTAATACAGGGTATTGGAAATGGACCAGTGGACCAATGGTAACAGTGGCATGCCAGTAGCCACATATAAATAAATATGTGCAACACAAGTCGCTTATGTAAATATGGTCACAATATTTGCTCGATTATGCGAAACATATAAATGTAGCTGCCCATTAAGGCAGCATCAAAATTCACTCACATCTTGCAATTATTGACATTTTGAAGTCTGCTCATATTTGGGGATTTCTTCTGAATATGACATCTAGCCAGTGATTCAGTGTCAAGCATGGTCTAGATGCTGCTTACTTTTGGCAGCTCAGCTCAACTGATTGGCAAATATTTTTTAACAGCCATGTCGTGTACTCATTTTAGCCATTAGACCAAGCCAAGGCACGTGACTAGTGCATCGTAAAACCATGTTGAAACAATGACTTAAAAGCAAGGCAGTTACTTGAAGGTTGCTCTTGAATAGTTATATGCAGACATAAATGTAAAATACATGTGCTAATTATAGATACACTTTCAATGTCTCTAAGATAAAATCTCTAACGTAACCAATTTCAAAATAATTTTGGAATATCTTTGGTATTTCTTAACTATCCGATAATGTAAGAAAGTTACATAATAAGATTCAGTATGCGTTTGATTGAATACGCTTTAAATTTTTTGAAATTGTAATATTTAAGGAAGCTAATGAAGGGATAAATGCATAGATTCAGCCTTGATGCTGATCAGGATGAACATTTACTCTTGGAGACCGGAAATGCCCTCTTCTGTTTATTAAATAAATTTCCACACCCTTAACCTATTTATCTGCTGCCTGCTACACATATTTCCGCACTCTTGTGTATAGCAGAATCGCATAAGAATTGCTTTTATTGGCCAAAAGTTGGAACGTCCAAAAAGGTAGACAACATAAATACCAACAAGTATTCGCATATATAAATATACATTCACAGAGATACATATTTAGTGGCTGAGTAGCTGTCGCTTCTCAGTTGGGCAACGCTTTCGATTTATTTTTACTTTTATGTGCTGAAATCATCTGTGCTTACGGCTTATTTATGAGCACATAATTACTCAGCCTAACACGTATGTGGCACGCCTTCGACCTGATTGTGCGTCTTAATCCTGTCTCGGTATCTTACCACTCCAAACTCCTTGTGCTGCTTCAATGCCTCCGATTTACTGATGCAACTCAGTGAAACGTCGGAGATATTTTGCTTTTTGATAAATCAGTTGCAGGTCTGGGTTGCCCTTGCCTTGTATGTATATAAATCAAGTTAGACGTTGACCCGACCGTTTAATGGACTCTCGCCATGCTGCCACTAAAGAGGCGGCCACAAATACAAACACAGACACTAAGTGACATTTTTACGAAAGACAAGATGCTGCCACATGCGTCTTGGTGCGAGCTCGTAAATCCCAAGCAAAGCGCTGAGCTGCGGAGCGCATTTTGTAAGTGTCATCAGGTGCATGAACTTTGAACCGCAAACATGTCAAAGCATCTTATTTTTAGCGTGTGGTTGGCTGCTTGACAAACCCTAAAATTAAGGTTTTATTACATTTATTATATTTATATTTTTATATGCGTTTTCTGCTTTCAGATGATTAAAATGATGCTGACGGTTGTAATTGTATTCACCAGCTGCTGGCTGCCATTCAACATACTACAGGTGGGTGGTGTTCGACTGCGATGGTTGCCAGCCGACAGCCAGTAACTTGTATCTTGGCCATTTTGGATTAATTGCGATTCTCTTGCAGCTGATGCTGAACGATGTCGAGTTTGCCAACTGGAAACCGTTGCCCTATGTGTGGTTCGCCTTTCACTGGCTGGCCATGTCGCACAGCTGCTACAATCCCATCATCTACTGCTATATGAATGCTCGATTCCGTGGCGGTTTCCTACAGATTATGTACCGTGTGCCCGGCTTGCGGCGCTGCTGCTGCTTGCATCGATATTTGCGCAGTCGCGGCGAGCGCAGCTATGAAGCAACCGGTGAGATGACCTTCAAATACCATCGCCGAAATGGTGATGGTCTAGTCAGGAAACCTAAAATACGCATTAGGTGCCTCCCTTCTCTCTAGTACATACTTACTAAATTTCAAATCTAATTGTCGATATCTGGACAGCTAACGGTTGAACCATTATGCATGATGATGTCCTTTTGGATAGTTAGTTTCTTCAATGCATGACTCACACAGTATTAGACTCTACAGTTAAACGTCAACCACTGCATGTGTAGAAACATATTTTAACCAAATATTGAAGAACAATTATTATTACATTTTTTTAAAGTATTTAATCCAATTTACGTATCGCTAAGAAACTGGTTTCTTTATTGCTCTTGCTCTTCCCCCCCTCTCTCCCTCTCTCTCTCTCTCTCTCTCTCTCTATGTGTGTGTGAACCGCAGGAACCGAAGATGCATTCCACCTACATCGTGTGAACACCTGCACCACCTACATCAGCACAAGACGAAAGCTTCGTGCGAATTCTATGCAAACGGTATGTCATCAGTTAATTATTATTATTCTATATTCATTAATCAACTGTCTAATTGCTGGCTGGCTGCAGAGCCAATTTTCATGTGCCGAGACCACTGTCTTGCGGTAGCTTCCGGTACCACGCATGACGCAGAGAAGGAACTCCGGCTCCAGCCGCGGAATGCCGCAGGTTCGTTTCAAGTCGATGGCACCAGCTACTTGAGCTCCACACAATTTTAAAGGCGTTAGAACCAAAAATCTGCTGAATCTCCATTGATAGGCATAAATTGTTAAATGTCTATATATATAGTAAGTGTATTATTGTAAATGTCGACTCAATGTGTATATGAATTAAATGTATATTAAATTAATCCATTATATTGTGTATAGAAATATGCTTTGATTAATGTATGCCATCAAAAGTAATCTTCAATTTATAAATATTCTTCATTTAATTCAATCTTAATACTGAATAAAAGATGAACAGTTGGAAAATTTAAAAAGATTAATTATTTGATTTTTAAATATAACTTTTAAATGATGTGTGGTGAATTTATATTCATGATCAGCGCAAAAGTATGCAGCACTTTCTAACATAAAAACCCCAACGGCCAACTTTGTTGCATAATTTTCTGCGCATTATGTAAATTGCGTATACGCAAGGTGGATTCGCATCAAAATGCATAATAAACCTTAAAGAGCGGCGTACACAACAAAAGAGTACCTCAGAAGATTCCATTTATTGAATATTTATAAAAATACGAGCCAAAATGACTTGTAAAAATACTTATTGCGTTCAATTGCTAGACTTAATTACAAGTATTACATGTATAATTATGTAGAAAAATCACTTGACTGTTCATAGCTATATATTTAGCTGAGCATCTGCTGCTGCTGCCTTTTACCAAATACGGCACTTGGGCTTCTCGGGATTCATGGCTGTGCCGCGTGCACACTTGAAGGTGCGCGCAAACTCCTCTGAATTGGAGAGCACTCCTTTCAGCCGTATCTGACCCGGACAATGGGAATCCTCCAGTGCATAGCGGGACGCAGCTGGTGTGTAAGTTTCACACCACAGATTGCCAAATGCGATGAAGAACAGCTGTTCGTGCGTATAATGCTCCAGACCGGGCAGCTTGAGCCGCTCAGGGCCAACTTCGTTAACGTAGAGGCGGTACGCCAAATAGGACTCCCGCATCCCGCCATTATCGGCAATATTCTCGCCCAGCGTCAGCTCGCCGTCAATCTGTAAGCAAGAATGTATTGTACAAATAATTGGCCCGTTCCCATTTCCGTTGGCCTACTTACGTATTCGCCAATATCCGATAGATAGTAGTGACTGTACTGGTCCACAAAGCATTCGGTGCGATTGACATACTCATTGATTGTCCGGTTGGACCACCATTCGACCATATTCCCCTCCCTATCGAACCGTCGTCCGCTGTCGTCAAAGCCGTGCGTCAACTCATGGCCCAGTATCGTGCCTATCGACCCGTAATTCAGGGCTCTAATAAGGAAGCGTTCGAACAAATGTAATTGAGTTGCTATCTTAAGGGATTAAAGGCCTCAAATTTGGTGCAGGGTGTGACGAGTGCAGAGTGCGCAGAGAAATGTGACCAGTGCTGCGTGAGTTATGCTCGACTAGAGTCCGCCAGAGACAATGGACATTGACCAACTTACTCGAGGCCAAGGTCGTAGAACGGATACTGTAGTATGGCAATGGGCACAGCTGTAAAAGAAAAACAAGTTTTAAAAGTTGCTAACTCTTAAATATAACTTGAATAAATCATTTATGCATTCGAATAATGAGCGCGAAAGTTGAACATACATTTTGTCTGCAAAATTGATTGTTAAAAGTACTTGAAAGAACTTTGTATGTGATATGACCAATTTGGTTCATATTCACGATAAAACTTTTGAAAATAATCAATAAAAAATGTATTTAGGACTTTATGTACCACATTCACTTAACATAATATGTGCTGTAAATAATTTTGGTATTACGAGTTTCTCTGAGCCAAAATATTTGGAAAGAGCTTACCAGGTATCAATTTTCAACTTTAAGCTCAAGCTGGAAAACAGTATTTCCACCATGAATGATGAAAAATGATACATACAAAATTATGCTTAAAATTGAGAGAGACTAAGACAAGTGGTCGCAAAATTAATTTACCCTGTTTGCATTCGTGTTCAGTGTGACACAATGGAGATATTAAAATGGTTAAATTGTTATTTTCTTGGCATACTTATGGCATTCGATTGGAACGTATGAAAGGCATTCACATTAGAGGGCGATGTGGCCCAGCCAATTGGCTCTGGCTTGTCCATGTTATTGATCTTGCCCAGCATTTGCCAGTGCACCATTCCCATTAGGTTCTCCAGATGGGTGGTCGCATTAACCTCAACGCCCGCATAATAAGCATTCAAGGCAGTGGCATTTGTCAGCCAATGGGGAAAACCAATAAAGCTCTTCATGTCTGCAGACTTTTGCATTGTCTGCCGCTTGGTTGCCGCATCCATCCAAGTGGTGGCACGCACCAGTCTATCGAAGGAACGTCGTATATCGCTCAGCATGCGCTCAACGCGTGGCAGCGTCTCCCTCGTAAAACGCTCATCGGCCAGCACATAACTGACGGCCATGCCGAACAGTGTGTTCACCCCGTTGGCGCAGTAGAGGGAGCGGGGGGTGCTGCCCTCGGTGCCAATGACCAGACGCATATATTCGGCATGCAGCAGTCGCATGCTGCTCGTCGTGTGCAACACCAGCTCCTCGAGAGCACTGAGCCATAAGAAGGATTCAATGTGCATTGCCGGAGTCTCCTGCAAATATTCCACCATATTCTGCAGATAGTTTATATCCGCCTGGCTGGTTATAATCGTCGTCGTATTTATGGTTTCCGTTTTGGCGGCATGTTTTGTGTCGGCCAGTATTAGTTGAATGTACCGCGACCAGATGGGCATTGTTTGTGGTGCAATGTTTTTGTCTGTCTGATTCTGCAGCTCCAGCACTGAGATGTAAACAATGTCTTCCACTGGATTCTTGGCGGGCTTCGTTGAGTTCTCAGCCTCCTCTTTCAGCTGCAAGTAGGCAATAAATATATAAATGGAAGTTGTTAGTGTAGCTTAGCTCAACAATCCAACCAACCGTGTGAATCTTTCGTGCTACTTTTACAGCCTGTTTGACCAGTTCTGTTATGCCCACGTTGGCCTCCTCCTGATTAATATCGGGATCAACATATAGCAGATATTTCTCAATGACCTTGTGCACGTAAAGCACATAGCCGTTCAATCCAGGGCCAGTTTGCTTAGCGGCCTCCTCCTCATCCATTGAGTGATTATCGTTGTCATCAGTTTCATCAATATTTTGCATATAGATTGTTCTCCTATGGATTTTGCGCAGCAACTTATGGGAGTCATCGTTGTTGCTGTGAATGAATCGGGCTTGAGTTTAAATCTGAGATTAATCAGCATCGGCATCTTACTAACAAAGGAAACGCGGAATCCGATTCTGGGGTACCCAGCGCAATGCGATTGAGTGTACGATTCAGTGGATCGGGAAAAACATCGAAACCAATCATCAGATCCAGGCTCAGATGTAGCTTAATGGCCACAATAGTGTCTAGCCAATTGTACGTGAAATTGACCACGTCCATGCTATACTTTGAGCCACTGCTGAGCGTTAGATTAAAGACCGAGGGCATCACGAGCAGTTTGAATTTTTGCAGGTAGTTAACAAGCGGCTCCAGATCGCGCTCGTCCAGGCGCTCCGTGTCCATGCATGCCTTGTACATAGTCTTGGCCATGCCAACAACGGTGGGCTCTACGCTGCTAATATTCGACTGGAGGAAGGAGCGCAACACTCTCATTATATGCGCCTGCCGCTCACGGAACCAATCGTTCGAGGTGGCCGAATCGGGACGCGGATGCCCATCGGCCCAGCGGCCGCAGGTGAATTTGTAAAAGTCCTCGCAAGGATCAGTCTGTTCGTCCATAGCATAAACAAGGCTGGCCGCTGTGCGGATGCACTCTTTGCTACGGCATATGTTACTTGATTTCCTTACTGTTGGCAGAAAGTATTTGATCAGTATGAGCAGAAAACAACACAAATAAGTACACTGAGGATAAAATTAGAAAATTAGTTTTTGCAATAAGTTAAGTGCGATTGAGCACAATTTTAGACAGTTTAGTTCTTAACACAGCTCTATATGAATCATAAAACAAACGCATCATTATTTTATGTAAGATATTTCGATTTCATTTTACATAATCCACTCAAGTTCTTAATTCGATTGAAATAATTATCAAATAGAACTAAAACTCAGATAGAATTAAGAAGTTCGTAGATTAACAGCCAAGACATTTTTCTTTAATTTTAAGTATACAAAAATGTTTGACATGAGTGTTTCGAACTTTAGTTCGCTTTTGATCTCAATAACGATTATTATTGAATTTAAGACAGTGTGCATCCTGAGTGTACTTACATCATAGTATTTTCTACTCACGTGTTAAGCTTAATACTATGATTGTGATCAGCAAAATTATTACCAGAGCCACTAATCCGCCCAGGACGACCTTGTGATAGTAGCTGCGACGAAACCTAGGTATCAAATTTAAGTTAAAGATTATTATTGACTTGTTTAGGATCACAGGATGTGGGACACACTTTGACTGGACGCTAATTAGGTTGGGACTTATGGCATGGAAGGACACCTCTTTGCTTTCGCCATTGTCTGCATTTCCATTGCCGCTAAAAGCACGAACTGGTCCCATTTGGCCGGACAATAGACTCCGATTGACTGTAATAAAACATATTACATGGAATATAGTACACACAGTTTGAAAATGGTCACATATATATATACATATTTATATAATAATATCAAATAAAATTGATTGCTGTTCCCGAAAGCTATATGCCAATCATTATACTTTAGCTCCTAACCTGACAATTTATTAATACTAATTAGTTTGTTCTTGTCAGTTTAGATGTCTGCTATCTGCCATGGTATTACTGTCTAATCTTGATCCATTTGCTGGTTGTGGCGTCATTTGGTGGTTGGGTGGTTAGGTGGTTGCCTATTCACAATTCGGATAATTGGACATACATATGTACATAGGTGGCATAATGCATTCACCTGTCATATTCAGCTTCAACATGCATAAACCATTGCGCACAGCGTATGGTTCAATGCACTGCAAATGTTTTGCGTGTCCGGCAATATTAAAAATAATTTTAAAATGCACCTGATATTTGTTTACCCAAAGGTACCGCATACTATATATAGGGACTGAATGCAATTAGAAAATGCACGCTTATCAAGGAATCAGAATGACAAAATTGCCAAATCAATTTACTGTACATTAAATTCTTTTGTTGCAAGTTAGAATTTAATAAAAATTAAAGGATTCAAATGAGCATGGGGAATTAAGAAAAGGTTTTCCAATCTACGAATTACTTAACCAAATGTTTCAAACTAAATAAATGCATATAAAATACTCAAAAAATCATTTTCTTTGCTTCATTTGTCAATAAAAACAATCCAATTTTATTTATTTGAAAAAATCAGTAACGTAAATTTAAAATTAATAATAATGTCGCAAATTCTACAAATGTTTGGTTATGAAGTCTTTGACATTGAAGTTAACATCTTTGCCATGGCTGAGGATATATCTCAACTAACTAATTTGATGAACGATTTTATTTGGTTTAAGCACAACGTTGTGGAACAACTGGAATTGTGGGCTCCCATCTTAACCATAGCTATTGTAATGTTCCTGCTATCAGATGTAGTTAAATTCAAAAGTTCTGAGCTCATAGATGGGCCAAATGGCAAGCGACCAAATATTGATTTTCAAATAGAAGACAAATCGATAGAATTATCGGAGCAATGGAAGCCCAACGACGAGCTGAAACGTGTTGATGCCGAAGATAAACTTAATGACATATATAAATCAAAGGACAAAACCGACTTAACACCCGATACTAAAATTGGAAACCATATTTATTAGAAAGTCAAACAACTCTCAAAACTGTTCATTTGGCATAATGTAAGATCATAATTACAATCATAATTATTCCTTGATGAGCCTTCATTCATTTCAAGAGTCCAACTTTAATTCTATGCTATATATATCCAATTAATTGTCATCTGATTGGAAATACGCTGATGAATTATAAGTGAAATCGCTTAATTACTTTTCACGAGTTAGTTCATACATATATGTATGTATATATAAGGTATAAATCTATAAATAAGCTTTATTTAAAATTCCCTTGGAATGCTTAAAATTGTAATGCAAAGTTCTATGGAAATTCTTATTTAAAAATATTAACTAATTCATTGAGAATTTGCACGGTCTCAGCTTTAATATAAAATTAATATACTTAGCTCTGTTTAACGAGAAATCGATTCATATTTTGTGCCAAACTTAAATATAATGCTTGACTCACCCGGCTGTTGATTCTCATCGAAGAAGCCATTGTTCAAGCTGCCCGTTGTCCAGATGCGATTACGGGTATTAGACTGTCCAGTATCCATATTAGAATTGTTGCTTTGCTGCATGCAGCATCAGCGCATCAGCCAAACCGCAAGTTAGTTCGTATTAAATCGCTTATTCATAGTCAGTGTGCTTTTCTAGATGCAGCGGGTGATTTTTCTGCGACTTGCAATGCATTTCAATGAATGTCTATATATTATCAGGTAGTTCATTAATATGCGTCGACAGTCGACGAATGTAGTTCACACAGCCGCACACCACATGTTGCGCATACAAATGAAATACAAGTGCACCAGCCTCTAGAAATTCACCGCTTTTATCTAAAATGCACTAAACACAATTGCAAATATGTTGGAGGCTTCCTTTGGCCCTTTGCTCTATTCAATCAGTTGCATAATTTCACATAATGCGAATCGGGTGAAACACAAATAACCCACAAGTGCAACTGCCTGCTGTAAAATACATAGCAAATAAAATGAAGACCAGCACGGGAACTTGCACCGAAAGCGACTGAACCACCGACTGCCGGCGTATTGAAGCCGTGTTGCCGCCAACCGAAGCCTTTTATAAGGCCACATGACCCAAACGACAGCAACCAAATAACAACAAAAAGTCAACAGCAACAACAACAACAACCGGCCGACATCGACAACAACAAATCTGGCAACCACCATTAACTCCTTTTGCCATGCAAATGTGCTACCGCAATTACAAGGCACCAACAACAATAACAACAACAAATGGATTGTCTGACTGTCCAGTAGATTATTATATACTAGCAGGACATACAATGCATAAGCACTTTGTCACGCTATTGATAAATGCAAACGGGGTATATATGGCCCAAACAAAATTCATGTCCATTTTCAAGTTGTTTACAACTGCTTCTGCTATAAACCTAATTCACACATAATCCTACGAAATTTTGGTAGAGTATTTAAGCGTCGTTTCGAAACGTTTGTTTTATATTTTTCCAATACTTTACGGAGGTATGGCGCAAATCAAAATAATGTCCGCCCAGTCCAATTGAAAGGGCAGTGTCGTAATCGGTAAAAAGAAATAAAAACGATGGCCATGATTACTGGCAAGGGCTGCTAGAAGGCTAGAAGGCTAGAAGGCACATACATGTAATTGATAAATATATTCCCAAATTAGTTTTTTTTTTCGCAGAGATTTGATTGATGGTATGTTTTAATCGCTCGCAGGGCCAAAGACAAAACAATGGTAATTAAATGCCAATTTGCATGCATATGCGTGTGTGTGTGTGTATGTGTGTGTATCTAAATTCTCACATACGCGTTTTACCCCAAGTCATTCGCATTGTTCGACCTAACTTTGACATACTTACTGAGTTATTGTGCTCCTGGAATCGATAAATATTATCGATTCGCGCAAGCGAAACGAAACACCAGGCAACAGCAAAAACAACCCAAAATGCACACACAGCAGCAGAGGGCAAAAGACACATTGCGCATACGACCCGTCCGCCCGTCCATAGTCAAGTCTTGTTTGTGAGCTGTTTACATATACTAGCTGTAATTAGTTTACACAGCGGGCGCACTGAATTATTATTAATAGGTAAATATATACATACATATGCATATAAGCAGTTATATACTGGCTTATATTGTCAAACAGTTAGCTGGTTAGTTGGCTAAAAGAAAAATGTGTTGACATCGTGTCTAAGTCATGTAACTATGGGTTCAAAGAACTTTTGTCTGCCTCGTGCATATTGTTCACATTGCTTACAATCTCTTTCATCGAGTGCGTGATATTTTCACATAGATTTTAAAATGCATTTTAAATTTGTTTTTTCTTTTATTGCTTATCTTGTTTTGGATTTTTTTTTTTTTTTATTTATTTTGCTTTTAACATAATCTAAAACTAATTACATGTATTTATTCTAAACAATGCATGAAAATAATCAACATGCAGACATGAAATGAATATATATATATTTAAGCATAAGAGCAGCGTCAGTAAAATTTGTTTATTTATTGCTAAAGTTATTTTTTTTTAATTTATGGCTTTGCTTTTTTTGTGAGTGTTTGCATTTTGATATATGTATACGAGTATATTTATATATATTCTTATATGTATGAAGAAATGTTTTATGTGCATGTACAACAATTAGTCTACAAATTATAAAACAATAATCAAACCCTAGACAGTTTGGCCTGCCATTCTGTGGTGGGTGAAACTTGTTGCTGCTGCAAACGAGAGGAGAGAACAAAATAAATATATATTAAATTCTGTACTAATCATGGTATCTAGTAGGCATTATATTTGTCGTTATTATCATTTCAAAAAATATCTTTAGTGTATACAGATATTCCTTACAAATAGCAATAGAAACATTTTTTTCGGAACCGAAAATATCCAAAGAGAAATAAAACTTAATAATCGTGCTTCTCTAAGAAATTTTTGCCCTTTATTGTTTTCCGTCGAATCCCTGTCAACTTGTGTAATAATAATAATGGATACGATGTTCGGTAAACTTCACAATCGATTCAAGACTGTGGGCAACGTGGAAAGCAAGCGTACCGCAATAAAACTCATTGGATTCTATGCCATGGGGTGGACTCTTCGAAAGCTGATCAAGTGAACAATCAGCCACATGTCAAACATCCAAATCTTAAAGTGCATTAACTTCTCTCTGTTCCCCGTGTTCCTAATCCAATATCATTTGTCAACAGTTTTAAAAAATTGACTATTATCTGAATTGAAATTGGATTTGTAACATATTAATATATGTTATGATTTATATGATTTTTTTTTTTTTTTGTCTTTTTGGAAACCAATTGTAAAAAGCTAAACTGAAAAACTGTGTCATAACATGAACAGTATTTTGCACTAAGTGTGTATATATCAAATGATGTTTCAAATAAAATAATGCAATGCTTACATCGAATGTCAAATCAAATATGTGCTGAAATTGGCTGACGTTATCAGATGGCATGTTTGGTTTTAGCAAGCCACACCGCAATCCCCGTTCCTAGGTTGATGGCCCGAACTGTGCAGAGCCTCAGGGATTGTTTTCTAGGCTGAATTTACTTTTGATCACACACTTGCAGCAGGAGGGTATTTTGAAGGGTTCGCTGGTGACCTCAGGCTGACCGCTGCTCACATTGTTGATGGTGGCCAGCTGACGGAGCACATAATGCTGCTTGCAGATGGGCACATAGTTGTTGGGAAAGCTGTCCAGGAACTGACAGGTCTTGCCATCATTACTGTTGAGTGAAACAAATTTGAAGTTAGCAGAGTTTTACCTGGGGTATGTATCAAGTCAAGTGACACTTACTCGCACTCTTCGATAAGTATGCCCTGTTTGAACTCATCAGTGTTGACAATGTACTGCCAGGTGCGGTCCTCTTTTTGTCCCAATTTTGGGTACAAATATCTCACATGACTGTTGCACAACTGCTCGTCACCATTGATGCGCAGACCGAATTCCGTGGGCACCGGCTGATCGATGCGTAGGCCGGCAAATCGACTCGACATGAGTATGTCTTTGAGTCCGGACAGATCCGGATAGTTGTTGACCTTGGTGCAGAAGGAGCGGCTCTGATTGAAGCCATCCGCACACCGAAGATCGCCCGTATCAATTGTGGCCTGCTTCTGTGCCTGCCGAGACTTATCTACAGAGTCGGGAAACACGATAGCTGATGTGAAGCAAAAGCGCCAAGATAGTTGAACGTGAGTATATGATATCGATTTAGTTTGTTAATTGGAGTATTGGATATTAGGTATATGGAATAACAAATGTTATTTTATTGCTGGCTACTTACTGCCCGGAATGGGACGACGTGGACGCTGTTGTGGCTGCTGCGGATTTTGCGGTGGTGATGACTGCTGATGTGGTTGTTGTGGCTGTGTGGTTTGTGGTATGTTGTGTGTGTCACTCTGCAAAGATACGATGGGATCATTAAAGACGAGATTCAGCTTGCCATCCGGTGATCGCTGCACTTTGAACGACTGCTGTTGATGATTCAAGCTTTGATATTGATGGTAGTGCTTGGACTTGTTCTCAGCCCCAGACAAAGATTGTGGCTGTGACTGAGATTCAGTTTGAGATTCAGATTGAGACTCATTTGCCAGGCTGTCTGTGGGTATGGGCATGAAAGATGCAGCTTCGTTCGTCGTCGTCGTCTGTGTGTGTAAATTTTGCGGTTAGTTTTTAAGCCGAATAAAATTGAAGCATACCCATGCACACACAGAAACACAGAAACGGTTAGGATACACGAACATGAATTCATATGGGTTGACATGAAAGGAATACACTCAAAAAGAAAATTATAACCAAGACATATGCGTCAGATTTTCGAAAATCAATGTAATTTCTATCTTCCATCGAAAAAGTCTTAATTAAATTACTTTTTTGACTGATTCTACAAATTCTAGAGCATATATTTTGTCGTCGAGTGTATGAGTTGGGCTTTAAATGAATGCGATGCTGTGTTATGTGTTCACTTACATTAAAAATCATCACACCATGGCCATCGTGTACCTGAAATAAGGAACGAACGCGGTCCTCAATATCCTCGGCTGCCAACTGAAGTGAAATGTCAAACGAAAAGTGTGGAAACGCTTAGTTTAGCAGTTGTCACAAAGTAGATAGAAAATAAAACCCAAAGACCACGACTAGCACAAACAACTTCACATGGATTTCACACCTCGCCTGTCACCTGCTGTTGTTCCTTTTCCTGATGCTCCTTGGCCCTGTTGCGCATGATGTCAAAGAGATGGTCGGACACAAAGGGCATCGTGTCCGCTGTGGAGCTATTCGTTTCTGCAGCGGCTGCCTCAACCTCAGCCTCACGTCGCTTTGAAATTTCGCTATTGATACAAACTATCTGAAAGATATATGTGGAAGATTTTTGTTTTTTTGTTGTTGTTTTTTTTTTTTTGCGATTGATCATCATTTAGCCGAGAAGAAGTGCAGAAGTTTAGAAGAAAGTAAGAAGAATTCATTTTAGGTGTCGCTTGGGCCTCAAGCAGCATTAGTTGATGGCGGCTGAACGACAGTTATATGTGACAGACAGAGAGGAATACAGTGAGGCTTCGATCAAAACGCTAAACACCCTAAATCGTTTCTCAAACCCCTTTCGTTTGGCAATTAAAGCTACATTAGATGCTTTTTGGCAGCACGATATTAACAAATTCGCGCTTGAGTAACCAGTATGTGAATGTGAATGTATTCGGGAACTGTAAGCAGTGTGTGAGTGTTCGTGAGTACAACAACTACAATGCGGAATTACTAATGATTTTTCATATTTACATTCTACTTAGTTTTATGCGTAATGATTTTGTTATTATTATTTTGCTAAAAATGGGCTTCTTTGTCATTACTTTTTGTTTTTGGCACATGTCTTGAATATATCATTAAACAAAGCTTTAAAAAAAAATAAAAAAAAAAACAAAAAATAGCAAAAGAAAAGAAAAACAAAAGTCAAAACAGTTGCCAATATGTGTCTAAGTAAGATGTTATTAAAAATTGTCAGATCTTGCTTTCTGTTCATTGCTGTTTGTTCAACTTGAGTTTGGGATTTTAGCCTGTTAACAACCTAATAAATATACTATGCACCTGCCCAGACCTGTCTTAAAATAAACCGAATCAAATTACATGTGATTCGTGGTAGATTCCATCAATTTCATGCCGGAATTTTTCCCAAGTTTATTTATTGCATAATATTTATATGTATATATATGTTCACATCTTGATTACCAAAGAAATTCACATGAATTATCCATATCTCTCAATTTGCTTCTCTCTCTCCCTCTCTCGCTCTCTCTCTTTCTCTCTCTCTCTCTTTCTATTAATTTAAAAATACTTTTCGTTTTAAAATGGTATTTTAATTTATTTAAGATCATCACCCCTGCTGTTGAAAGTGGAACTCAGTGATAAGCGTCCGATTAATATATTTGAAAAACTTGTCTGTTTGTTAATAGAATGACAAACTCCAAAATGTTTCATATCAGCATTCGTAAATATTATTTTGTTTCAATCCACACAAAAAAAATCAATGGAAGTCGTGTGCTAACTGTCTGATATTGCAAATATTATTGCAATACTTGTATCTATAGCGCATTAATCAAGTCTTTAGCAAGATTTATATGTGTATTGTATTAGGAAAACTAAAAGTTTACGTTGTTGCACTTCAAAGCTGGTTTTAAAAATGTCTAAAGGCAAATTCACATACTAAATGCCCTTCAAAAAAATTCAAATTAAGACTGGGTGTATTATGCTTGCAATGACATGTAAATTATGATATTGAAAAATGACTTTTTGTAAGCAAATATTGTTCATGTTTTTTTTTTTTGAAGGCCACAACCACAATTGATGCACATAAATATTAATAGCATGTATAAGCCAATATGAATAGAACTAATATCCCCTTTAAAGAATATAGCAATAAAGCGTGATTGGTCAAAAATACTCACCGTTGCGAAGAGTGCGAAGAGCACCAACATTATTTTGATCAGTTTCCACCACATAGGAGGCATTTTAATTGTTTTCGTTTTAAATATATTATTAAAAAAAAAAAAATACAAAAATCTACCAATTACAGGGTAGTGGGTAGTCAGTTAACTTTGCGTATTCAGTCGCTCGGCGATCGTGCTTCTGTGTATGTGTGTCTTTATGCGCCTTACGTAGTATATTTAATAAACAAACTGGCACGACTAAAAATTATTGCCGGGCTTTATTGTCCCGATGTTGTGTTACCCGTTTTATTTATTTTCTTTTTTTTTTTTGTTTTCGTCTTTATATTATTGTAGTTGGTGTCGAAGCACCCGTTTTATATCGAACGTGTTTGTTGCTGTTGTTGTTGTTGTTAATAAGTGTTGTCAGTCGCCTCTTTCTATGTGTCTGTTGCTTATTCCGCTTTGTTTGTTTCCTTTGCACAGTGACCGCGAACAGCAACTGACAGGTACTTCAATTAGTCGCTGTGCTTGACTTTTCACTCTTTTTTCTTTTAACCGTTTTGTTTTTTTGTCGTTTGCCAAGCTGCTTAATCCATACAACAGATGTTTTTTTGAACTGAACCACTTCTTTTGATTCTTCCGATTTGTTCGAGAAGCCGCTAGCTGACTCCCGGTTGTGATGTGCTGCCTGTCTTGACCTTGCCTAAAATGTATCCCAGTTACTGCGATGCAAGCGCTTTTAAGCAATATCGCAATCTTGCGTCTCCTTACTGCCTCTCTCTCTCTCTCTTTCTATCTCTGCTCGCGCTGGGATTTTCCAAATTTAATGGTTAATGGTATGGGAGACGCGCGTCTTGAAACTATAGTTTATATTCAATTTCTGATGCACATTAAGCTTGAACTGTCGGCGGCGCACGCGGGCAAGAGCGAGAGCACACGACAACTACACACGTTTATCGATGCGCGCGACAAGAAAGCAACTGAACGAACAGTTTGAGTAAGATGCTCACTTAAGCTCCGAGCAACGTACAAGTGCAGCTTTAAGTAAAGCTTAGCGAGACCAAACGGTCAAAGAGAGCGCAAAGAGAGCCAGAGAGTGAGAGTGGATCGGCCGGCAGAGCGCGACGCACATGCTTTTGTTACAGCTGATTTGTCTTTGTTTTGTAGGCAGTTGAAAACCTTTGAAAACTACTATGATGAAATTCCAACGATTTCCCCGTAGAGAAATAATTCGAAATTTTCTTGTCTGTGGAAATAGGTCTTCATTTTCAATAACTACAATCAGCTGTTGAGCAGCTGAAAGCAAAATTTTAGCTTTAGGGCAAAAGCTTTTTGTGTGGCTCAACCAGTTTCTTAAGTAAGTGATTCATTTCATACAAATTCAGACAAACACACACACACACACATATACATGTATACTTAGTATTGATCACACGTCAAGCACGCGTCACTTGTGCAATGATCTTAATCGATTCAATTCCATTGTCGTCGTGTGTGTGGACGGACACGTAAGTGGGATACGGCTTAAAGCCACTTAGCGGGTTCTGTACACTGGGAAAGATGGTGATTCAGTGGGAATATCCACATTCATTGGCAAACCGCAAAATAAGAATGATATTTTCATTGGTGGCAGTGACGTATACCCCAAAAATAATTAAAACCTTCATACACACTTCTACTCAGATTCATTGAAGAGATTTAGTTGTCAATCTGATGTTTCTGATCACAAGGTATAATAACTAGCTTATCATATTAATCAGTTAATAATATAATATTATATCTACATATTTAGCTGGCACTTAAAGAAATTACTATCAGGTTTTTTTCTACAGATTCTAAAACTATTGATTTGTGAGTCATTTATGTAGAATTAAACAACAAATAGTTTTTATGAATTTCATTTAATTTTAACTGAATTTGATAATCAAAAATTGCTAAAGTATATTTTTAGGATACGTAAAAAATATAACATACTTCTGGGAAGTCACTGAAAAATATTTTTTAAAAAAATGTATTAAAAAACAAGTCGTTAGAAAACTGTTGACCTTACATTTAGTTTAATTCGCTGTCTAAATCATCGTCAAGCCCATTAAAGTAATGAGTTATGTACTGAAAAAAAACGGCCCAAACTGATTTAAACAACTAGCTCAGCTGTTAAGTCAAAATGGGCAACTCATGAAGCCAATGACCCAAACAATTTTCTTATAGTTTTAAGTTAGCTAGGAAATGACTCAATAATGGCTTAGAGCCAAGTGCTTGTTAATTAGTTGCACAGCATCCAGAGCACATCGGCAATTGCGGCTAAAACGCGTTGCTTCAAATTAACAAGAAATGGTGAAATAGTCGTTGTAGTAGCCGTATTATATGCCAATTTATGCATCCGACCAGTAAAAAGATAAATAATGAAATTGCATTGCGCACTCAATGCAAATAAAAATTAAAAAACGACAAGTATTTATTAAAAACAAAAAAAAACCAGCTAAAATTAAAACGCCAGCTGGAAAAATGTGGAAGCACCGCTCGCAGTATGTGTGTGTGTCGTGTGTGTGTCGTGTGGCAGCAAATGCAATTCCAGCCATGACAGCACAACGACGACACGCAACGCTGCCACTGCCCAGGTGCAACATTTGCCAGCATCAGACGACATTTAAGTATTACCCCGCTATAAATTGAATTGAATAAAGAAACAAAAATCAGCTACAAAGCAACTGATTATTCCATTAGGAGCTGATTGGTTGATTGGTCAAAATCTTTAGCTTGCACCTAATAGTTCAAATGATATGATGATATTGTATTGTAATTAAAAGCCTTAACTTTTGACAAATGGTTCGTTGCGGCTTGGAATCCTAGATATAGTACTATTTTAATTTGTTAGTTGAGCTTAGTAAAAATAAAAGAAGTTTCTCGAACAAAAATAGCACTATATAGTCCAAGATTCAAGAAAATAACTTGAAACTGAGTTATGGACAGATATGACTATATCAAATATAATACGGGTCATTTGCAGAATAAGCATAAATTGTTCTTTGTTATGTTGGTAAGAGAAGACTTAAATTTAGATAGATAACAATCGCTTTAGATATATAAGAATTGAATGAAACATGTCCATGAGGGGTTTAATGTTAAAGTCTCTATGTATAAGTCTTTCTACGTCTATTACTAGTGAAAAAATGGGTCGACAATGTTGAAGCAGCGTTACACACTTGATGACAAAGTGTAACAATACTCGCTCTGGCAAGGGTATTGACAATCAGGTGGCATGGGGCAGGATGCTGCGCTGTGACGCCAATGGCAGCTACTCAATTTGTCAGGCGGCAACGCGCGATTGTTTCATCGACTGCACTGGCTGTCAACATTTTGTGGCAATGTAAGAGGCCATTTGAGGTGGTTGCATCTAAGGCGAATTTCCTTGGTAGCCGAATCAGCTGTGTGTGTTAAATAAATATTGCATTGCGTTGCGTTGCCTGGCGTTGAGCTGGCCAGTTGGCTTTCACTTTTCAAGCCACACGACTTATCGACTCCTTGGCCAGTTGCAGGTTCAGGTTTAGCTTCGGCTGCCCGATCCTACAGACACACTTACTGTGTGCCAACGGTTGGAATTAATTTACGTAGGCACAGCCACTTCCGCTAATGCACAAAAAACGGGACTATTTCCGATTTTTAATTTGATTTCAATGCTAAATGTTCAATGTTCGCTCGGGAACGCGACTTTTGAAGTTGAAGTTGAAGTTCATTGCGCAACAGACAAGATAACAGCAGCAACAGGAAGTCCAGGAAGTGAACGAGGATGACCGTTACCATTTTATTCGATCATGTTTTATTTCGCAACGTTTTTTTTTTTAGTTTTTTCCTCGTTTTTTTCGGGTTTTTTTTTTTGCAATATGGCCACATTTTGCATATTTTCAGACTATCGCCAGACAGTCTTCTCATTTCACGTTACACTCTGAAAACTTTTCAGAGATTTGAATTTTTACGTTTATTTGTTTTTTCAATTGCAACACGTCAATTAAGAAAACAGGTAAGTGTAAATTTAACAACAGCAATTGAGTCTTATACCGAAGACCAACAAATATATGCTTGGTGCATATTTTTAATGCACTGTAAACTATTAAATACCAAAATATAATTAAGCACCATTGATGGCCTATATATACCTCACTAAATAAGGTAAAATAAATAATTACTTATTAAGAGTTCAGTGTGCACTTTTAATGATCTCATTTTTTGTACACTTTTTTTATTGCGCTTCCTTCCTGTTTCACTCAGCTGCTTCAGCGGTGTCGTATACGTAATTTCCATAATCTTAGTATACCATTCTTGCATGCGGTTATTGTTGAGCATGTGAAGCGATAATTTCATTATTATTATTTATCAAACCTCCATATGCAATCAAGCCAAACTAATGGCCCATGCCAACTCACTCGCTCGTTTAGCGATTGTCGACCTGGTTGTTTGCTGTATGGCACCAACAAATTATTCAAAACAATCGAATTGCAACTACCGTCTACGTTGCATGACAGTCGTTGACAATTCAATAACCCGTGCAAAATACATCAAAATACAGCAACTGACCAGCTGTTAAATTTGAAATACAAATGTAAATAAAATTTCCTACCAAATATAATTGTAAAATATTAAAAAAAAAAAAAGTTACAAATTATCTAAGACTTTTTATTATGAACCTTTTAAGCCTGTGGCAGATGGATTAACCATGGCTAAGATTGCCTTGCACCGTGTTGCAGCTTCTTGCTTGGCGCACAGCTGATCAAAGAGGCCACTCCTTGCATATGCATAAATGTATGTGTGTGCCAACTGCAACATTTGTTACATGATACATTGTTGTTGCTGTTATTTTCATTTTCAATTTCATTTTGATTTTATTTGTTTTGCCATTTTCTTTGGATTTTAGTAAGTTTACAGTTTGTTAACTACGCGTAGACAAGTATTGTGTTTTTGACTAAGTTTTCCATGTTTTCATTTGTTGCAGTTGTTGCCGTCTGAGCCCATTTCACTTTCGGTTAGATAACAGCCTGACAGTCCGCAACCAGAGACGGTTGGAGGGGCAGGTCAGGGGCAGCATTTTAACTGCAGTCCATAAAATGTGCACTGAACACTCCGTTGCGTAGGACAATAACAGTAGTCAGAGCTATTATGCCCAAGCATTTTGGCCAGTCATTGCCAACGGATGCCCTGTTTGGCAGCACACAACTTTTGCAAGCGGACAACTAAGCAAGCAGGCAACTGACAACTGGCAACAACTGGTAACTGGTAACTGGTAACTGAAATGGGAACAGTTCACGTCACTTGCACTTGAGGGCGCAGATCTTGGCAAGAGTTGGAGGTTGTTATTAATCGTTGTTCATGCGTTTTTAATTGTTACTTTAATTTTCCAACTTTGGCAGTGCGTTAGGCATTTGGCATAATGGCAATGAACTATACTGTAACATTTGCTAAAATACCATTTGACAAATGCCCTGAACTACGCTTTGACACTTGGTTTATGTGCTCCTTGGTGCTTAGTTCAGCTTGTGGCTCAATGCGAGGAACCATGGTTCAAGGCTCTTGATGTAATTGGAATGCAGACCAGTTAATTTGATGCTCGTGCAGCTATTTTCTGGACCTAATCAGCTGACAGAATGTTTTTTGTAGTGTGCTAAAATCAATATCAATTAAAGTAAAGAAGAGTCGGATTCCCTACGTTTTTCATACACTTTTAACTTACGATTTTCTTCGTTTGTTAAACCCACGTGGCCCACAAACACCGAATCACTTAAGGTATTATAGAGAACTTTAAAGTTGAAATTGAAATGACATAAAAACATAAAATAATTCACAAGCTATTAAGTTATAATAGAGAAGTTTCAAGTTTAAATTTAATTGAAATAATAACAAAAATTAATTCATAAATCAAATAAGTCATATAAGGTATCATAGAGAAATTTAAAGTTTCAATTTAAATGAAATAATAATACAAAATAATTCATATTAGGTCCATACCACAAAGTTCTATTTATCAGTCAAGCGCATAACTCCACAAAAATCGAACAAGTTTGTTGCCTAAGTCTTTCGTTGATCATGCCACGAGAGCGAATACAAAAATACAAAGAAGACAAATCAAATCAAAACAAATGGTCAAGTTGTGACCATTACACACATCAAAGACAACAATTTCAAAAGCCGGCTGCACTTTTATGTGTACAAACGCATTGAACTCGTCGACTCAACCCCCCGAGTTGGATGTCAGCCGATCTCGAACCCGATCTCAACAAAAGAGTCAATCCGACGCTGATGCTGCCAAAATTGTAATGCGCCTCGTAATTGAATAGTGAGTGAGCGAGGCAGAGGTAAAAACACTAACAAAAACAACGACGAAGACGGCTCTTTGCATTGCGGCTAAGAGCAAGCAGCAAATGAAAAAAAAAAATATGCAGGCGGCCGCGGCGCTCTCAACGAAATTTTCTTTAAAAGAGCCACACATTGAGATTTTGGACTACAGTTCGAACGCAGTCGTCGCCGAGGAGCCACCTCCAATCCAAATACAGCGTCTCCCGCCCCAAACAGACCCAAGTGAACAGCGCAGAAAGAAAGTCGACGCGACTCGCGCGTTTCGTTGTTTCGAGTGAAATCAGTGTGTGTGTGTGTGTGTTTGTCTTATGTTTTGTGGTTTGTTTAAACGAAATACACACAGCCAGATGCAAAGCCCAAAGAGCCAAAAATAAAGGCAAACGAAAACAAAAAGCTAAACGATTCGAAGAAGTGTTGTGACCGTTGCCAATTGCAAGTGTTTTCAGTGAGGAAAGTTGTGCAAATAAATAATAAAAAAAAGTACAAATAAATCCAAAAACAAGCTCCACATTCATAGGCAACTCTTATTCGCTTACAAGCAGGACAGCTAATCAAAAGACCAGCCCTTGGACAGACCAAGACCAACAACATAATTCAAATATGAAGGTAAGTTCGCAAGTTGTGCAGTGAAAGTGGAAACGTGCCAATAACCAAATGACCAAATTAGCTCGTACAGCATCACATTTTATGCAACTTTTTGTTTTGGTCCAAACAAGTTCAAGTGCAGGCAGCGCATTCACTTGGCTGTAGCCAAATCGAGGAACTCGTTTCCAGATGGCCACGCTTCGGCAATTTGTTGTATTATCTAAATACACATTAGATAGTTACAACTGTATCTCATTTGTTATGTTATGTAAGGCAGCTTAACCCAAAAATCCCAATCCATAGTTTGGCGCGTTGCACTTGAGCCATCTGCTGTTCGTCTGTGCATGAAAAGCAATTCAAATGAATAGTAAATAAAACGCATTCGCTCAACTCAAGAGTTCATCGCACACGATTATGTCATAGGAGTGCAGATCGAAAGAAATGCGTCCCAGTCGAATGAGTGTGAAGGTAAAATGTTATGCATAATTATTATTATGTCAGACGAATCGCTGTCTAGTCGGGTTATAGTTGTTGCTTTTTATATAGTTGTTGTCGTCATTGTTGCGGCTTTCGAATTTATGTACGAGTAGACTATATTATTTCAACAAAATGCTGCGAATAGCACAACAAAGCAACTTAAAAAATCAACACATGCCTTAAGCCACATGTAGAAGTAACAAAAACAATCTACACATTATGAAAACAACACGATACATTTTTGATACCCTTGCAAATATTTTACATAATTATTTGTGGTTACTCATATAAGATTCACAAGTTTTTATTCAAGTTTTATCGAATTCTAAAATGTAACAAAGCTTACTAAAATATATAAAAATGCCTTAGCAAATGTTTTTTGAGGTTAAAAAGATATTTAGAACACGCTTTTACAAATTACGAGTTAAAATTAATTAATATATTAAACAAATTCACTTAATTAATAAATAATAAAATTATTAATAAGATAATTATACTATTAAAATAATTATTAAATAATATACCAATAATAACGCTCTGTAAAAGATATGAGTATTTAAATGATTTAGTGCCAATTATGCCACTTTATGTTGCAAGTACACTCTGCTAACAATAGTTAAAAGACTCACAGTGAAGATCATATATACTGAACCTACCGCAACTATTTCAAAACAAGCAAACGACTTACGTGCTCATTGAGTGCGGATACAAAATAAATTAATATTGTCGTATTGTTAACAATTGAGCAACATGCAAATTGAATTAGGCCCACTAAAACCACAAAGTGTAGAGAATGAGAGAGGAGAAGGAGAGCAGCAAAGCAAAACCCAAAAAAAAAACCGGCAACACTTTCACTCTCTTCACGTTACTCATTTCACACTCACACAGCAACGATGACAGCACACAAATTAAGTATAGCTCTCTGAGCGGCTAAAACAAATAATTGAGTCTGGCAGCGAATTGGCCAATCTAGAGTTTAATATGCCATTGATCTAAGCGAAGCACTGTGAGCCAATTAATTTTGCCAAACAGCAAAAATGAAACATCATCGGCAAATAGTGGATGAAAATAAAAGACGCAATGCAATTTGCGTTTATTTACGCTCAGTTATGAAACGTTTGCCGTCTATAGAGTGGAATTTCATTAATTGCCAGTTACGTATAATTCATTATGGCCCATAATACATAAAACAAGTGCACAAGCATCAAATTAATAAGCGAATGCAAACAACAACCTTAAAACTCATAGCGGAGCTTGCCGGTTAATTTGTGCATTTGTATGCAAACGGAAATACGAATTGCGCCGTGCGAGGGCTAAAGCAATTAGGCATAAAAGACACCCAAAATCAATAATATAAAATGTTGCCACAAAATCAAATTTGGAGTTCACAAATCACCAGCATTGAGAGATTGAGCAATAGCTGCAGCAAGAAATGGGTTTCATATGCGGTTTAGGATTCCGAGGGCGGTCCCGCAAGGGCAAAAATAGGGTTAAAATTAGTATGGTATAACAATAATCAATATATCTATATATATACATATATATAGTGCTCACTAATGGCATACTTCACAAGTGTTTTTGCGACCCAAATTCGCCGATTTTTTCTTTTGTGCTATTAAAAGTTAATTGTCCAACTGAAATCTTTTGTTCGATATGTTAACGAGTTTAGTATTGCAAATCATTAGACAATCATTTGAACATTATTATGATTCAAAAGTCATGTGGTCAAGTGACTCATATTCTTCGAATCAGCTGTCGATCACAGCATTTTCAATCTTAAATATTTCTACTTGAGCGGAATTGTGAAATTCTCATATTTTCTGCTCGAATCTACATATAATTTGCATGTTGATTGATTTAGCTTTTAGTTGAGTCGATAAAGTCATTCAAAATTTCTCATCATTTTGTTTGATGGCCCGTGAAACAGTTGTAAAACGCTTAAGCAGGCAGAGCCACACCGCCCACTCGTGGCCAGCCCCCCTGCCAGCCCCATGTGGCAACAGCCAGAAAATGCGCTCAGCTGTGACGAGCACCCGAAGCGAGTATTATGACAACTGTCATAAGTATATAATATGTACATATATACATGTATAATACAATATAATAATATTTTTGGCTTGCCGTAGGCAATAAATGCAAAATTTTAAGTGGGAAATTTCGTTGCCTGTTGACAAATGAATGCATGACTGAATTAAGTTAATGGCTGCCACATGCCACATGCCACATGCCACATGGTAGTGCCTGCAATGATGCAATTCGCCAATTGAATTCAGTGAAAAGTCAAATGAATTTTCATCTGCCATATTTTGCATAAATGTAAACGTGCGACTAACGAATGCCAAGATTATGTAACACAAACGTCTCCATCGCTTTGCAGTTACTCGGTTTGTGCCTGTTGCTGCTGCTTGCTGGTGCTTGCCACGCCTATCCCGCAGAAGACAAATCGCTGTCACTGGAGGACACCGACTTGGACAACGAGCAGGGGGAGAGCGTTAAGGAATCACAGATTGCCAAACGCTCCGGCAGCTTTGACTATGTGGCGCATCTGAAGTCCGGCCTGCTGTCCAGCATTGGACAGGCATCCGCCTCCATTGCCTCAGGCAGCTCCGGCGGCAGCAGTGGCGGCGATAGCTACAAATCCCATGAAGTGCATGTACATGTAAGTAAAATGGATCGAAATCTGACAATCCGTATTGAAAAAAAAACTTTAGAAAAAGTAATTTACTTTTGTACTTTGAAAAAATTAAAACTGAAATTGCTTTGATTGCAGGGCAATTCGGTGGAATATGATCCCTGGTCGTTCAAAAAATCCGTGCTGAACACCATCTTCCAGGCGGTGAAGGCGATCACGGGCGGAGTGACGGCACTGAAGGGTCAGCTCATCAAGGGCAGCGGTTATGCGTTGAGTGCCGGTGGCAATCTGGTTGCTGCCGGTGGGGACAAGGTCACCGATGTTGGTAAATCCATTATCAATTCGGCGCATATCAATTCGCATACATATGCCACTGGTCACTCCAGCGGCAGCGTTACATATGTCCATCCATTTGCCAAATTGAGCTCGCTATCGGGCGCCTCCTCGTCCGGCAGCAGTGGCAACAAGCATTCCGCATCGGCGCCAGGTCCCGCGCTCCACACAGAGAGTGAGTATGCCCGCCAGCTGCTGAAAAACATCAATTTCCTTATCTTCTGAGAGAGAGAGAGAAAAAGAGCGAGAGGGGAAAAGAGAGGGAGAGGAGAGGCAGAGAGACACTCCAGTGGACCATGAAATGTAAACGAAGGTCATTATGTAACTTCGTGAAGACGCCGGCTGTTGAACTACATGTACATGCATTTATGTATAAGTAATATGTATATGTCAATAATTAAAGCACTAGCTAACATATAACATTGAAAGTTTAACAAGCTGGCCGGTCAACGGAAGACGCAACTCCAACAGCAAAACTGAAGCAATTGCAGAAATCGAAGCGAGTGACGTGCATTGAACCCCGTCCAGCATTTTCACTTTCATTTTCGCTCGAACCCGTTTTTGGTTAGACGTTCGCATGTTTTAGCCTATTTCAGTTTGTTTTTTATTTTGACTTTGCAACTTGTAGCACTCACTGTTTTGTCTCGTTGCAGCAATCACAACCTATGAGATACCGACGGGCCATTCCAACTACGGGCCGCCATCGAAGCCACCAACGTATAGCAGTGCCACACATCAATATCTACCACCGGCTGGCTCCAACTATGGGGGTGGTGGTGGCGGGGGTGGTGCGCCGTTTAGCCTCAACCATGCGGCATTTGAGGCGCCACAAAGCAACTATCTGCCATCACCCTACGGACAAGATGGTGCGTAAACTGCGACTAAACAACTGCCCTTTCCCATTGTATATATACACATATGTATATATATTTATATCTATGTTATTCTAATCATGTTACTAATCTCAAACCAAGTTGACTCAACAACTCTTTGACACATCTTGCATTCGATAACTAAACATCAACTACTGTTGTTGATACACCACACCCCCGCTCCCCGCCATCAATCAACACACACTAACGAGCCCTCACTTCCGTGCATTGCTAATCCGTTGAAAGTGAAAGCCTCAACTGCTCATAATTTGTTTGTTAACGAAGAGCTGACAAAACTATAAATAAACATTTTAGCACAGCCTCGCCTCAGTCTTAAGCTTAGCTAGAAAGAAAAAAATATAAAAAATAATATGAAAACTCGCACTCCTACTCTGTGAATACTCTGTAATGCACTCAGAGGCGTTTCTGTTTCTGTGACACACTTCTACTACTTGGCCTTTTTGGGCGGATTCAACTTTCAATTTCAATAACGATGGTCTTGCACAATTTCAATGGCATTGCGCAAGCTGCCAAATGGCAACGTTTATTGTTTTTTTGTCTAGATAAATATGCGTTAATAATATTCATTTAAACTGCAACACGTCATCCTATATATTTATATGTATATATGCCCTACCCAAGCACTTTTTACATTCCAAGAGTCGTTAAGATTAGCAACATGTTGCATACTTAATATTTTGTATATAGCTAGCCATAAAATGTCTAATTATATGGTCTAGACAGTAGTTTAAGCCCTGTCAACAAATACCAAAGGTATATTTTTATCTATTTGTACATATATAAATATTTATTTTAAGTTCAAAACTATATAAGTCCAACTAATGCTCAACTAATACTAAAATATTTTTAAAGACAGCAAAACGGAAAACAATTTAAAGAATTTTAAAGAATTTTTATTTTCGTTTTGCCAACGATTTAATATTAATATTTAAATAATACTTCTGATGAGTTTGCATAAGATATTTTAAAATCTAAACATAATATCAATGAATTAATCTCATACATAACATGAAAATCATAAGAACATCAATATCTGTACAAAAAACAACTTCAGCCCATAGTCATCTCATAATCAAACACACACCTGCACATTCACACACAAACACACACACACACACATATATACACATACACACACAACCAACAGCAGATGAAAATCATAAATCAGTCAACAAATTGTAAATATAAATCTATTCGATGCAAATGAAATATTTAATTGGTAATCTAATCAAATCTCACTCATTGCATACACAACAACAACAACAACCGAAATCACACACATAATCAAAAACACACACACAACAACAACAACAACCCCAACATTGACCAATTGGCGTTGAGAGCACAGCCATCAGAGATGATTTTAGCAACAACTATGGACGCCACACGAAACTCTCGGATGACGAGGCACGGCGAGCGGCACTGCAGCTGCAGGAGATCCTCAGCATGCTGCCCAATGGCAAGACGGAATATACTGCCTCCAAGACAGTGGCACTGGACACAAGTAATGCTCCGCCCACTGGCTCCAATGTGGAGCAAGCGGACCTGTACAATAGTTATGGCGTGCCGCTGCCCCATAATCTGGGCACACTGGAGTCGCTGTCGCACACGGAGTCGATTACAGCTGCGTATGCACCGCCAAGTCAAGGAGCCGCCGACATCTATCATCAGATGGCCAAAAAGCCACAGACCCCAGAGGAGGCATACATCCAGAAGCATCCCAACGAGGGTTACGACTATCAGCCACATCCGGCATCGGGACCAGCTGCACCACCCGCACCCACCAATGAATACCGCGTAGAGAACTATCATGCCAGCAAGAGTAATGCTTTGAAGGATCTGTCACCCATCATTGCCGCTCTGGAGGTGGCCAAGCGCAAGGGTCCCGGTAGTAGCAATGGTCCCGTCACCTACGCCATTGAGAAACAGGTGCACAAGACGACGCCGTTCCAGTATCTGCCGCCGGTAGTGCAAAAAACCAAGTATGTGTATAGCGCACCTCCGCCAAGGAACAGCTATAGCGGTGGCTACAAGGTGCGACGTCATGTGGGCGCCAAGCGAACCTCAAGCACCCATTCGCGGGCGCAGGACTACGAGATACAGGATCCGCTCATGTTCAATCGCCTGCTGTACGTGTAGGCCGGTGCGGGGTGGGACCGGTTGCAATATACGATGTAACCCACTAGTTATAGTCCTCTAAGTCATATGCAGCATTTATCTATAGTTCGTCTTAACCTAATTTATATGTCTTATATCTCAATTGCTATCTGATCATTATTTGTTGAACTCTCGAACGATGGAGAAATGGAGAGGCAATAAACGAGTTGCAAGAACAAACCAAACCGCACAGCATGCATCCATATATACTACAGCACCCCAGCTCTCTCTCTCTCGTACACTCTATTTTGTTTTTCTTTTTGTTTTCATTTTTTTTTGTTATCCGCACCGCTTTTATGTACTTGTATCCACAATGCACTTTACCAATTCCACCCACCTACCACCACCTGGAAACTGGAACTATCCAAGCTAATCAACTCAATCAATCACTTCTCTGACCTGACGCTCTCTTTACAGTCTACCTGCAGTAGTCGCCCCAGAGGACCCAGCTCTTTCAGCCTGCCTCAAACCTGCCCGGGTTGTAGCTGTGGACCACGCCCATTCAGTTTAAAAACACTTTCGGTTCTTTAGTTTTAGCAAACAATCTTTATTTCATCTCTAGCTCAGACAATGCTCAACTCTTAAAAACTACACACAAAAACTATTGGCTGAAAATTCATCGAAATTATCTATCTTATTGTTAAGTATTTAAAGAAGTAATAAATAACAAATAAATAATCGTTGAACAACATTAAAAACAATCCATCGATTTTTCTTTTTCCGCCTGAAAGTATGCTATATAAATTTGATTTACCTATAAAAGTGACAAATTCTTCAAAAGTGGAACTTGAAATACAGTTTTTAGTAGTTTTGGATCATTGACTTTCCGTGGGAAATTTTGAATGCATCGGTCGTGCGCAACTCAATCATATTTTCCAGCTAACAAATTTGTATTGCTTGCTTTAGCTATAATATTTATATAATTTCAGCTTATCCCAAAAGTATGTAATATTTAATGAATTTCAAAATAAATACCAAACAAATACTTTAAAATAATTTTTTTTGCTTCTTGGATTCACTCTCCGAACTTGCGTTATGTAAATACTAATTTTTTTTAATGAATACTCGAAATGTTTGATAGTCAATTTTTTTATTTATTTATATATATATTTTTTTATTGAATTTTGTGCGAAAATCAGGTTTACTTAAATGAATTGTTTTTCTTTAGATCAAACTATGATCAACAAATCATTGCCCATGAAAATTGGTTTGGTTTTGACAACATTTTAGATAGTTTGGATATTTTATAATTTTAAGACGAATATTTAAAGTTATTCCATATTAGGCCAATAAATATTCCTGCTCTTATTAGTTAAAATTCAGGTTGATAACTTATACGTTTATCTAAGCAAAATCTCAATTTGTATTCAAATAAAACAGTTTTAGGACAAAAAATATTTTATTTTTTATTTAATTGTAAAACATCGATCATAAAATCTTACGAATTGAATATACATATAGATTTTAGTACCTAGAATCTAGAAGCAAGGAATCACTGGCGTTTTGCAGATGTAATAGTTGGAATAGAAACTCTCACGGAATGGGGAAACTACGTCCGGTAATTCGGACATCATTTATCGTTGCTTTCATTATGCACCTGACTCAAAGAAGCGGTTGATGCGCCGCCTTAACTACCCAATACCAGTTTCTCCGGCTTCCCGCTTCTAATAATAGCCAAAGGTGATGTCATGCAACGGCTGAGCATTGCCCTGGGGCAGAGCATAGTCCCGAGCCAGCTGATCGAGCAGACTGCCACCAGCGCGTCCCTGAGCCTGATGCTGAGGCTGATAGCTGCGCTGAGCTTGTTGCTGCAGCTGCGACTGTTGCACCGGCTGTGCAATCGGTCCCTGGGTAGGGCCAAAATGCACCGGCTCCAGCAACGGTCGTCCGCCAGATGCTGGTGCCAGGAAGCCCTGTGCGCGAGCGCTGCTCGGTGCCGGCGAGGCGGGAGGCAGAGCGTAGACTGGTCGGGAAATGCGCACATTCGATGGTCCGTCACCGAAGCTCTGCGTCTGCGAGTAATCGGGCTCAGGGCGAGCGGGTCGCTGCAGCGGTGAGTAGAGCACATCGGTGGTGCGCTGTGCTCCCGATACCTGCAAGCGTGGTGGTGTTGGACCCACGCTGGAGGACTGTGGCTGCGGTGCATATTGGACGCGTCGCTGCGGCTCCAATTCCTCCTCTTCCTGGTACGGCACATATTGTGGCTGTGGTTGCGGTTGTGGTTGCGGCTGTGGGCGTGGTGCTGGCTGTGGGCGTGGCTGATGCTGCTGATGGGGTCGTTGAACACGCTGGCGGGGATAAGGAAGATAAACACAATTAAAGGCAAAATTCAAACAATCAGCTTTGTAGTCAACTTACATAAGGTCGCTGCGGTCGCTGAACTGGCTCCTCATCGTAGTCGGGCTCCTCCTTGGCGGACTCATCGACCAGCGTGGGCGGTGCCACCGTGATGCCCTCACCAGAAGGCTGGAAGCCATACTTGTTGGCGCCATATTCCACGACGCGCACCTTGCCATCGGCATCGATATAGCCATATTTGCCCTTCACCTCGCCGGTGGCCAATTTTGTTTCGATCTTAAAGGAGCCATCGGCACCTTCATATCCGTATGTGTAGGAACCGTCCTCATTATGCCTGATTCAATTACACACAGATGATAAATACATTTTTGTTTTAATTTATTAAAAATTATTATATTTTAACTAAGAAATACATTACTTATACAAATTTAAATACATTTTAAAATTAATGGGTATTACAAAACATCTGATTTAGTAAAAAACAATAAATATTGATAAATACTGAAGCTCTTGAGAATCATAGCTTATAAAAATTATTGTAAATAATAACGTACTCTAATTGAATTTTACAACAAGAATACAAATAATGCCAACATTCACAAGAAACTCAATTGAATCACAAAGACTTCTGATGTCTATTAGAGCAAAAACTATTCAAATTTTAATTTAAATATAAATTTGTATTTGATTTGTAAATCAAATAAAATCAATAAATAAAAATACTATAATCTTTGATAATAGTTGTATATAGTCAAGATAATGTTTTCCAACTCACTTGTTAATTTGCTTGAGAATGGGCACCGGCGTCGGGCGCGGCGCCTCCTGCTGTGCACTGGACTGCAATCGATGAGGCGCCGATCTGGGTGCACTCTGCTGATAATCCTGATAGTCCTGAGCGCTGACTAGACTGCCAAACAGACAGCCGATTAACAGTAAACGTTGTAGCTGCAAGCAGATAGACAGTGAGGGAAATACAGCTCAAAGTGGCAACCGGTTTGCTAATTGCGAGGCACGCAGATACAGTGAGTTGTAGCTGATATACCCGTGCACCTTGACAATGCAACGAAACATTAAGAATTTGCCACAAGACGGACAAAGTCTTGAGTCAGGCAAACCTTTCACTTTTTTGAGTTAATATTATTTTTTATTTACTGGTCAATGACACCGGGCAATGATTGGCCGCTTGTCATTGTTGGCGGAGAGCCCTCAGTGGCAAGCAGGAACCGATGTTGGCCGATAGATACGACTGAACTATACATTTATGGAACCATACAACAATATTGCAACGTTGCATAAGGCACAACCGTTAGAGACACGCAATAGGCAGCGATAGCATTTTCACAAATGGGCAAAGTTTAATTGAATATCTACAGGTGAAATGCATGAAAATGCATGGAACACTCATTCAATGCGGCGATTGAATAAGTCGAGTGCACTCACACACACACTCACACTCAAATTATGTGAACGGCGGGAAACATGCAAAGCGCATTCCGTACAATTTTGTAAGAAGCAAACGAAAATTTCCCACACATGCCCCATGTACGAAATGTTGCAAGTAGTATCTCTGAAAGATGCATCGCAAACACACAAAGTCCTAAAGAAATTATACAGCAGGCGTTGAGTGGGGAAAGATGGCCGAATTGCCAATCAGACGACAGCTTGGCAAGCTAACCAAGCACTTGTCTGGTTGAACAGTTGTGCATTTAACATACCCTGTAATCAAGAAATAAATACAAAAATGCTAAAAAGTTAAAGCAGCTTATGTAACAGGCAGCATCATCAACATTGCACAAACAAATTTTGAAAATAAACGTTAAGTGAAAGTAACTCAGAAACCAGATATTTTTCTGATTTACAAAATAAATGTCAGATAATTAAAAATGCCTGCCCTTCCTCAATCCCTGAGATTTAGACTTTTTGCTCATCAGTAATTTGATCTGAGTAAATGTTTTGATATTTTATCAAAGATCTATACAAAAACTTAAGCAAATATTTTTGTATAATAGTTTTCAGTAAGGGGTATCTCAGTAATAGTAAATTCCTATTGCACGCAACCAGTGACTAAGCCTAGTTGTGTACAGTGGTCAAGAGTATACGTCCAACAGGATATGTGGTCGTTAGTGCTACGCTTTGGCAGCAACTATTTTGAGCCAAAGGGATTCGTTATTGTCGTCGGCTTTTGTTCAACAATTCCGCATGCGAAAACCTTTACCTGCTGCAGTGGATATGTCGTATGGCATATATGCCAGTAGCCTTGGCTCACCGCTCACCGTTGCAAGTTGTTGTCCAGTTTGCTCGCTGGCCTGGACAGCGACATGGGCTTAGAGACTATCGACAACGTTTCGGTTGATTCCAACTTTGTGTTTTTTCCAATTTTTGCTTTATTTTTTTTTTCGTATCTGCTCGACAGTTAACTGGCCGAAAAGTTGGCTACCAGTCGCAGCGTGTGAACTGAGCCAATGTGAATTTGGATTTGTTAGTCGCCAAATGTTGCCTTTGATATTTTCGCTTTTAGCTGAACATAGCTGAGAGGAGGAAACGTGGCAAAGAGGTGCAACAACGTATTGGAATCGCTTTTTGAAGAGCGCTTGTTAGTGCAACTTTTTCTGAATTGCAGTTCCTGCAACTTTTTTCCAAAGAATACTTTGCAATTACGTAGCACAATGCAGACACACACACACACACTCACACATACATACACACACATGAGATGGCAGCTGTGCTCATAAATTATGTTAGGTGAAAAATCCAGTTACCAAATTGGGTGCACAAAATTGTAACAATCTTTCTGCAATTGCCTCGATTGCCTGCATCAGCAATATGAACGGCTTTACTCTCAATTTGCATAGCAAATTATGTGATATTTTCACATAATTTAGACAGTGTACGGCAACCAGTGACGCAACCAGTCAGACAGGCAACGATCAACATTGCAATTAACAACTTGCCTCGCATTCAGGCGCTCAACTTTAACCTTTGCTGGTGCAAATAGTTTATATGGAGTACAGGTTTAGTGCTTGCACTATATATATATAAATATATTCATATGGAGTATATACACACATCCTCGGGAACCTACCACTTTCATTTCAGCTGGTTCTCGTTCTGCGCTTTTTATTTTTCGTCTTTTGTTCACAACTTTTATGAATCGATTAAAAACTTGATTAACGCAACGACTCTAAAAGACCTTCGCTGGCAAACACCCAGCCTCAAAAAGACAACAAAATCAACAACAACAACAACAAAATCACTTTCAATTGATCTAATGAACCGGGACTGAAACTGAAATTGAAACTTTTGCTGTAGTTGTTGAGTTGTAGTTTTTTTTCTCAATCTTTTTTACGCTTAGCGGTGCGCCAACATTTACTTCAGACCGACAGCAACTGAGCCGCCCAAGTTGTTGTATTTCGCTTTATATACCGCGCTTATGGCTGGAGGAAAACCTTTTCCATACCAATGGTCCAACAGCACCAACTGCACCAACTACACCAACTACACCAACAAAGCAACACCACCGCAAAAAACTTCACCAACGAGTCAGCGGCTCATGCGCAAAAGGACAGAGACAAACAACAACAATAACAACAACAACAACAAGAATTGAGCACAGCTCAAAGCTTGGGCGAGTTTGCCTCTTGTGCGATTAGCGTCGCAACGGTTCTCTCTGTGCTTTTGTGAGCTTTTCATCGCCAACAACAGGAATAGTCCAGAAGTGGTTGGCTCGATGTAAGTCACATTTTTTCGAAACCATATCAAAATTCTGATATATTTAAAGATTAAACGAAATTTGCTAAATAAACTCTTATCTACACATTTATTACAATTTATTATTAATTTATTTTGTCATACTAAGAAAACAAATAAATAAATAAAAACTCTAAGCTTTATAATATATTTTCTCAAAATATTTTAACAATATACAACTGCAACAATTCGCGATATTCCTTCATTTGTACCGTTAATTTAATAAAAAGATAGTAATAATAATTGTGTAAATAAATAAATTGCTTGCTGTAATGCATATTTATTTATATATTTGCTTATATATTTACTTGCTTAGCTAATCATCAGAAAGCAGACCAGACCAGTTCAGTTTGCCCAACATTTAATAAATTGCCTTCACACCCCATAACATTGCAGTAACTTCTCCAAAAACTCACACGGTACCAAAAATTGCCGAAAAATACTGAAACCTAGTCATTGAGACACAATTAATCACAAATAGAGATAAATGTGAGCTCCATAAATGTGAAAAATTACCTAAAAATAGACAGGCGACTTTAGCTAATGAATGAATGTATGAATGGGCGAATGACCAAACAAATTTAAGTGAATTTAAGCTAGGTGTATTGTTGTAAATTTAGCTAAAAAAAAATAAAGTTGTACATAAATCGTTTGCAGAGTATGCCAAATCTTTTGTCAACTAACAGAAAGACTTAAATGAGTAAGGAGACAATAAGCAAATTGAGTGAGTTTAATACATATTAATTTAAGATGGGAATGCTTTAATATTTAATCAGGCCTATCCATTTGCCACTGTAAGAAAAAACTTGAAACAACTTCAAGTACCAATATTAATTTATTTTTAAAATAGTATTCAGCATGAACACAAAGAGAGATTTATATTAACAAAAATATGGATGACAGTTCAAGTAGCCTGGCAACAATGCGTATACGTAATGTAAACACTTTCGTTAGTTTGTCGGTTTGTCGCATTGTGCTGCATGCTAATGAGAGAGTTGCGCTCGGCTGGAGGCAGCTAATTTACGACCAGCATACAAAACTGAAAGCTGTTTAAATCGACCCACACACACGCAATTGTCTTGGTTAACGTATAAGCATACACACACACACACATACACACACACACACGCTCACATATAAGCGGCATGGCCTTGCCGTTGCGCTGGAATTGCTCGTAATGACGGAGCGTGTCATACGCAGACCACCGTTATTGTTGTAGCTACAATATATGTGGTTAGGATAGTTAAACTTGTTGACCAGGCCCAGTTGCCAGTCTCCAGTCCTAGTATGCAACGCATCTGGCTAGGAAACCAGCCAATCTCTTTAGCCCGACTCATGACGCAGACGATTATTCTTACTCCATGCGTAGAGTCGATTTAGCTTGAAAGTCAAGTTTCTGGACTGGTTTTCTCATGCTGCAAGCGCCGAAAAGGGACAGAGAGATACATAGGTAAATAGTTTCGATTGCGTGTGCACCTGAACTTGGACGCACAAGTACGCATGATCAAGGTCACCAGTCGCCACAAAAATTCCACAAGAATTGAGAATGTGCCATCTAAATTACTGCCTGCAGCCGCTTTTTCAATAATAAAGATTAGTCATTGAGTTTAGTTGATAATGATTTGAATTCAGATGTGCTTTCTGGGGTTTTTAAATATTGTTTTGGGGGGCTGGCATTAATAGCTTATTCTAATTTTAATATTAAGAATTAATTTTAATTTAAAATCTCTTCGTAACACATTAAGCCAAGTTTATGGGATGCTTAGCACTGTTCCTCCATATTTTTAACCTATTAAAATGTATGGCTACAGACAAATCAATGGTCAATTTGTGTTACTTCATGTTAAAGAATACTTAAGCCGAAATAAATAGAGTGAACTTGTAAACAATTGCAGCTATCTGTAAGCCATTTTGATGTATTTCTTTATTTTGTTTCTTGCGCTATGGATTGTCGTTCCCTGTCAGCTAAAATTTGTAAATGTTTTAATACCCTCTTTTGGTTTGCCTTGTACTTATGACTCAAGTGCCATTACTGCAGACGACAACCAAAGCGCAGCGCAGCACAGCACAGCAGCTGCTGTTAACATAAATATCATGCCATAATGTGCAGGAAATTCTTGAGCCATGGCAACGCCCCGGCAGCGCCCAGACAAGTTTCACTTTCATGCCAGCAGCCAGCCAACAACAGCAACAGCAAAAGCATTTGCTCTACAAAATTATATAAACTCTTGCAAAAATAATTCCATTGCCACAGTATGGTGTGGTGTGTGTGTGTGTATATATGTGTGTGTGTGCGTGTGTGTGTGTTTGTGTTGCATGCTGTGTGTGTGCATTAAAGAGGTGCAGTCAACTAGCATTTGATTCTTCGTTGTGTTGCGAACAAAGCATTTCAAGTATGACCCACCAAAGTCGCACAATGGGAAAAAGAAAAACACAAAGCAAACTTTGACAACAACAAGGAACTCGAAAACTCGGTTGGGTTATTAAATAATTAATATCATACTAGATAGGTTTATTGAATGTCGGCTATTGTGGAGTCTTCATCTATATCTACACAATTTCTATTCAAGGCATTCACATAAAAATTGTTTGATAGAATAATTTGATCGGTACTTTTCTACAATCTTTATAAAGCACTAAACTAAATTATTTAATACAAGATTTTTTCTATAGCCGATCCACAAAGATAATATGTACTTCAATTAAGATTTCTACAATCTCTATAAGGCATTAAAATAAACCTGCATAATAAAAATTGCGCTCGTATTAAATGTAAGATTTAACTTTTAAAATTAGGATTTCAAATGAGAGACAAGCTTAAACAATAAATAGCATTAGAAATGAATTCTAGCTTATCAAAATACAAAAGTAAATATTGACTTATTTAATTCAAAACGTTTCTTAAAGTAATATTTTTGTACACACAGATTAAAATTTCAGCAAATCATCGACCTATGCAATAAGCTAACTTAATTTGTATGTTGAAGAGAAAGAGTGTTGACATAAATAAAAGTAAAAAGTGTTGCCTGAGTTGCAGATAATTGGATTTAGAGTATGGGAGCCAAATGAAAATAATTCAATTAAAATAAAAGTTCCTAAATTGATTATAGTCGAAAATCAAAATAATTTTTTCATCCGCTTTTTGCTACTGTGCGAATCTAAGCTGCTAACAGCTGCTGACACAACACAAAGACAAACACACACAACAACAACAGCAACAACGCCCATGCAGAAAATACTCGAGCACCCAACGTGCCCAGATAGAGTAGAGTCTGTTGTCCAGTGCCAACAGACTAACTGGTTGATTGTTTGTCTGTGGCAGTGCATTTGAAAGTGGTTTTGGGCCATTGCATAAGTGCACCAAATTCCAACAAAAACAACAACAGCAACAAAATGGCCAGCCACAAACAGCAGCAACACAAACAACAACAAAAACAACAACCAAACCTGGTTTCTAATGGTATCTAAATTGTTAACAATTTTTACTATATCATTCTTCTGGCCCGTCCGCTCTTTCAGCTGCGCAAAGTGTTGACGTAATGCTCGCGATTATTTGCTGGATTTCATTTGGACTCTGATTGGGTCGGTCTAATTGAAGCGGAACCCAAACTTGGTCGGTCGAATTGTTGGCTAAACAAAGACAAGGAATTTAATTCGATCTCATCGTTGGTTAATCGGCACTTTATTGAGTTTTCTTAGGTGCGGCAACAAATTTCGACAGTACAGTTTAGTATTACATACATACACCTAAACATACACATATACTCGTATTTACACATACATATATTTATATATAGAGATTGATATCCGATATCGGAGTGACTGATTTATTTGGCAGTAACAACTTTCCGCGAACATCAGTCGCTATCTCTCTGGGCCAACACAGAACATTAACCAAGAGTCCGCCTCTACTTACGGCCCGTATAGTCAATGCTGTAGGAGCCCGTATAGATGTTCAGATTTCGCAACGCCGGATGATGTTGCTCCGGCTGTCCATTATATTGCTGCTGCTGTTGTGGTGCATAGTAGGGCTGTGGCGCCGGTGGCTGATAGTATCGCTGCTGTGGTGCCGGTGGATTATAGTACTGCGGCGCAGGATTGTAAAATGGTCGGGCCGGAGCCGGTGCAGGTGCATATTGTGGCTGCTGTTGCTGATGTCCGCGCCCAAAATCATTCAAACTGAACTTGCTGGCCGCGATGGGGCGATTGTACTTCTGATCCTTGTAGTAGACTGCAGGATCCTCGCGATACTGGCCATCGTCAATCTCGTTGGGTCCCAGCGGATATGGATTGCTATTTGTCAACGTCGGTGGCGGCACATTGATGTGACTGCCAGCCGGCTCAAATCCACGCTTACTGGCACCATACTCAATCTCACGCACCTTGCCCTGATCATCCACATAGCCGTATTTGCCATAGACCTCACCATTCGAATACTTCGTTTCGATCTTGAAACTCTTGTCCGCCGCCTCGTAGCCGTAGGTGTAAGAACCGTCATCATTGTGTTTGTCGATCTGCTTAAGTATGGGCACAGGTGTTGTATAATCCTGATGTTGCGCATACGCAATGTGCGCCAGCAGCAACAGCAAAAACCAACCTTGGCATGGCTGTAAGAATTTTGATAAAGAAAGTTTAACAACTTGAGTCATTGAGACATTGGAATTGTTTTTTGTCAGCTTAATTTGACTTTTGTTTCTCAGTTTTTTTTTTCAGAATATATTAATCAGTACTAATTATATTTTCTATAAAATTTTCTATAAAAATATATTAAATACTATTAACAAAAAGTTGACTCCTAACCAACACAACTATATATGCATGGCTATGCACATAAGACGTAAATCTATATTATTTATTCGTAGTTTATTAATTGAATTACAATACATATAAATATTTCATATTTTTCAATGATCTTCGGCTCAGAAAATTAACGACAATTTAATTCACAACTGTTGGCGTGTGTATTTTTCAAACATATATTTGCACTTAAATAGGTTAAATTGCACAGCGTTTAAATTAATTATCTTTAGTGAATAGCAATACGCTCAAGGGCGTTGACTAACAAATATTTAAAAGACCTGCAATTAAAGCCCAGCTATCATACACATAGATCTCAAGTCACTTGCAACACAAATTGTTGACTTGTAAGCGGGATACAAAACCGGTTGCGACAGCATTCTTAACTTGTCTAAGCAAATTGATCGATTCTCGTTGAATTTTTAAAAATACGAAGTGCTCGTTTTATGTTTGTTTTGCTCACCAATTTAAGCATATTGACCAAGTCTATGCAAATTTATGACGTATGTCAAATCGTTTTCACCAATCTCGCGGCTTTAAGCTGAATATCGACTCTTTCTACAATTGCACCCGAGACTCTGCGCAACGAAACGACAACTCAAAAGAAAATCAGGGCGTGCAACGCTTTTATACCACGAACAACATTTCGAAAAGCGCGGCAAAGCAAGTAAATAAATGTATATACATATATATATATATATATAAATATATATATATATATATATGTATACATGCACATAGGTAAATTTCAAGTAAAAATGTGAGCCGAAGGCGGCCGAGAGCAAATTACATGCAGGTGCCGGGGTTGGGGTTGTGGTTGGGGGCGACCACTTGGCAAAGACAGCGATCAGCTGCGATATACGAAGCTTAGCACGAACAAGAATCGAGTGCTGCGTGGAATGCCGCAAAGAAATCGAAAGCTTTATATGAATAGTCCGATATGCCAGCCTCAACAGCTACCCCCTCCGTCTCTGTGACCACCTTTGGCTACACACAGAATTCCATAAGCAATCAGGTTATTAATGTCAGAACAAAAATTCTCGACTGACAATTTATGCTGTCAATGCTCACACACGCATATGGAATGAGCTTCCCCCTAGAATGCGGCAACTGGATTGGTTTAATGGATGCGGAAGTTTCAGATTGACTGCAATCTAAAGCTAAACATACCAATTATGTAAAACATAGGAATGTTTAACCAGACAAGTCGCAAGCACAAAACACAACCACAAAAATCGCACTATTTATTAGCCATTTAGGTTAGTTATTGGCCATTTCTTTTTGGCTCTTTCAGAGCTGTCCACATACACTGACCTAGTCAATGATTGGCAATCGCCGCCAAAACAGGTTGGCAGCCGAGCCCCAAATAATAAAATTGTAACAAAATGTGGTAATAATAAGTGTTCTTCTATAGTCATACATTCTGCATGAATTTGAAGGTGTTTTCATCCCAATTAATCTGAAATTTATAAAGCCAATAAAACGAAAGTATTAAGCGAAACAATTAAAAGTACAAATAAAACGAAAAATTCAAAACGAAAAATTTAACAAAAGTAGTAAATAAGAGGGTATAATAAATTATATATGTATATATTACAAAGATGTAGTTGAAAATTAAATCGAATTAAAGAAAGTTACAATAAAAAAATAGAAAGAAAATATTATCAGTATTTATTAAAAATTGTTGAAAGATTATAAGATATCAGAAAATGGAATTGAAAGTTGTTGTAAAGCTAAAATGTTAAAAATAGATTCAATAATGTAGTAAAATGAAATAATAGAGATAGTCAGCAAGAGGGAAAGAAAAATCGAAACAACAAAATTAAATATTTGTATCGTGGCTATCAAAATTTAACTGTGTTTTAACTATCAAAAATGAATCTCCCAGATAAAATCTGTTCCATAGTTCCTGGTAAAACTTTTCCGCAATGATAAAAAAATGCGCCGTAAAAATGTTTGCATTTTCTGCACATATAAATACAAGGCATTTTCAAGTCAGTCACTGCATTGTACATTGTATTTACTTGTTTTTTCATTCGTCCATTAAGAAAATTTGCATTTAAAATGAGTTTCATTTATATGGCATATACGTAATATGCACATCTGGTTGCCTTTATTCATTTTTTTTTTTGGTTTTTGTTTTTTTTTTTTTGTGAACATGATGATTTTGTATTCTAACAACTTATTTAATTAAGCCATATAAATAAATGCTACGCAAAATCCGCGAAGAAAAACTTTGCTGGCACATAGTTAAAGATCTTGGTGAATCGATCCAGTAGGACCGCATCAAAGGTTTGCGTCAACACCGGGCGCAGCACCTCGAACAGAACACGCCAGTTCTCATTGAAGAGTTCATTGGCGCTACTCTCGAGTTCCTTATTGCCGTTGAATAGATTTGTGAGGTTCACCCGAACCCTGTCAATGCGTGCAATATCCGTCTTAATGGCAGTGACATTCATGAACGTCAATCCCTTTACCAGCTGTGGTTTCATTTTCAGTGCCACATAAAACTCCAGATTATCTGTAAACTTGATTAGCTTTAAATTGGAATTTTGCGAATCGCTTGATAAACGCACCCAACTCAGAGCGCAGAATGCCAGAGCTGTTCAAATTCAGCACCAGAACGTGTCCCTTCAGTTTGTAGTTGCAAGTGATGCCAATTTGTGAGAGGTGCACATGAAAGCCAAGTGAATAGTGACCGGAGTTGAACAGCGTGCTGCAGTCCGAAATTGACTTTAGTAAATATTAATTAAAAAATTAGGCATCAGGCCACCTACGTTCCATTGAGTATCTTGGCCCGGCTCAGACCCATTGTGCTCATATTCCTCAGGGCCACCTGCACATCCAAATTTGGTGGCACACGCTGAGCTATACGAATTTTGCCGACTCGAAAAGGATCCAAGGCGCCAACGCCACGCAGCCCAGGCACACCTAAAAATAAAACAATGGTATATTAATTAAAAGTATTTCATTTCATTTATTTTCAATCAAATAATTTATAAACTCACCATTACGCCATTGCTGGAAAATGTTTTCTATTGTGGCCGATAAGCAAGGTCCACTGTTTGTATCCTTTAAAGAGCATGGCTTAAAAAAGGCAGCTGCAGTCCAATAATAAATTATTTTCAAAATGAAAACAGTTTCTCATTTACCACTCACGTTGTTCCTGTAGAAAATCTTGCGCTTGCACCACAGATGAAACAAGAAGAAACCACCACAATGCGGCAACTGGCTTATGGAGCTGCATTGCAACCGCTTCAGTTGGCTGCCAGTCGTGGACTGGTCATCAGCTTGGACAACCACTCAAGCAGAGCATTCGGCAATGGTTTTCAAACTTTAAGCATACCGCATTCGAATCAAGCATACATTTGTTGTAACAAGGGCGACAGTTTATCAACCCGTCATAAGAAGGCCTTGATCTGCCTGGTCAAGAACGCTGTCATTGTGATGTAAGCACAAATAAATATATACGTAGATATATGTATATATATATATCTAAATATATAAATTCAGTTAAAACAATTGTTTACCTATATTCAATTAGCTTATTTATACTTTTTGGCTTAGAATATCTAATTAATTAATAAAAATGAATTAAACGTAGGTACATTTCAATGATTATTGGTATTCTCTAATAATAAAAAAACCAGTTCACTTAAGGCAACATTCAATTTGCCGGCTGCTAATAAAATATTATGGGGGTCAAGGTTAATTAGTAGCTTCATTTCAAATCTGTATATAATTTATATGGTGCCAGGGTCAACGGGAGAGACGACGACAAGCGCCTGATCACAGCTCTGACCAAACTCAGCTTAAGAGATCATATAGAAAGCGCACCCTGTATGTGGACGACAAGTCTAATGCTGACAAACTCGTTTACTGTTTATTTAACTAATCCAACAGCGAACTTCACAAAGAAATACACATTAATATTTAAAAAAATTTAATTATATACGATACCCAAATATATATATGTATATATAGACATATATATCACTTTCTGAATTTCTGCATTTCATTTTGAATATAAAATATATAATGACTGCACGAAAAAACCTTAGAACATTCAGTGCTTTCAAGCCAAGCTAACGTTTGTAGATCTCGATCATTTTGAATAACCCAAAATGCTAACTCAAATTCGAATTTCGCTGGGACTCCTCCTGCTCTGTATTTCTGTGACCAAAGCCAACAATTACTTGTCCGAGAAACGTAAGGATCGCAATACATTTACTTTTGTAAACATTATTATTTTATTATTATATTTGTTTTTCTTGCAAATTAGCCAATTTCTTAACACCCTGCGTTGTGGAGGATCCCAACTTCAACAGGTGTCTGGCGGGCAATCTGCAAGGGATGCTGGTACAGTTTAAGGATGGTTTGCCCGGCACAAATATAGTGGGACCATTGGATCCATTGTTGGTGAAGCGTATCAAACTCTCACAAAATGCTGACGCCATTTCTGTCAATGCGGATTTGCAGAACGTTTATATCACTGGTGCCAGCCAAATAGCCGTGCAAGAGGCCAGGTATATGATAGAATCAATCTAAAGATGTTCTTAATTAATATTTTCATACTTAATTGCTTAGTTACAATCCCACAAAGTATGTGGCCAAAGCTCTAGTGGTGCTGCCAAAACTTCGTTTTGATTTTGACTACAAGGTGAAAGGACATGTACTGGCCCTAAATCTCAATGGTCATGGCAAGGGTGGCTTCCAGGCCGGTAAGTAAACTAAACTAAACTGTATTTAATTTGCTTCGCAATCCCTAATTGAATGCATTGCCTTCAAACAGAGAACGTTGTGGCTAGCTTCGATATGATAGTCAAACCGCGAACCACAGCCGAAGGCACTTTTGCCGATGTGCAGCGCGTGAAAGCACATTTCCGAGATGTCGGAAATTTTAATGTTAAGCTGTACGATCTATTTGGAGAAAATGCGGAGCTGGATGCAACTGCTCATATGCTCTTCAACGGTAACTGGCGTCAGTTCTTCTCTATTTTGAAGCCGACCCTCGAACAGACCTTTGAGGCAGTATTACTAGATCGCACCAAGAAAATATTTAATTATGTGCCGGCCACCTACTTTATCGAGAATTTTCATTAATATATTCGCTGGCGAATTAATACTTAATACTCAATAATTAACCGAACCATTATACAAATATACCTGTTCAAGAACTTTATCTCATTTTCACTCGTTTGATCTGACTCTTTATGAATAATAAAACGTATTGAATTTATTTTCTGTTAGTGTACATTACACCGTATTGTATTATTGTATTATTACATTACACCGTAATACATTGTATATACATCGTCTTGTCAGACTTGTTCTTACCGTTAAAGTTTCCATTCCATTTACTAAAGAACTATATAGTTAACGAGCAGTACAAAGCTCGGCAGCTATAAATAACTGATGTAACTGTGTAGCTCTATATAGAATCGCATTTAGATACACATCAACACTCAACATGAACGTCTCGAAGTTCTCGCTTAGTTTTTGCGGCGGATTGTTGGCAATCTTGATTTTCAACTCGCTCGCCTTTAATGTGACTGCCGCTGAGTACTACACGGTGAAGCGTAAGTGATCGTTAGACAAATATTAACTACATGGAATTCAATTGATTATCAATCACGAAATTAGCAACATTTTTACCGTCGTGTCGCATTTATGAGCCCGGTTTTATCAACTGTTCCACGCACAGCATCCAAAAGCTGATTGATCAACTCAATATTGGTATACCGGAGATTGTAGAGAGATTCGGATCATTAGATCCCATGCATATTAAGGACATTGTGTATAAGCAGGATAACAATGAAGTAGCAACCTTAAGCTCAAACTTAACGAATGTGATGGTTAAAGGATTTTCTCAAATCATTATCAAGGAAAGTCGGTGCGTACAAATAGATATTTGCAAGAGGCATTTTTAAATTTTATTATTAACATTAAATTTATATTTTGTAATTCAAAATGATAATGTTGACTATCAAAGAGTCAAATGATCTATTAAAATGTAAATTTCCAGTGTCAGCAAGAAGGATTTTAACTGGCAAACGAAAATCTACATACCCAAAATGAGTTTGGATGCCAAATATAAGATGGCTGGTCGAGTTCTCTTATTACCTCTAAATGGTTCTGGCAAAATGTTAATAGTCATCGGTGAGTTCAATGTATTTTGTATAAAATAGTAATTCTTCTAAAAAGTTAATTTTCAGATGATCTCGACGTTCTGTTGCGAACCAAAGTCCAGCTATACGAAAAGGGTAACTTCACCTTTTATAATGTGACTGCGGTGACTGCGCAATTGAATATGTCTCGGGTGCACACGAATTTGGATAATCTATTCAATGGGCGCAGCAAAGAAGTGGAACGCAGCACGAATCAGTTCTTCAATGATAATTGGCGTGATTTCTATGAGGCACTGAAGCCACTTATAGTCGAAACTGTAGAGACAATTTTCCTGGAAATAATGTCAACGGTATTCCATCTGATACCAGCCAACTTCTTTGTAGAGGATATTCCCACTCCACAGCAACTATATGGCACAGACAGTAAAGAATAAAATACAATGTAATTAATCTTGTGATAAATTTAGCAGACATGTCAGGCATTTCTATAATCTGGTAAAACTGATACGTAAATGCGTATAATTATATAAAATATATTCACTAATGGTGAAAGGAATGAGAAAAAGCACATTAATCATTAAAATAATAAACTAATACAATTTCTGTGATTCAAATTCCAGGTAAGTACTTAAGATTTAATCATTGGCTCAAGCTTCAGACCCGTATTATATCAACTTGATTTGCCGAATAGTGAACACCATATTTGTTTTCTGCAGGGAAGATAAGAAAAACTTAATGGTTGATCATCAAAATTGATTAGTTAATCAGACTTTACATACCTTTTTTCTCCACGCTGTATACGCGCTGCTTAAATATGTGGAAAACAGAACAAATTATTAGCGCCAGAACTACAGAGATGACAATCAAAACCAGGAATAACCAATTCGTTACAAAGTTATTTATGCTGCCTGTTGAACCAGCATTTTCTATATCCTCAATGCTCGAACAATCAAAGCCTCCTTGTGCGATGGTCCCATCGAAGCAGTTGCATACATCTGGAGATGCACAATAACCGTGGATGCACTCCCTCTCACACACGGGCAGACAAAGCAGTTGTGTTATGTTGTTTGCATCTCCAGTCAATCTGTAGTTTGGATTACAACTGCATTTACCATCAATGCAGGTTCCATTCCAACATCTTTGTTTGCATGCATTCATCTGGATATCTCCACCATTTACAGGCATTTCCGTTTTCGCATTTCTTGCTGTACTGGAACTTTCAGCACTCATTTCAGACATGCAAATATTTTCTATTTTAATGTACCCCTCATTGCAGCTACACTTATTAGGGGACTCACAATAACCATTAGGACATCCCCTATCACATAGGGGCACACATCTGTTCTCACTTATTTTACTGTAACCCTCATTGCAATTGCACACCTCGGGAGCCTCACAGACTCCGTTCTCACATCCATCTTTACAAACTGGAGAACAATTGTGCTCACTTTGCTTGGTGTAGCCTTCAAAACAGGTACATTCTCCCGGAGCAGAGCAACGGCCGTTCTTACATTCACTATCACAAATCGGAGCACAGCTGTTCTCATTCACTTTAGAATAGCCATCGTCACAGGTGCATTCGCCAGGAGCAGAGCAAAATCCATTCTCACAACCATCTTTACATACTGGTGAACAACTGTTCTCTGTTATTTTAGAATAGCCAGCGAAACAGGAACATTCCTCAGGAGCAGTACATAATCCGTTCTGACATCCATTGTTACAGACTGGAGCACAGCTGTTCTCATTCACTTTAGAATATCCATCGTTGCAGGAGCATTCTCCAGGAGCAGAGCAAAATCCGTTCACACACCCATCCTTGCAGACTGGAGAACAACTGTTCTCTGTTACTTTAGAATAGCCATCGTTACAGGTGCATTCCTCAGGAGCAGTACATAATCCGTTCTGACATCCATTGTTACAGACTGGAGCACAGTTTTTCTCATTCACTTTAGAATATCCATCGTTGCAGGAACATTCTCCAGGAGCAGAGCAAAATCCGTTCACACACCCATCCTTGCAGACTGGAGAACAATTGTTCTCTGTTACTTTAGAATAGCCAGCGAAACAGGAACATTCCTCAGGAGCAGTACATAATCCGTTCTGACATCCATTGTTACAGACTGGAGCACAGCTGTTCTCATTCACTTTAGAATATCCATCGTTACAGGAACATTCTCCAGGAGCAGAGCAAAATCCATTCTCACAACCATCTTTACATACTGGTGAACAACTGTTCTCTGTTACTTTAGAATAGCCATCGTTACAGGTGCATTCCTCAGGAGCAGTACATAATCCGTTCTGACATCCATTGTTACAGACTGGAGCACAGCTGTTCTCATTCACTTTAGAATATCCATCGTTGCAGGAACATTCTCCAGGAGCAGAGCAAAATCCATTCTCACAACCATCTTTACATACTGGTGAACAACTATTCTCTGTTACTTTACAATAGCCAGCGAAACAGGAACATTCCTCAGGAGCAGAACATAATCCGTTCTGACATCCATTGTTACAGACTGGAGCACAGCTGTTCTCATTCACTTTAGAATATCCATCGTTACAGGAACATTCTCCAGGAGCAGAGCAAAATCCATTCTCACAACCATCTTTACATACTGGTGAACAACTGTTCTCTGTTACTTTAGAATAGCCATCGTTACAGGTGCATTCCTCAGGAGCAGTACATAATCCGTTCTGACATCCATTGTTACAGACTGGAGCACAGCTGTTCTCATTCACTTTAGAATATCCATCGTTGCAGGAACATTCTCCAGGAGCAGAGCAAAATCCATTCTCACAACCATCTTTACATACTGGTGAGCAACTGTTCTCTGTTACTTTAGAATAGCCATCGTTACAGGTGCATTCCTCAGGAGCAGTACATAATCCGTTCTGACATCCATTGTTACAGACTGGAGCACAGCTGTTCTCATTCACTTTAGAATATCCATCGTTGCAGGAGCATTCTCCCGGAGCAGAGCAGAATCCGTTCTCACATCCATCTTTGCAGACTGGTGAACAACTATTCTCTGTTACTTTAGAATAGCCAGCGAAACAGGAACATTCCTCAGGAGCAGAACATAATCCGTTCTGACATCCATTGTTACAGACTGGAGCACAGCTGTTCTCATTCACTTTAGAATATCCATCGTTACAGGAACATTCTCCAGGAGCAGAGCAAAATCCATTCTCACAACCATCTTTACATACTGGTGAACAACTGTTCTCTGTTACTTTAGAATAGCCATCGTTACAGGTGCATTCCTCAGGAGCAGTACATAATCCGTTCTGACATCCATTGTTACAGACTGGAGCACAGCTGTTCTCATTCACTTTAGAATATCCATCGTTGCAGGAACATTCTCCAGGAGCAGAGCAAAATCCATTCTCACAACCATCTTTACATACTGGTGAACAACTATTCTCTGTTACTTTACAATAGCCAGCGAAACAGGAACATTCCTCAGGAGCAGAACATAATCCGTTCTGACATCCATTGTTACAGACTGGAGCACAGCTGTTCTCATTCACTTTAGAATATCCATCGTTACAGGAACATTCTCCAGGAGCAGAGCAAAATCCATTCTCACAACCATCTTTACATACTGGTGAGCAACTGTTCTCTGTTATTTTAGAATAGCCAGCGAAACAGGAACATTCCCCAGGACCAGTACATAATCCGTTCTGACATCCATTGTTACAGACTGGAGCACAGCTGTTCTCATTCACTTTAGAATATCCATCGTTGCACGAGCATTCTCTAGGAGCAGAGCAAAATCCGTTCACACACCCATCTTTGCAGACTGGAGAACAATTGTTCTCTGTTACTTTAGAATAGCCATCGTTACAGGTGCATTCCCCAGGAGCAGTACATAATCCGTTCTGACATCCATCTTTACAGACAGGGCCACATCTACTCTCATTTACTTTAGAGTAGCCATCATTGCAAGAACATTTTCCAGGAGCAGAGCAAAATCCGTTCACACACCCATCTCTGCAGACTGGAGCACATCTACTCTCACTGATCTTTGAGTAGCCATCGTTGCAGGAGCATCTTAAAGGAGCAGAGCAAAATCCGTTCTCACAACCATCTTTACATACTGGTGAACAACTGTTCTCTGTTATTTTAGAATAGCCAGCGAAACAGGAACATTCCCCAGGAGCAGTACATAATCCGTTCTGACATCCATTGTTACAGACTGGAGCACAGCTGTTCTCATTCACTTTAGAATATCCATCGTTGCAGGAACATTCTCCAGGAGCAGAGCAAAATCCATTCTCACAACCATCTTTGCAGACTGGAGAACAATTGTTCTCTGTTACTTTAGAATAGCCATCGTTACAGGTGCATTCCCCAGGAGCAGTACATAATCCGTTCTGACATCCATTGTTACAGACTGGAGCACAGCTGTTCTCATTCACTTTAGAATATCCATCGTTGCAGGAGCATTCTCCCGGAGCAGAGCAGAATCCGTTCTCACATCCATCTTTACAAACGGGAGCACAATTGTTCTCTGTTATTTTAGAATAGCCATCTTTACAGGTGCATTCCCCAGGAGCAGTACATAATCCGTTCTGACATCCATCTTTACAGACAGGGCCACAACTGCTCTCATTTACTTTAGAGTAGCCATCATTGCAAGAACATTTTCCAGGAGCAGAGCAAAATCCGTTCACACACCCATCTCTGCAGACTGGAGCACATCTACTCTCACTGATCTTTGAGTAGCCATCGTTGCAGGAGCATCTTAAAGGAGCAGAGCAAAATCCGTTCTCACAACCATCTTTACATACTGGTGAACAACTGTTCTCTGTTATTTTAGAATAGCCAGCGAAACAGGAACATTCCCCAGGAGCAGTACATAATCCGTTCTGACATCCATTGTTACAGACTGGAGCACAGCTGTTCTCATTCACTTTAGAATATCCATCGTTGCAGGAGCATTCTCCAGGAGCAGAGCAAAATCCGTTCACACACCCATCTCTGCAGACTGGAGCACATCTACTCTCACTGATCTTTGAGTAGCCATCGTTGCAGGAGCATTTTAAAGGAGCAGAGCAAAATCCGTTCTCACAACCATCTTTACATACTGGTGAACAACTACTCTCGGTTTTTTTCGAGTATCCCGTGAGGCATTCACAGCTTCCCGGCGACTTACAAACGCCGTTCAAGCAGCCGTCTTTGCAAATGGGTTCACATTTGTTATCGGTGCCCTTTTGATAATGCGCATGGCACTCACAAATATCCGGTGAACTACAGAATCCGTTATCACATCCAGTGCTGCATACTGGATTGCATTCATTTAGGGTAACATTTATTTGGTAGCCTTCCTTGCACTGTGGTTGACAGATCTGACTTTTGGCATTCAGCGTGAATCCCTTGTTGCAGACGCATTTTCCGGGTGACTTGCAGTTGCCATTAAAACATCCGCTGTTGCAGATTGGAAGGCAATTACCACTTGACTCATTAAGCTTGTAGCCCTTGGCGCATATACACAGACCGGGCGATCCGCACTGGCCATTCATGCATTCGCCCTTACATTTGGGCACGCAGCTGGCAAACAAAATATTCAAAATTATGAAATTCACAAGTTCAAGGTAAAAACTCACCGATTAGAGATCAAATTGTTGAGATTCTCGTAGCCTGGCTTGCAACGGCAAGTTTCTGGCTCCACGCATTTTCCGTTCCCACAGCTCTTTGTGCATATCGGTTTACATGTAAGGGGACTCCTTCTTACACGTATATAGCCTTTGCAGCAAAAGTTTCTTTTAATAATCTGGATTTCAGAAGTTTGTATTAGCCTTATTACAGTTTTGTTGATAATATTAAGTTAGATTACTTACTTGCCGTTTGCCCTTAATAATCCGTGGTTGCGATTGGACACAAATCTGTGCCAATACAATACTAGGAAAAACAAAAAATATCAATATCGTCCGGACAAGCATTGTGCAGTAATTACTCTGATGCACTAACTAATGCGACTGAAAGCGTCTCGCAAAAAATATGAGAGCGGCAAGAATCCACACAGTGTTCAAAGTATTTTAATGGTCTTGGGACTGATTTAGTAGACCCTTTTCATACCAATGTACACTTGGAGCAAAAGTTTAACTGCTGTTTTGGGTACCACAAATTGCATATGCTTGGACTCAACTTTAAATGACTCACATAACAATTTAGTTTAATTTAAATACTTACATTTCTTTCTGTGTAATTGTGCCTGTAGCCGTTGAGGGCTTATCACAAATTCAACCACGCGGACAACGCCTGAACTTTACTTCGCATATCTTCAATGTGTTTCAAAGCAACTATGAAATTTAAAAACCAACTTATTTATATACGCTTTCCCATTGCAAAAAAAAATCCATAAGCCCGAAATTAAAATCGAAAAAAATTGAATTTAATAAATACATTGAGAATTACATATGTATTGGTAATCAAATAATAAAAGAAAGTATGCATAAAACTATTTTTAATATTGTGCAGCTAAATCAAATAAAATTGGAATATAAGAATATTTATCAGTATGGTTCCGAGTCGAGATCTAAACTTTGTTCTCAATAAATACAGTAATAATATTGAAATGGTGTCAGCTAACCAAGTTCCAAGGCGAAGTTCTATAAAATGTCGTTTTAAGCGACCTTAACTACTATGAAGTCATTCTAAATAAAACAAAACACATCATTATACAATGACTTGGAATGCGATGTACATTTTGTATATAAAGACCCAAATATGTAGATTAACCAATCTACTTAAATTCATTCATATAAATGAATATTCTTTATCTTTCTTTTTGCTTTGACTGCTATATTTGTATTAAAAATACATTACAAATGTATGAAAATGTATACAAAAATAACAGTTTAATTTACATAATTTCCTTTGATTTTTTATTTACAATAATTTGTCATACCCATCCTACAGGTAAGAATCACGCAATTATTTCAGTCACCATATATTTTGTACCATCTGAATCATATATTTTAAATACTTAGATAATACAGCTACTTAATTGTTTAACGTATTTTCCACAAATAAATTAGCTTAGTTCTACGATGCAATATAGAGTCAGCTTTAACCGATACTCAGAGCAGGTAAATATATATGTAAACTGTAGGTTCTTGAATTAAAAAACAAGCTTTACGGCCAGCATACGTCTAATACAAATCGAGCTGTATTCATTAGTGCAGCACAACTCAGTTAGAAGCTATGCATTCGTAGGCCATATGAAATTCAACATCACGCTGGAAAATCTCTCATTTGTTCGCGACTAACTCGATTGGGCGGTGAAACTGTGACACTAACAACTTTTTACAATGCTAAAATCGCTTAACATACGAGTACTCGTAATTGGCTTACTCTGTACCAGCCCCGCCTATGTTAAGACCCTTGAATATTATACGGAAAAGCGTAAGTGCATCAGCACTTGAATTGATTTAATTACCGTAAACAGGTTAATGATAATGAATGTGTTGTAACTGCCTGTTTTCAACATAAATACATTATGCACTTCATTATGCTTTTTAAATATAAAAAAAGAACAAAAAACAAATTCATTAAATAATTAGTGTAACAATACGAAGTGTGCTCGCTTTTCAGCCTCATATATTGAATCGTGTCGCATTAATGAGCCAGACTTTACTAACTGCTCAACTCGTTCCATACAGGGATTCCTCAACGCAGTCATTGAAGGTGAGCAGCTAATTTAATGAGGCCACATTTTTCATAGTGCTTCACTTTACAGGTATACCAGAAATTGAGGAATCTTTTGGACCGATAGATCCCATGAAACAAGACCAACTGTCATTCAATCAGGAAAACAGCGATATCGTCTCCATCTCCGCAAATATAACTGTTGGGTTTTAAAGCGGCAAAGTGATGCACTAGGTTTGGCGCTTACACTAAGAAGAACTTTTATTCAATGTATTGTTAAGTTGGGGTATCGAGCGGAGTATAGATATTTTCTGTTATTAACATTAGTAATCGGAATGTTGTATTGATCTTCGACATATTTTCAACACTCCCCCTCAATACACATTATTGACAATTAATTTGAGACCAAGCAATCTATTACAATTTTCATGTTTTGACTTGCTCAAATTCTTAGTTAAGATATCTGCCATCATTTGACTCGTTGGACAATATTCCAGCTGAATCACAAGCTAATTAAAAACTTCTCGCACGAAGTGATAACGAATATCCATATGCTTGCTTCGTGCATGGGAAACTGGATTTTTAACTAAGTTTATAGCGCTCAAATTATCGCCATGACTTACAATACTTTTCATATTTCTGTATATGTTCATTTCGTTACATAATTTCAGAATATAAACAGCTTCTTTAGTTGCTTCCGATATTCCCATATATTCGGCTTCAGTACTACTTAGTGCTACTGACGACTGCTTCTTGCTTTCCCATGAGAATGCGCTACCGCCAAGAATGAATGCGTATCCAGTGTACGACTTTCGGTCCGTGTCCACCCCAGTCCGCATCAACGTAGCCTTTGATGGGATTTCCAGTTTTAGCATATGTTATGCCCATTGAAGACGTCGTCCTCGGATATCGCAGCACTTATTTTGCTGCTGCCCAGTGCTCTTGGTGGGGATCCGTATTCCGTTGAGACAGCGTACATACGGAATGTAAAATGTCAGGTCTGGATGTAACTGCCAGATAAATTAATGATCCGATCAGTGATTGGTACTCTGCCTGGTTGACCGTTTTGCATTGTTGGCTCTCACATTTGGCGGTGTACCCGGACGCCAACGGTATTGATACTGGCCGACACGCTTCCGTGCCAAACTTCTTAAGCAGCTACAACACATGCTGCTGCTGGGTAATCGTTGTCGCCCCTATTATGCCCTTCCTATTGATTTCCATACCAAGGAAATTATGTATAGGGCCCTTGTCAACCACCTGGAAAATTCGAGATATGCTTTCTTTTATACTGGCCAACTCACCAATATCTGATGAACATATCATCATATCATCCACATATACTGCGATTATGTTTATGTTGTTTTGTGTATGCCTAGTATATACACACAGCTCGCTTGGACAGGCCGAAAAACCAATTTTTGTCATCATCTCATTCAGCTTTTTGTTCCACATCCGTCTAGACTGTTTTAGCCCATATAAGGACTTTCGAAGTTTAAGAACAGACACTCCTTGTTCTTCAAACATACGGGGTTGCTTCATGAAAACATCCTCCTGCAATTCTCCATTTAGATATGCCGTGGATACATCAAGTTGGTGCACATGTAGCTCCAGTTCACCTGCTATGGCCAACACCATTCTTATTGTCGAAAATCGCACTACTGGCCAAAACGTTTCGTCGTAGTTCACTCCGTGTTGCTGGCTGCAACCCTTTGCTACTAGCCTAGCCTTGTATCGTACTATGGTGCCATTTTTGTCACGTTTTAGTGCAAAGACCCATCTGCATCCGATCGCCTTATGATTGGATGGTAATTCGGCTGGTTCCCAAGTTCCATTCACTTTCAGTGCTCCGAATTCTTGTGCCATGGTCTTTTGCCATTCGATCGCCTGTGGACTTTCCAATGCTTCTTCCACTGTTTCTGGTGTTATGACGTCATCACTGCTCAGAAGATTCAGCTTGTGCCTCTCGTCGCCTGGTCTTCACCATCCGTGCCCACTGGTTCTTTCAAGTCGGTTACTTTTCTTGCTGATTTCTCTTTTATTGGTATCGGTGTTACCGTTATCTTCGCCGGTGCCTTTGCTGCTGCCTCTGCTGCTGGCTTTGCTGCTGGTTCTGCTGCTGATATTGCTATTGGACTTCTGTAATTACCTTGCTGCAATTAAAATCGGGTAACGTGGGTATATCAACTGCACTTGATTCTGTTGTTGACTCAACAAAATACACATCACGGCTTACGATCATTTTACCACTGACGCTGTTGTAGAGGCGATATGCTTTAGCTTGATCTGCACATCCAACCAGTATGTATTATATACCCTTCGGTCTAAATTTCCGATTCTGTGTCTTGTCCAACGCTATCGCCAAGCACCCAAATGTACGAAGGTGGCCAACTGATGGCTTCCGCCCTGTCCATAACTCATATGGCGTACTCTGAAGCACAGCTTTTGTAGGCGATCTATTCCGTAGATAAGCTGCCGTATGTACAGCTTCTGCCCAGAAACTTTCTTTAAGTTTGGCCTCTAGCAGCATACATCGCACCATCCCCACGAGGGTACGATTCATCCTTTCTGCAACTCCAGTTTGCTGGGGTGTGTGAGGCACTCTCAATTGACGGACGATCGCATTTTGTTTCAGAAATATGTCAAACTCGTTGTTTACATATTCTCTGCCATTGTCACTGCGAAGTACTTTGATCCGTTTTCCCGTTTGGCATTCCATCATGTTCTTATAATTCTTAAACACAGTTAGAACTTCTGATTTATTTTTGATAAAATATATGTGAACATATCGCGATTTATCATCAATCATGGTAACAGAGTAACGTGATCCTCCGTTTGAACATATGTTTATAGGGCCGCAAACATCACTATGTATAATGTTTAGCACATCCTCACTTTTGCTGACTGACATATTAAATGGCTTCGCGCAACACTTACTCTGTAGGCATTTCTTACAGTCAAATTCGCTTGTGCTGTTGAAGTTCACTCCACGCACCAATTTCATATTATTTAACTCTTTGACGCTTTGCATGTTCAGATGTCCATATCTCTTATGCCATTTTATAATGTCCTCACTGCCACTTTTGCCATTTCCACTTAGGAACACTGCATTTATTGTTTTGGTTATTTCACACAGAAATAAATTGCTTCTATGATTTGCAATAATCAGTGGTACATAAAGAACGTTTGTGAGTTTTTTAATGTTGACGATTCCGTTTCAATCATGACGACTCCTTGTCCGACTACTTCTAGTGATTTTTCACCAGCAAGTGTGACTGTATCACTGAATTGTTCAAACGAATTAAACATATTTTGATTTGCGCACATATGAGCTGTGGCGCCACTATCTAAGCAGTCGTTCACCGTTTTTTGCACTTAGCAACGTGAAGAATGATTTTTCGTCTCTTCCTTTTACATTACATTCGTTCGCACTCGTACTTGTTCTCACACAGAAAATTTTAGTTGGTAATGCACACAGCAATACAAAATTATGCAATTCTAAAAAAAATTTCACTCGACCTTAAACGCGGCTTTTCAGCATAACCTTAGTTTTATTCAACTTTTTCTTTATGCCTGGGCCCATAACCTGTTGGGTTTTAAAACGGAAAGTGATGCACTAGGTTTGTGAAGAAATTTTATTAAAAGTATTCTTAAGTTAAAGTATCGAGCGCAATATCGATATTTTCTGTTATTAACATTAGTAATCGGAATGTTGTATTGATATTTTACATATTTTCAAAAATAACCAATCTTGTAATAAGCGGCTTTGGAAAAATGGTTACAGATACATATAGTGATTAATAGACAAATACTATTTGTGTATTTGTGTGTAGATACGCATTTTCCATGCAGACTTCGGGAAAATTTTCCATAACTGCAATATTTCCTTAATTTGCACATAACTTAAAATATTCAATTATTTTAGGGTAAGCAAGAAGGACTTTAGCTGGCAGGATCACATTTACATTCCCAAAATGCGAATTGATGGTAATTACAAAATGCTTGGACGCGTTTTAATAATTCCACTGCACGGATCTGGCACTTTATTTATCGAGATAGGTAATTATATAAAGCCCTTTATTACATCTGAACTATGTTATATTATAGCAATGGCAATTGACAGATGAACTTAATATATTTATGAATGCCACGACACGCATCTATGAAAAGGGAGGATACACCTTCTTCAGCGCGATTGCGGTGAGTGTTAAATTATATGTGGGCCGTGTCTGGACATATATGGACAATCTGTTCAACGGTCATAGCAAGGATGTGGAACGCAGTACAAATGAGTTCTTTAATGAGAACTGGCGTGAGTTCTACGAAGCGTTACATCCACTAATTGTGGAAACAGTGGAGCGCACATTGTTCGATCTGCTGAAGAAGATGTTCAATTTGATGCCCGCCAATTTCTTTGTGGAGGATATACCCAATTCCCTGGCTTTGTATGGGCTAAAAACGCGGCTTATAGTGTAGAATTATGTGATTATTGAAAAAAAAAAGTCCGTTTTCAATTAATTGTTACAGTTAAAGAATAAATGCAAAAGCTCAATATTCTTTAGTATATATGTATATATATTTACAGCCTTCAAGCAGGGTGATGACAGTTATACATATTCAGTGTCAGCTAATCAGAAGTCATTAAATTGTACATAGATAATGCCAACCAAATTTATTAAAGTAAATTCCTAATTAAAGTACATTTCATACCAAAAAAAACGTATAAAAATGGATTTTGAAAATCGATTGAGGGACAAGAATATTTTTAAGAAGCTGATTGGAATACCGGAGATTATTAAATTACATATTAAAGGATTTTTACAATCCATGATCAATGAAAGTCAGTGCGTATCAAGAGAAATTTCTCTGAAAAGGAAATTATTAAACTTCATTTTTAATAAGAATTGCTTAACATTTATGAGTCAGCTATTATAATTCAACAGAAATGTAGAATTAAATAAATTAAAATACATATCCAGTGTCAGCAAAAGGGACAAACCAAAATCTACTTACCCAAAATGTATTTGAATGCCAATTATCACAATATTAATAGAAATGCAATTTTCAAAATGTGATTTTGCAGATTATCTCATCTTCTTTCAACGTCCTTGTCGAGGATATTCCCATACCACAACACAAAGATAGTAAAAAATAAAATACTATATAAAAGTACTACAAAAAGTTATCAAGAATTTATTCAAATCCGAAGCAAAAACCGGAATTTGTATTATTATCCGAAAAATTAATTGTTATTAATAAATAAATAATGTTAAAAATCAATTATTATTTTAAAGCGATGAAATAACTATTTTTTATGATAATTGCTCACAGTTCTTGAGGTAAAGGTAAATGCATAAATTACACCAACAATTTTCAAATTGTTTATGGGAATTATGAAAAACAAATTAATCATTGAGGTAATAATGTAATAATACAATTAATGCGATTATTAATCCAAGTAAGTACTAATGGATTACTCTTCAGTTAATGCCTCAGGTCCATAACACTTCGACTTTATTTCCCGAAGAACGAGCACCACATTTTTTTTCTGCAGGGAAGATAAGAAAAATATAATAGTTGATCATCAAAATTGATTAGTTAATCAGACTTTACATACCTTTTTTCACCACGCTTTATAAGCGCTGCTTAAGTATGTGGAAAACAGAAAAAATTATTAGCGCCAGAACTACAGAGATGACAATCAAAACCAGGAATAACCAATTCGTTACAAAGTTATTTATGCTGCCTGTTGAACCAGCATTTTCTATATCCTCAATGCTCGAACAATCAAAGCCTCCTTGTGCGATGGTCCCATCGAAGCAGTTGCATACGTCTGGAGATGCACAATAACCGTGGATGCACTCCCTCTCACACACGGGCAGACAAAGCAGTTGTGTTATGTTGTTTGCATCTTCAGTCAAGCTGTAGTTTGGATTACAACTGCATTTACCATCAATGCAGGTTCCATTCCAACATCTTTGTTTGCATGCATTCATCTGGATATCTCCACCATTTACAGGCATTTCCGTTTTCGCATTTCTTGCTGTACTGGAACTTTCAGCACTCATTTCAGACATGCAAATATTTTCTATTTTAATGTACCCCTCATTGCAGCTACACTTATTAGGGGACTCACAATAACCATTAGGACATCCCCTATCACATAGGGGCACACAGCTGTTCTCACTTATTTTACTGTAACCCTCATTGCAATTGCACACCTCGGGAGCCTCACAGACTCCGTTCTCACATCCATCTTTACAAACTGGAGAACAATTGTGCTCACTTTGCTTGGTGTAGCCTTCAAAACAGGTACATTCTCCCGGAGCAGAACAACGACCGTTCTTACATTCACTATCACAAATCGGAGCACAGCTGTCCTCATTCACTTTAGAATAGCCATCGTTGCAGGAGCATTCTCCAGGAGCAAAGCAAAATCCGTTCTCACATCCATCTTTACAAATTGGAGAACAACTAATCTCAGTTGTTTTAGAGTAGCCATCATTGCAAGAACATTTTCCAGGAGCAGAGCAAAATCCGTTCACACATCCATCTTTACATACTGGTGAACAACTACTCTCGGTTTTTTTCGAGTATCCCGTGAGGCATTCACAAATTCCCGGCGACTTACAAACGCCGTTCAAGCAGCCGTCTTTGCAAATGGGTTCACATTTGTTATCGGTGCCCTTTTGATAATGCGCATGGCACTCACAAATTTCCGGTAAACTACAGAATCCGTTATCACATCCAGTGCTGCATACTGGATTGCATTCATTTAGGGTAACATTTACTTGGTAGCCTTCCTTGCACTGTGGTTGACAGATCTGACTTTTGGCATTCAGCGTGAATCCCTCGTTGCAGACGCAATTTCCGGGTGACTTGCAGTTGCCATTAGAACATCCGCTGTTGCAGATTGGAAGGCAATTACCACTTGACTCATTAAGCTTGTAGCCCTCGGCGCATATACACAGATCGGGCGATCCGCACTGGCCATTCATGCATTCGCCCTTACATTTGGGCACGCAGCTGGCAAACAAAATATTCAGAATTATGAAATTCACAAGTTCAAGATAAAAACTCACCCATTAGAGATCAAATTGTTGAGATTCTCGTAGCCTTGGTTGCAATGGCAAGTTTCAGGCTCCACGCATTTTCCGTTCCCACAGCTCTTTGTGCATATCGGTTCACATTTAAGGGGACTGATACTTACACGTTTATTGCCTTTGCAGCAAAAGTTTCTTTTAAAACTCTGGATTTCAGAAGTTTGTATTAGCCTTATTGCAGTTTTGTTGATAATATTAAGTTAGATTACTTACTTGCCGTTTGCCCTCAATAATCCGTTGTTGCGTGCGGACACAAATCTGTGCCAATACAATACTAGGAAAAACAAGAAATATCAATATCGTCCGGACAAGCATTGTGCAGTAATTACTCTGATGCACTAACTAATGCGACTGAAAGCGTCTCGCAAAAAATATGAGAGCGGCAAGAATCCACACAGTGTGCAAAATATTTGACTGGTCTTCGGACTGATTTAGTAGACCCCTTTTATACCAATCTACACTTGGAGCAAAAGTTTAACTGCAATTTTGGGTATCACAAATTTCATATGCTTGGACTCAACTTTAAATGACTCACATAACAATTTAGTTTAATTTAAATACTTACATTTCTTTCTGCGTAATTGTGCCTGTAGCCGTTGAGGGCTTATCACAAATTCAACCACGCGGACAACGCCTGAACTTTACTTCGCATATCTTCAATGTGTTTCAAAGCAACAATGAAATTTAAAAACCAACTTATTTATTTACGCTTTCCCATTGCAAAAAAATTTCCATAAACTCGAAATTAAAATCGAAAAAAATGGAATTTAATAAATACATTGAGAATTACATATGTATTTGTAATCAAATAATAAAGGAAAGTAAGCATAAAACTATTTTTAATATTGTGCAGCTAAATCAAATAAAATTGGAATATAAGTTCTCTTATACCATACGCAGATCAAGTTTATTTAAATTTTTCAATATTTTCATATGTTACACAATTTTATATGCATTCCCCAGGAGCAGTACATAATCCGTTCTGACATCCATTTTGACAGACTGGGGCACAACTGCTCTCATTCACTTTAGAGTAGCCATCATTGCAAGAACATTTTCCAGGAGCAGAGCAAAATCCGTTCACACATCCATCTTTACATACTGGTGAACAACTACTCTCGGTTTTTTTCGAGTATCCCGTGAGGCATTCACAAATTCCCGGCGACTTACAAACGCCGTTCAAGCAGCCGTCTTTGCAAATGGGTTCACATTTGTTATCGGTGCCCTTTTGATAATGCGCATGGCACTCACAAATTTCCGGTAAACTACAGAATCCGTTATCACATCCAGTGCTGCATACTGGATTGCATTCATTTAGGGTAACATTTACTTGGTAGCCTTCCTTGCACTGTGGTTGACAGATCTGACTTTTGGCATTCAGCGTGAATCCCTCGTTGCAGACGCAATTTCCGGGTGACTTGCAGTTGCCATTAGAACATCCGCTGTTGCAGATTGGAAGGCAATTACCACTTGACTCATTAAGCTTGTAGCCCTCGGCGCATATACACAGATCGGGCGATCCGCACTGGCCATTCATGCATTCGCCCTTACATTTGGGCACGCAGCTGGCAAACAAAATATTCAGAATTATGAAATTCACAAGTTCAAGGTAAAAACTCACCGATTAGAGATAAAATTGTAGAGATTCTCGTAGCCTTGGTTGCAACGGCAAGTTTCTGGCTCCACGCATTTTCCGTTCCCACAGCTCTTTGTGCATATCGGTTCACATTTAAGGGGACTCCCTCTTACACGTTTATAGCCTATGCAGCAAAAGTTTATTTTAACAATCTGGATTTCAGAAGTTTGTATTAGCCTTATTACAGTTTTGTTGATAATATTAAGTTAGATTACTTACTTGCCGTTTGCCCTCAATAATCCGTGGTTGCGTGCGGACACAAATCTGTGCCAATACAATACTAGGAAAAACAAGAAATATCAATATCGTCCGGAGAAGCATTGTGCAGTAATTACTCTGATGCACTAACTAATGCGACTGAAAGCGTCTCGCAAAAAATATGAGAGCGGCAAGAATCCACACAGTGTGCAAAATATTTGACTGGTCTTGGGACTGATTTAGTAGACCCCTTTTATACCAATCTACACTTGGAGCAAAAGTTTAACTGCAATTTTGGGTATCACAAATTTCATATGCTTGGACTCAACTTTAAATGACTCACATAACAATTTAGTTTAATTTAAATACTTACATTTCTTTCTGCGTAATTGTGCCTGTAGCCGTTGAGGGCTTATCACAAATTCAACCACGCGGACAACGCCTGAACTTTACTTCGCATATCTTCAATGTGTTTCAAAGCAACTATGAAATTTAAAAACCAACTTATTTATATACGCTTTCCCATTGCAAAAAAATTTCCATAAACTCGAAATTAAAATCGAAAAAAAATGGAATTTAATAAATACATTGAGAATTACATATGTATTTGTAATCAAATAATAAAGGAAAGTAAGCATAAAACTATTTTTAATATTGTGCAGCTAAATCAAATAAAATTGGAATATAAGTTCTCTTATAGCATACGCAGATCAAGTTTATTTAATTTTTTCAATATTTTCATATGTTACACAATTTTATAGATCAACTTTTTCGAAGAAGAAACGCAGACCTTCTTAACCAAAGCGTATTTTCGTATTGAACAAACCGCGTAGCAGAAAGTGCAAGCATGTATGAGAAGCGAGCAGCAGGATAAGCGAAGCGAGCGTTTCTCATAAGTCACTGATTTCATTTTCGGGCTTATAAATAGAAACATGAGCTGTCTTTGGTTTTATTTGGGGAACCTTCAGCTACGCCAGTCATAAACATTATATTTGCCTAACTTTCCGCTTATATATTATTTATTTATTTATATACATATTTATCAGTATGGTTCCGAGTCGAGATCTAAACTTTGTTCTCAATAAATACAGTAATAATATTGAAATGGTGTCAGCTAACCAAGTTCCAAGGCGAAGTTCTATAAAATGTCGTTTTAAGCGACCTTAACTACTATGAAGTCATTCTAAATAAAACAAAACACATCATTATACAATGACTTGGAATGCGATGTACATTTTGTATATAAAGACCCAAATATGTAGATTAACCAATCTACTTAAATTCATTCATATAAATGAATATTCTTTATCTTTCTTTTTGCTTTGACTGCTATATTTGTATTAAAAATACATTACAAATGTATGAAAATGTATACAAAAATAATAGTTTAATTTACATAATTTCCTTTGATTTTTTATTTACAATAATTTGTCATACCCATCCTACAGGTAAGAATCACGCAATTATTTCAGTCACCATATATTTTGTACCATCTGAATCATATATTTTAAATACTTAGATAATACAGCTACTTAATTGTTTAAAGTATTTTCCACAAATAAATTAGCTTAGTTCTACGATGCAATATAGTCAGCTTTAACCGATACTCAGAGCAAGTAAATATGTATATATGTAAACTGTAGGTTCTTGAATTAAAAAACAAGCTTTACGGCCAGCATACGTCTAATACAAATCGAGCTGTATTCATTAGTGCAGCACAACTCAGTTAGAAGCTATGCATTCGTAGGCCATATAAAATTCAACATCACGCTGGAAAATCTCTCATTTGTTCGCGACTAACTCGATTGGGCGGTGAAACTGTGACACTAACAACTTTTTACAATGCTAAAATCGCTTAACATACGAGTACTCGTAATTGGCTTACTCTGTACCAGCCCCGCCTATGTTAAGACCCTTGAATATTATACGGAAAAGCGTAAGTGCATCAGCACTTGAATTGATTTAATTACCGTAAACAGGTTAATGATAATGAATGTGTTGTAACTGCCTGTTTTCAACATAAATACATTATGCACTTCATTATGCTTTTTAAATATAAAAAAAGAACAAATTCATTAAATAATTAGTGTAACAATACGAAATGTGCTCGCTTTTCAGCCTCATATATTGAATCGTGTCGCATTAATGAGCCAGACTTTACCAACTGCTCAACTCGTTCCATACAGGGATTCCTCAACGCAGTCATTGAAGGTGAGCAGCTAATTTAATGAGGCCACATTATTCATAGTGCTTCACTTTTTAGGTATACCCGAAATTGAGGAATCTTTTGGACCGATAGATCCCATGAAACAAGACCAACTGTCTTTCAAACAGGAAAACAGCGATATCGTTTCCATCTCCGCAAATATAACCAATCTTGTAATACGCGGCTTTGGCAAAATGGTGCTCAAGGAGAGCAAGTTAGTATATCTAATAACATTTTGAGTACACTTGTAGTCACCTTAACGAGTATTTGCCTATTCATATTCAGCTAATGAATAATTGAGTACAGCTTAACGACTTTAGTAATAGCTCGCTAAGGTCGCATTTTGAAGTGTGTGGAAAAGTGTATCGTACGATCATAAAATTCAATCACGCTCAAATACACATATGAACTGGCATTACTGGAATAGCAATTCAATCGGTTTATAGACAGATACATATAGTGATTAATAGACAATAACTATTTGTATATTTGTGTGTAGATACGCATTTTCCATGCAGACTTCGGGAAAATTTTCCATAACTGCAATATTTCCTTAATTTGCACATAACTTAAACTATTCAATTATTTTAGGGTAAGCAAGAAGGACTTTAGCTGGCAGGATCACATTTACATTCCCAAAATGCGAATTGATGGTAATTACAAAATGCTTGGACGCGTTTTAATAATTCCACTGCACGGATCTGGCACTTTATTTATCGAGATAGGTAATTATATAAAGCCCTTTATTACATCTGAACTATGTTATATTATAGCAATGGCAATTGACAGATGAACTTAATATATTTATGAATGCCACGACACGCATCTATGAAAAGGGAGGATACACCTTCTTCAGCGTGATTGCGGTGAGTGTTAAATTAGATGTGGGCCGTGTCTGGACATATATGGACAATCTGTTCAACGGTCATAGCAAGGATGTGGAACGCAGTACAAATGAGTTCTTTAATGAGAACTGGCGTGAGTTCTACGAAGCGTTACATCCACTAATTGTGGAAACAGTGGAGCGCACATTGCTCGATCTGCTGAAGAAGATGTTCAATTTGATGCCCGCCAATTTCTTTGTGGAGGATATACCCAATTCCCTGGCTTTGTATGGGCTAAAAACGCGGCTTATAGTGTAGAATTATGTGATTATTGAAAAAACAGTCCGTTTTCAATTAATTGTTACAGTTAAAGAATAAATGCAAAAGCTCAACATTCTTTAGTATATATGTATATATATTTACAGCCTTCAAGCAGGGTGATTAAATTGTACATAGATAATGCCAACCAAATTTATTAAAGTAAATTCCTAATTAAAGTACATTTCATGCCAAAAAAAAACGTATAAAAATGGATTTTGAAAATCGATTGAGGGACAAGAATATTTTTAAGAAGCTGATTGGAATACCGGAGATTATTAAATTACATATTAAAGGATTTTTACAATCCATGATCAATGAAAGTCAGTGCGTATCAAGAGAAATTTCTCTGAAAAGGAAATTATTAAACTTCATTTTTAATAAGAATTGCTTAACATTTATGAGTCAGCTATTATAATTCAACAGAAATGTAGAATTAAATAAATTAAAATACATATCCAGTGTCAGCAAAAGGTACAAACCAAAATCTACTTACCCAAAATGTATTTGAATGCCAATTATCACAATATTAATAGAAATGCAATTTTCAAAATGTGATTTTGCAGATTATCTCATCTTCTTTCAACGTCCTTGTCGAGGATATTCCCATACCACAACACAAAGATAGTAAAAAATAAAATACTATATAAAAGTACTACAAAAAGTTATCAAGAATTTATTCAAATCCGAAGCAAAAACCGGAATTTGTATTATTATCCGGAAAATTAATTGTTATTAATAAATAAATAATGTTAAAAATCAATTATTATTTTAAAGCGATGAAATAACTATTTTTTATGATAATAGCTCAGAGTTCTTGAGGTAAAGGTAAATGCATAAATTACACCAACAATTTTCAAATTGTTTATGGGAATTATGAAAAACAAATTAATCATTGAGGTAATAATACAATTAATGCGATTATTAATCCAAGTAAGTACTAATGGATTACTCTTCAGTTAATGCCTCAGGTCCATATCATTTCGACTTTATTTCCCGAAAAACGAACACCACATTTTTTTTCTGCAGGGAAGATAAGAATAATTTAGTGATTGTGCGGCAAAAAAAAAATGATCATATTTTTCATACCTGTACTTTCCACATTGTACACGCGTTCCTTGAATATGTATAAACCAGAGCAAGTTATTATCGCCAGAATCACAGCGATGCAAATTAAAACCACAAATAACCAATATTTTTTAAATGCATTTTTGCTGCTTAATTCGTCTGGATTTTCTATGCCCTCAATGCTCGAACAATCAAAGCCTCCTTGTGCGATGGTCCCATCGAAGCAGTTGCATACATCTGGAGATGCACAATAACCGTGGATGCACTCCCTCTCACACACGGGCAGACAAAGCAGTTGTGTTATGTTGTTTGCATCTCCAGTCAATCTGTAGTTTGGATTACAACTGCATTTACCATCAATGCAGGTTCCATTCCAACATCTTTGTTTGCATGCATTCATCTGGATATCTCCACCATTTACAGGCATTTCCGTTTTCGCATTTCTTGCTGTACTGGAACTTTCAGCACTCATTTCAGACATGCAAATATTTTCTATTTTAATGTACCCCTCATTGCAGCTACACTTATTAGGGGACTCACAATAACCATTAGGACATCCCCTATCACATAGGGGCACACAGCTGTTCTCACTTATTTTACTGTAACCCTCATTGCAATTGCACACCTCGGGAGCCTCACAGACTCCGTTCTCACATCCATCTTTACAAACTGGAGAACAATTGTGCTCACTTTGCTTGGTGTAGCCTTCAAAACAGGTACATTCTCCCGGAGCAGAACAACGACCGTTCTTACATTCACTATCACAAATCGGAGCACAGCTGTCCTCATTCACTTTAGAATAGCCATCGTTGCAGGAGCATTCTCCAGGAGCAGAGCAAAATCCGTTCTCACATCCATCTTTACAAATTGGAGAACAACTAATCTCAGTTGTTTTAGAGTAGCCATCATTGCAAGAACATTTTCCAGGAGCAGAGCAAAATCCGTTCACACATCCATCTTTGCAGACTGGAGCACATTTACTCTCACTGATCTTTGAGTAGCCATCGTTGCAGGAGCATCTTAAAGGAGCAGAGCAAAATCCGTTCTCACAACCATCTTTACATACTGGTGAACAACTGTTCTCTGTTATTTTAGAATAGCCAGCGAAACAGGAACATTCCTCAGGAGCAGTACATAATCCATTCTGACATCCATTGTTACAGACTGGAGCACAGCTGTTCTCATTCACTTTAGAATATCCTTCGTTGCAGGAGCATTCTCCAGGAGCAGAGCAGAATCCGTTCACACACCCATCTTTGCAGACTGGAGCACATCTACTCTCACTGATCTTTGAGTAGCCATCGTTGCAGGAGCATCTTAAAGGAGCAGAGCAAAATCCGTTCTCACAACCATCTTTACATACTGGTGAACAACTGTTCTCTGTTATTTTAGAATAGCCAGCGAAACAGGAACATTCCTCAGGAGCAGTACATAATCCGTTCTGACATCCATTGTTACAGACTGGAGCACAGCTGTTCTCATTCACTTTAGAATATCCTTCGTTGCAGGAGCATTCTCCAGGAGCAGAGCAGAATCCGTTCACACACCCATCTTTGCAGACTGGAGCACATCTACTCTCACTGATCTTTGAGTAGCCATCGTTGCAGGAGCATCTTAAAGGAGCAGTACATAATCCGTTCTCACAACCATCTTTACATACTGGTGAACAACTGTTCTCTGTTATTTTAGAATAGCCAGCGAAACAGGAACATTCCTCAGGAGCAGTACATAATCCGTTCTGACATCCATTGTTACAGACTGGAGCACAGCTGTTCTCTGTTACTTTAGAATATCCTTCGTTGCAGGAGCATTCTCCAGGAGCAGAGCAGAATCCGTTCTCACAACCATCTTTACATACTGGTGAACAACTGTTCTCTGTTATTTTAGAATAGCCAGCGAAACAGGAACATTCCTCAGGAGCAGTACATAATCCGTTCTGACATCCATTGTTACAGACTGGAGCACAGCTGTTCTCATTCACTTTAGAATATCCATCGTTGCAGGAGCATTCTCCAGGAGCAGAGCAGAATCCGTTCTCACAACCATCTTTACATACTGGTGAACAACTGTTCTCTGTTACTTTAGAATAGCCATCGTTACAGGTGCATTCCCCAGGAGCAGTACATAATCCGTTCTGACATCCATCTATACAGGCAGGAGCACAACTGCTCTCATTCACTTTAGAGTAGCCATCATTGCAAGAACATTTTCCAGGATCGGAGCAAAATCCGTTCACACACCCATCTCTGCAGACTGGTGAACAACTACTCTCGGTTTTTTTCGAGTATCCCGTGAGGCATTCACAAATTCCCGGCGACTTGCAGTATCCATTTACACAGCCACTGTCGCAGATTGGAAGGCAGTTACCACTTGCATGATCAAACTCGTAGTCCTCGTAGCATTTACACTCACCAGGGGATGGACAATAGCCATTCTCACATCCAATCTTGCATTTGGGTACGCAGCTGGCATACAAAACAGAAGCCTTCAGATTTATTAATTTGATGAGTTCAAGACTTAAGCTTACCCATTAGATTTCAAATGGTTGAAATTATCGTAGCCTGGGTTGCAACTGCAAATATTTGGCTTCACGCAGTTTTCACTACCACAACTCTCAGTGCAATTCAGTTTACATATGAGAGAGTGAAAATCAACACGGACATAGCCAGGGCAACATATCTCTACTTCTAAAGTCTATATTTTAGATTAGGTAGTCTCGTGTTATTGCTTTGTTGTCTATACTACTGAATTATAATACTTACTTCAATTTTGCCGTTAATAATGTTATTTCTCGTTTCTATGCAATACTCGGCCAGCAAAAAGCTGGGAAATAATAAATACATAACTAATTTCCCGACAAGCATTGTGCAGTAATTACTCCGGTCCACTAAATAATTCGACTGAAAGCCTCTCGCAAAAATATGAGAGTGGGAAGGTTCAAGTAGTGTGCAAAATCTTAAATGGTAAGTATGTGTCATTTAAACAAGTGTACACTTGTAGAATAAGCTGACACTTCCAACCAATCTGACACAGCATAACAATTTTTCTATAATATGTTATGAATTTTGTAGTATACTTTAAATGTCGCATATAATACTTCAGATTAATCAAAATGTATTTAAATTTAAATTTTTTAATTATAATTTCTTTCTGTGTAATTGTGGCTGTAGTCGTTGCGGGCTTATCGCAAATTCAACCATCCGGGCAATGCCTGAACTGTGATTCAAATTGTTTTGAAGCAACTTATTTATATAAACTCATCCATTAACAATCATAGTAAAATCCATAAATTTTAAATACAAATTTATGAGAAATTTACTTTAAATACAACCCTAAAATACCTTTAATTATTTTTTCTTTAAAGTATCTGACAATTTTACCCACTTCTCAAGAAAAAATTGTTAAGGATCTTATGCGTAATCATATTATGAACTCAGTTGATTCCGCTGCTATGAAGTCATCACAAATATAAAAAAAAAACAAGTAAGAGTTCTGTTGTCGTGTGAGCTCAACTATGATTTACCCTGAACACAGCTGTTAAATATATTCTAAAACTATTGGCAAATTTCCCTATAATAAGTTTTCCACTCAAATGTGAGTAGGTCTGCAAGAGCACTCATTTCTTATAGCAAGCTCAGGCGCTGAAGAGTAACAAAAAACGAGCAGCGCATGTTTTTATTCACAAGCCCGATCTTTGAAGGCTCTAGCTCTTATACTTATAGTCTCTGAGATCTACATGTTCATACGGACGGACGGACGGGCGGACGGACGGACATGGCTAAATCGACTCGACTGTTGACCCTGATCAAGCATATATATACTTTATGGGGTCGGAGATGCTTCCTTCTGCCTGTTACATACATTTGCACAAAAGCATTATACCCTTTTTACCCATTTTTAATGGGTTCAGTTTAAAATTAAAAGCATTTTATAACTTCTGGAATTTCGTATTATTAATCTACATATTATACTTGTATACAAAGACCAAAGTATGCAGATTAACCAGTCTACAGCAATTCATTCGCAGGCATTTTTTTTACATTGACTGCTGAATTCACATTAAAAATGAAGTTTCAAATTCTGCAGAAAATTAATGAATTTTAATACAAAAGTTTTCTAAGTATTTACCATTTCAATTAAAAATGAATCATAATACTACCCTTTGAGTGGATTTTATCATATTTTATGAACTTATATGAGACAACTATTTAATTTTTTAACAGATTTTCCAGAAATATATTAACTTAGTTGTTCGATACAACATAGAGTCAACTGTAACGGATGCTCAGAGCAAGTATATATGTGTATAAACTGTAGGTTCGTGAATTAAAAAGTTTTAGAGACAGCATATATCTAGTACATATCTAACTGTATTCATTAATGCAGTACAACTCAGGTAGAAGCTATGTATTTGTGGGCACTTTAAAATTCATCACCTATTTTACATTAATACAACAATAATGAAATGTGCTCGCTTTTCAGCCTCATATATCGAATCGTGTCGCATTAATGAGCCGGACTTTACTAACTGCTCAACGCTGTCGTCAAAGGTGAGCAGCTGAACGACTTTAGTTATAAATTTGTAAGGCCGCATTTTGTAGTCTGGATCGTTAATGTTTATCACTCTCAAATATACTTGAATACTATATACTGTGCCTATATATATCACTGTTCCCACTTTCTGAATCGCAACTCAATTGTTTTTTACAGAGACAGATAGATACATTTATGAATAGACGAGTGCTATTTCTGAATTGTAGTTGAGTATTTTCCATACGGAATTTCAATACTTCATTTATTTGTACTTGAACACTATTTATAACATTTTAGGACCAGTAATTATACAACATAATATGTATATGAACAATCTGTTCAACGGTCACAGCAAGGACGGGGAGCGCACATTGCCGACAATTTCTTTGTGGAAGATATACCCAATACCCTGGAAAAAGGCGACTGATAGTGTAGAATTATTTACTTATTGAGAAAGATCAGCTTACTGCTAACTGTTACAGTTAAATAATAAATGCAAAAGCTAAACATAGTCTAATATAGCATGGCACAGAGCATTCCGAGCCCTCGGAATTTTCAGTCTGCTGCTCAGTAGAACCAATCGTACTTGAGGTAATCGCTCTCATGCTTTAAAGCTGCAATCGATGTGTGACGCACGTGTCCAGTGCGTGCAAAAATGCGTCGATTGCCAACTGGCTGCAGGGTCCGGAAATTGTCCACTAAAGCGCCATCTTGTGTATCCGTCAGCTGGCGGAACCGGGAAATCTGCAGTGGAGTAAAAAAAAAACATTACTCAACCTCTCTGTGGGTTTATATGTGTAAGATTTACCTGTTTGGGTGAAATTGGTATTGGATCGGGAAACAGAATCCAGGTGACTGCCTCCGAGCAGGGTGGCGTGGTAAGCGAGCCTGCAAGCCAATGAGAGACGTGACATGACAGTCAAATATGTTCGATGCCAGTTAATCAAAAGTTATTCAATTTCACACAGATTCAACAATACCGGCAACCGAATTGATGAAAACTCGTTTTCTTTACACTATGATTTTAGTTTTCCTTATTTCATGTTATTTCCCTCGTACAACACAAGCAACTCTTCAAAAGCCATTTAAACATGTTAAAATTTCACAGCTGAAACTTTCTTGCTTTATAAATAATTAAATACGGAAACCCGGAATTTTTAACCATTTTGCTTTAAATTGCTTGGGAAAATTTATAAACGACTAACGTGTAAATTGTAAAATTCTAAATTAAAAAAAATACCCTCAATTTAAAAATGGTGTGTCAATTCTTAACTAAGAAACCCCATTTTTAAATTATTTTTTCCATTATCAGCTCCAAACTACATTCAAAAAGTACTACTTATACTCAAATAGTACTCATGGTAAAAAAGCCCCAATAAAAATGTTGTTAAATTGACTAGAATTCAAGACACACATCAATTTTTCTTCTTTTTTTGTGTACCACGTGGGTTACTTACCCTTGTAAGTGTAGAACTTGTCCACATCCACATTGGCTATTAGCGATGATAGAGAAAAAGTGACATTAAGCGCTGCCTCCTTATTGGCATCAGCGATCAAATGCAAATGGCGATTAATGGTTACCAGGCCCTGGCCCTCATCCTCATCCAACTGTGAAATTACATAGCAGTATAAGCGCAACTGTGTCACATATGCATATTGGCACCACTACGTCGACAACCCAACTCACATTGAAAAAGAATCCGAGGACTGCAGCACCATCTGGGTGGTTGAGTGCCTCTCCCAGGGTGGCATACTTCTTGTTGCGATGCACAATGTGCATTTCCATTGTGTAGCGTATGTCATTGATAACATGCTCCGAGCCCCGATTGTTCTTGTCGCCCCAGTGGAAATGCAATCCCTCCACCTCAAACTCTCCTGGCAGCTTGGCACCCCTCACATAAGGCACAAACTCGTCCGTCTCTTCGCTCAGATTTCCTTTGGGTATGCCAATGGTGACTGAGGAATGCCAATGTGTAATTAATTAATACAATTATAGGGACGAGCTACCGACAACTTACCGGTGTGACCATTGTTTATCAGTTTCAACGGATATGGCAACAGATTGTGATACCCAATCATGTCCACAGCCGGCATATGTACGGGTATTGTCTGAAATTGATATATTTGGGACAATTAGAAGCTAGTTAAAGATAGAAAGCAACTGCCATCGCATTCACTTACATGGCTGGAGGTGATGGCAATCGGCGACTGCGTCTTGCCGGCACAGTGGCCATGATGACGCGCCCAGCGACGCTGGTTGGGCTCCGAGTAGCCAAACACATGACTGCTGACCACTGCAAGCGAAAGATGACCAAATTAAAAACACTATTTCTCAAATGTGTTTCTGACTTGCAAATCTCTACAATTAAAGTAACGATGCATTCATGATTATGATTTCTAAATTATTTCAAATATAGATCATTTTAATATTATTTAAAAGGTTATTAAAACCAATTAAAAAGAAATAAAAATAATATGACTGTCATTAGCATTTACTCTTCTAATTTCTGGACAATTGATAGTTGGAGTTCGGCAAAGTTGAATGAGTCTCTGATCACGTGCCCCATTTTATTTCGTCACACCTCCAACCGTTCAAAAAGAGTCGAGCTTATCATTGACATATACGAGCACTTGTGAATTATGGCAAATAAATGTGGCAGCAAATAAATGTTAACTGTTTGCTGCTTAGTATATAAATAAATCGATAAATAAATGTATAAAGAAAATACAAGTCACACAAGGGCACGCCAAACACAGTAGATATTGACATAATCATTGATATTTGATATTGATATAGATAATGAGCGGCAATGGTAAATATTTTTCAATAATTTTCACCGGCTGTTTAACTTAAACTTCGATTGAGTTCCGACTAACTTGTTATACAAACAGAATAATATTTACAAGTAATTTTCCAATGATAATTTGTTTAGTAATCATTAGTATGCAGATCATATGACAATTGCACATTTCTGGAGGGATCATTTTAGAAAGATTGTGTAGCGAGTAATTCTTTTGTTTTATATTCATTTCATAATGAAATCAAATTTTTAACAAAATAAAATAATTACAAATCTTTTGCCAAATTTCAAATGACTGATCACAAAGTAGATATGTCTATTATATAAGATATCTTTCAAGTACCTCCTTTAATAATAACTTTAACTACCAATCTGTTTATATTTGAATAGCACTTAATCAAAATCAATGCCACCAATACATGTATTAATTGGTATTTGAAAAATCTTAAGTTCGAGTGCCACAAATAACATTAAGTTAGTGCAATAAAATATGTACTTAGAATCGTGATAGTTAGAGCTATTTCGGGTGTAAGTGATTTATACAACCTTGAACCCTAGTAACTCTCTTGTATATTGTAGCACGCGTACCTATGACTAGTCTTAGCGATAAGAACTATAAAATAATAAATCTGGCAAAGTCAGTAAAAGTTCCCTTGAAATTGATATTGATTGGAAATTGGAATTTCGGTATATGACAAACACTTTTTCTTTTCTTTGATTTATTTAATGGCTGCACTTTTGACACAATGACAAATGTATCACATGACTAGCTGTGTGCAGTCTTATGTAACCGATATTCCATATATATAAATATATATATAGAATAAACGATATATAACAAAATGTCACGGTACCTTGAGACCAGCAGATTACCAGAAAGACTGCTTGAAATATAATTAATTGCATTGCAGGCAACTGAATTTGATTTTGTCCTCTTCGTGAGCACTTGACAATTGCAACACCAAGCGGTTAGGTGGCTGATTCTGAACTGCGCGGACGTTTGGCGTTTGAAACACCTTCACAACTTCCTTAGCGTCAGCGAACTAATTGAAAACTCGACAGCTAAAATTCGAGCGCACAGCGCGTGCTCCACACTGTGACACAAACCATAAAAATACAAAAAAAAAATAAATAAAACACAAAAAAAAAAAAAAAACCCACACTCAGACACACGCATACCAATAGATAGACTCGGAATCGCTGTCGAATATTCGCACGAACAACGCCGGACGACGGACGAGCACACGATCCATCGATCGGTTCTGTCTGGGGTATTGAAGTATTGAGCTGTTGGAGCTTCGTCACTAAGTAACCCACTTAATGAAATCGAATTGGAAATAGCATTATGTGCCTTATGCTGTAACACACCGCGTATGCTTAAAAAACAGTTAAATAGTGCCGCCAACCAAAAAAAAATAAAAAAACAACAACAAAAAATACATCATTCGTCATAATTCGCACTTAGCTAAAACAAACAAGAGAGGAAACTGCTTTCAATCATTTGATAATACTTTGTTTTGCATATTGGTTTGTTCAGCGGCAGGGGCAACGTTTCAACCATTCTATCAAATATTGACAACTTTATACAGAAAGAGACTAACTGATTGCGTGACTCTATCGTTCCAGCCAAATTCAATCAATTATATGATTTTCGCACGTTTTCTCCTCTAATGAGTACAGATATGCATTGTCAAACCCTGATTATTTTAAATTCATAATTGTGATATTAAAATTACTTAAATTTAAAAAATAGGCAAGTAAAAAAATGATTAAGTTTTTAAGCAGAACATTTAGTACAAAATTAGTCAACATTTGCATAAGTTTAGCAAACGCGTGATTTATATGACGAATGCGAATTAGCCCAGCTATATTTAGAAAATCGTAAAAATGAATGCATTGCAACGTTCACAAGTTAGAATTTGGAATGACTCACATTATCGAAAGCTTTAGCAGTTGCCAACTCAGTTTGATTTAGTTCACAACTCCAATTTTACTGCTTCAAAGCTGTAAAACTGATCCAAATCGAAAATAATTATCTAGATTCCACGAAGCTCACATTTTAGTTTCATTGCCCAAATTTTTCAGCCAATCCGATCAATTATAATAAAGTTGACAATAATTTTATGAACAAACTCCCATCATCAATTATGCCCAAACTCGCATTAATTTAATTACCAATAGCTTTTTGTCTAGCTTACTTTTCAGTTAGTAAGATTATTTGATCGTGTATTAATAGTTAGTCTTGGCTATAATTTCCATTGTTTATTTAAATGTGTGGACACGGTTTTAGAATGATATCTTAAAATGTGTTAATCGGAACCATATGATGATTGCATGATCATGCTAACGGGTTTTCCATTTCGATCCTATAATAAATATATACCTCATCTCAATTAAACTTAAAATTGAACCAATATTAATGGTAAGGAAAGTACAAGCGAATTATGTAAAGTTTGTTTTAATTATTATATCGCTCTGATGGCGAATACTCAATTAGCAAATCAATCAAATAGACAGACAAGTGTGTCAAGTCAAAATTCACAAATGATAATTCCACACAAAAAAAAAAAAAAAAAAACAGTACTGATCTGTTTGATAAAAACGTGTGAACAGTTAACACATTTGGAAGCTTTGTTTTTCTGATTTTATGATTTAGTGCTAATTAACTAAAAATAACTAAAATAAGTCTGATTTATCAGGCTGGATTGATGAAATATGCTTCAGTGCTAAACGCACAGCGTCAGTTCATTAAGCATTCATCGCGTGCCGCATCCGAAATGATGAGCACATTTAAACACAATTATTCGAACATAAAGTAAGCTATAAAATTGAATGGGTGAATCTAACAAAACTTGGATAATTTGACTTTTCAATGACATATATTTAAAATGCTATAAAAAAGGAAAGCAGTGTTGAAATCAGCGCATGTGATCGTCAAGCCCATACAAAGTACTGAGCCAGTGACAGAAGAATATTAAAAAGAATCTCGACCAGATATAAATAAGGAACGACACCTGAACAGCATGCAAAGTAGCCGAAAGGTGCACTACAATTTTATCAATTAAAAATACCTAGACTCCGGTAGATGTGCTCCGCTCATGTTCTTAGTTATATCCATAAGGCTGGCGTCATTTTTGTTAACGTGCCGTGCATTTTCAAAATTGTTGAGAGACACTGCCTCGGTTTATTTTTAGCCATACCTGCTAAATAACTTATCATCATACATTATTCTTTCTGTCTCAGTTAGCTTACAAATAAAAACCGTCTATATATAAAGCTCATCAGTTACTGTTGATTGGAAGATAACAGAAGATTCGGTTGCCTGTTTTCCATAGCATACTTATTATGCCTTCAGAAGCGCCGCCTAAAAGATGTCTAACTAGATTTAGAAATAAGTATAAGAAATATGAAGAAATATATTAAAATTCTTAAATTATACAAAATCTTTATTAATTTTCTCAAAATTTTATAATAAATATAAATTATTAATAATACAAATATCAAGTAATATTTTGAAACACAGTGGTCGTTTGGAAGTTACTATAAAATTTTAGGATTGATATTAGGTTCCTCGGATTTTATTTTCAAGCACAAATTATATATTATGTATTAAATAATAGGAATAATCTACAAAGTATAGAATTCATTTAATTTTAAAGATATCCAAAGTTGATGGATTTGCGAAAGACCACTGTGCAAGTATACTATTAATAAATATAAAATATCTTTATAAGCTTTTTTCAAATAAGCACATACGAAAATTAAAAAAAAAAATAAAAACAATAATTAAATAACACAACCAACTTAATAATAAATATACGCAACAACAATTTTGGTATTTTAAAAATAAAAGTCGGTAGCCTGCAGTTAATAAATAAGGATTTTGCCAATCAAACTTTGGTGTACTTCGGTGAGCGACTTAATAAATAAAGCAAGGTTTCCACGCATGGAAATGGCAAATTATTGAATTATTTGTGTATAATTTAACAAGCTACGATGTGGACAATTTTTAAAAGGTCCCTTATTGTGTACTAGATAGATAGTTTTTACCAAATATTTGGTACATTTGATGTAGATGTATGCATAACAGTTGATATAATGCAAAAATGCGTTCAAACACAATATAAAATTAATATTCGATGTCTGCACTTATGGTCAGCGTATCCTGCATGATGTATGTATGTGATGTATACATATGATGTATGTGCTTATAAGGCGAAATTCAATTGTTTTCCTGGAAGCCACATATGCTTATCGTTTATTCCTCTTTCTGCTCCTTGGCCGACAAAAAGAGTTTTTGGCACGTAAACGTCATCGAATCTAAACCAAGAATAAAAAAAATAAATATGTAATTGCTGACCTCATATGATAATATAATAAATTGGCAGCGACAACGAAAATCGACACACTGTTTTTTAAACGCACCAATCGCTTGCTGCACCCATTTCGGTTTGTTCTTCCACACAACGCCGACATAATAGAATGGTATGCCAATTAGTGTTATTAGCACGCCCATCGCGACTTCGAATGGGGCAACATAAACGGGAACGATCACCAGAAAGGCACACACAATGACAAACACTGTGGGTATCCACAAAGAAACCTGTGAAAGCAATAAATATTGTACAACTAGTATCACAAACTTTTGAAACGTCCGGCAACTCACTTTAATTGGACGCTCCATATCGGGGCGCTTGTAGCGAAAGTACAAAACAGCCGACACCGAAAGCATTATAAAGAACGACTCCACAATGCTGCTGTATGTGATCAAAACATACACATCGCTAACCAGCAGCATCACGATCGAGAGCAGGCACTGCAAATAAACAAGTTTCAAGTCAATTCAGAAAGTTCTTTTGTACATCAATTTATAAACGGAACTCACTAAGAAAGCCAGAGACGGCAGCGGCGTGAAGCTCTTAACGCTAATGTGGGACAGCAAAGCTGGCATATGTCCATTCCTGGCGCCCACAAAGCACATGCGCGACGAAGTCATAATATGCACAGAGAGACCGCCAAATGCTGAGATGGCCACCATAATGGGTATAATCAATGCAAAGCTACCCATTATCTTGTTGCCAAAGGTCTGCAAAAAATACATGCAATGAATTAAATGGTAAATAACTTAAAATCATTCAATGTCTACCTACCACCGCAATGGCATTGGAAGCGATCATCTCGGGTGCAGTCAACACTGCCAGATATGCCATATTTGCCAACACATAAATAGCGGTGACCAGAGGCAGTGAAATGTAAATAGCACGCGGCAGATTGCGATATGGATCGCGCAGCTCTTCTGTCATAAAGTTTAAATAGTTCCAGCCGGCATAGGAGAAGATGCCCGAGTAAAATGCCACCGACAGTTTACCGGGATCAGTTTCAGTATCATCAAAGGGCTGATTGAAGTTCTCCACATTGCCCATAAACATCCAAGCCATGCCGACAACAATGATCAGTACCAGAGCCGCAATTTTTGTGAACATTATAATGTTTTGCATTTTCGTTGTGATCTTCATATAATAACAGTTCAAATATGTGAGAAAGCATATAGTAACCGCTGCCAACAATTGCAGCGCTATTTTTGGTATCTCACAGCCATCTTCAAAAAAAGGCTGCAGTACGTAGGAGGCGAATGTCAGACCCATAATCGCATTTGTAGTTGGCCTGTGAAGCAACAAATCAAATAGGTTATAATATAAGCCATAGAATACACAAGCCATCAGACTGACATTGTACAATTATCAATTTATAAATATTGATTTATAAATGTCGATTATCTTGACAAATGATTTATTTTTCAATTAACTTATAAGCCCTGTAGAAATCGAAAATCGCGAAGATTAAGTTTCTCTAATCTTTTAAACATATTAGATTTGATTAGCTAAATATATATACGCCCCTAAATCTGTCTGTTGACCTCAAACTTCAGACTATTATATAAGTGTATCGCAGCTTTTTTGTAAGTTCCCACGATTGCTCAAAAGCAAAATCAAATTTTAAGACAATAAACACAGAAGTAATTCAAGAGTTTTGTTTTTCATTTTTCGGTATGAATTACAGATCATCTCCCCTTGCTTGTTTATCTCAACAGTTATCGTCCAGCAAACAAATATAGCATTGCGATAACAATAAGGTAATTACTGGAACAGCATATGCTTATCAACATACAAGAGCTTAAAAAACAGAACTTTTCCTCAAAGTAATTCCAGATAAGCACGTTTCATTTGTCTAAGAAAGTGAAACAAGTCAGCAGTTCTACATTAGCTCAATGAAAGACCTTGGCTGTAAAATTCTGTAGAATTCGCATGCAATTGAAGCTTGCAATTGCAATTGAAAACAATTTTATAAGTCGATCGCTTACCCAATGAAATTTGAGGTTATCCAATCAAAAGCAAATGCAGTAAACTTACACAAATATCATCATTGCATCCCACAAATATAAAAATGCTGGAAGTGAGCCGTACGCCTCGAATATATATGCATAATCGCCGCCCGACTTGGGTATGGCTGTACCCAGTTCCGCATAGCACAGGGCGCCGATCATTGAGAGCAGGCCGCATAACACCCAGATGATGAGCGATGTGCCCACCGCTTCCACCTCCCGGATGACACCCTTGGGCGAAACAAATATGCCCGATCCAAAGATGATGCCCAATATAATGGCCACCCCCTCCAGTAAGCCAAGCTGTTTCTTCATCACAACACGACTATTATCCGATTCCGCAGATCCTTCCCGCAACGCATCCTTCTCCTTGCTGCCCGCTCCACCTCCTGCATTTATTATGCTCGGTGGATTCTCCGAGTTTGGTGTGAGCAGCACCATTTCGCTTGTTGGCGATTGCAATTCACTAGCTGGCATTGTGTTGTTGTTTTTTTATATTTTTATTATCGTTAAACGCTGACCACGCACGCTACGTTTAAAGTACAGCAGCAGACTGAGACCACAATACGGACTGGACTGCTGGACTGTTAGACTGCTCGCCTTACTTGCGTTCAGCTAATTGATTGAGCGCCTGAGGAGTGTCGCCTTGTTGTTCACTTCCGATTACACTGACGTGTGTGTGTGTGTGTGTGTGTTGGTGTGGGTGTGCGAATGTATGTGTGTGGGGGTATACGGTGGCTTATCAGCAATAAAAGTGTGCTTCTGCCGCATTCACCAATCCGCCGCCGGTTTGCGATTTTTCCTTGTTCACTCATTCATTGTTTTGCTAACCCACTTCGTACATATACTTCGCGCTCTTTCTCACAACTTAGTCAAACCGTATAGCTATCCTGCTCACGTTTCGCGCACATGTAGTTCCCACGTAGCAAAAATATATTTTTACTCATTAATTTTGTACTTTGAGGTTTGGTTCTTAGTATTTGACAGTCTTTTGGTTCTAGGGTTTTTTTTGGTTTTAATATTGTTTTAAATAATTTCGTTTTCGAATTACAACATCATTTAATTGAATATTAGGCCAACAACCACACGCAGCGGTACACGAAAGAAAGGAATTGTTGATATCGTTCAAAGTATCGATACACATAAAAGCACGATATAATTTTTGCCAATTTATCTTTGCAATAACAGCAATTTCGATTATTTCAATCGCTTGTGAAATTTAAGGCGGGATACGTTAACCCTTTTGTCCCGAATGGTTTTTTTCAAAGTGTTAAACGTTCTATATTTAAAAGTATACATTATTAATCAATAATTCATTCAATTTTGTTCATTTAATAAATATTTCGCTCATATGAATTTTTACATTTTAAAATTTTATATTTCAAATTGATTGAAATACATTTAAAATAATGATGGGAGAATTATAAAATCTGAAAACAGTTTATAGACAAGTTATTCACAATTGAAAAAAATATGCAATTTATTAATATATATTACAAATGACTAATCTCTACTTCTTATCCTTAGCTTGCAGTTTTGAATGGATCATGTCCTTGAATTGTGTCAATATCTTATTCTCTCGCTTCTGTCGCTCCTCCTTGCTAAACATTGCCAGAGCACGCTTCTCGTCGGCGGAATAAAGTTGATTCTCCTTGCGTATACGGACAGCTTCCATACGCCGATGGCGACTTCCACTCATCACGTAGCCGACCGACTCAAAGTTGGCTATTTCGTCGGATGTGAGTCCGATTTCACCACGTCGGGGTATGCGCTTGCCCTCGGCAATGTAGGCGGCCATGGCGGCACCCTCTCCTGGCAACAGGGCACGACCAAAGTCCTTTTGATTCAAGCTGCCGCCACTGCGCAGAGATGGGCCCACATCCTCATCGTTATTGGCGGCACCTGACTTCGACTTCGATTTGGATTTGCTGGCACCGGAGGAGGACTTTTTGTGCCTGTCGGAGTCGGATTTGCGTTTTTTCTTGTTCTTCTTGTGCTTCTTCTGTGCGCTCTTCTTGGCTTTCTTTTTGGTGGGCTTCTTAACGCCATCCGCAGTCTTTTCCAGCCAGAGATCCTCCTCATCCTCACTGTCGGAGCTGTCTGAGCTTGTGGAGCTGTCCTCGCTGCTGGAACTCGATGATGATGATGAGGCGGATGTGGAGCTGCTCTCCGATGAGCTGCTGGCAACTTTCTTGCTCTTTTTCTTTTTTGATTTCTTCGCTCTCTTCTTCGATTTCTTGCTGCTCTTCTTTTGATTTTTCTTCTTCTTTTTGCTGGGGCCCACAAAGGAACCCTTAACCAGCTTCACATCTCGGTCGTGCGTTCGTGTCGGACTCGATCCCCACACCTCGGGCACACCATCCTCTCCAATGCGAACACGTTGTGCCCGTCGCGCATTTAGGACTTTTGAATCCCATTTGGCTTGCCCCCCGCCGCCGCCTCCTCTGTGGTGCTGATTGCTTCGACCTGTCCGTTCGGCCGGATCGTTGATAAAGCTGCCTTCGGGTGCGCGTCCCCTGAACGGATTCCTCTCGTTGTTATCCTGGAAGCGATCATTGGGCCAGCGTTCAACAGGCTTTTGTCGCTTTTTCACCGGGCTCCGACTCCGATTGCGTGCTTTACTCCCGCTACTTGGGCTGCTCCCGCTGCTGCTGTCACTGCTACTGCTGTTGTTGCTGTCCGTGCTCGATGAGCGAGAGCGAGAACGTTGACGTCGCTGTAGCTCTCGTGTATCGTTACCATGACCATTTCTTCTTTCTGGACGCGTTAACCTTTCCCTATCCCGCTCTCCGTCTTTAGACTCTGGATGACGACGGTGTGAAACCGGCTTGTGCGAATCCCGCCTGTCCGAGCGCACATGGGATCTGCCGCCGTCGCGTCCTTCTCCATAACGGTCTCTGCGTGGACTACGCGAGCGGCTCCTGCTACGCGAGGCCATTTTCTGGTTATCTTTTGTATGTAGCTTTTCTCGGGCAAACTAATTTTCCGCAAGACGTTTGACTCCGTTCATATCGCAAGAACTTATCGATATTTGCAGAGATGGCGCACAATAAATCGATAAATTAGCTCGATAAGAAACATCGTTTAAAAATGCAAAAATGTAACCCCTTGTTTGTTTAATATTATAAAATACAGATTTGTTAATTAAAGTTGTTTAGAGTTTCTTAAAAAATATGATAATTGACATTTACATAATACATTCTGCATGAATATACGCTTCTGATTAAATTGTTTCAATATTTGCATTAGATAAAATCTAAAGCAATAATTTTTACAGAAAACTTCCGAGCAGCGAAACTGTTAAGTTCCTGTTACACTTTAACAGGCAGCAACGACAACATCTGAATGGCACTTCTTCTTGCTGTGTAGCGTGACGTGTACGCTGTGCGAAAAATCAAGTTTTTATTGCTTAATTTCACAATTTAATTTCGTTTTTAAAAGATTCCGAAACAGATTTAATAACAATGGGTTCATTTCGCCGCGAGAAGGATGAAGAAGAGGACGGTAAGTAATCAAGAAGCAGCTGAAATATTACTAACAGTGAAGCGCCGAAGCGGCAAACCAAACAACTGCCAACACTGGTCACAGAAGGTGCTCTGCTGGCAGCCAACAAAACACACACACACAACGGGCCACAATAAAAATTAACACACACACATACTCGAGCAACAACAACAAAACACACACACAATTTTGTTTTTATACATTTGCCTACTGCCCGGCTGAACAAAATGAAATATTTTACTTCAAACTCGCAAAACAAACGCATAGGTCCGACGAACGCGTACCAGAATCTGGAGAAGACCTCGGTGCTGCAGGAGACGCGCACCTTCAATGAGACGCCGGTGAATGCACGAAAATGCATTCATATTCTGACCAAGATCCTCTACCTGATCAATCAGGGGGAGCAGCTGGTGGCGCGCGAGGCGACCGATTGCTTCTTTGCCATGACCAAACTGTTCCAATCCAAGGACATTGTGCTGCGTCGCATGGTATATTTGGGCATCAAGGAGCTGAGCTCCATTGCCGAGGACGTGATCATTGTCACGAGTTCCCTAACCAAGGACATGACCGGCAAAGAGGATCTTTATCGTGCCGCCGCCATACGCGCCCTTTGCAGCATAACCGATCCCACCATGCTGCAGGCTGTTGAGCGTTACATGAAGCAGTGCATCGTGGACAAGAATGCTGCCGTCTCGTGTGCGGCTCTGGTCAGCTCCTTGCGTCTGGCCAGCACCGCCGGCGATGTCGTCAAGCGTTGGGCAAACGAGGCCCAGGAGGCCATGAATAGCGACAATATTATGGTCCAATATCATGCTCTCGGCCTGCTCTATCATATCCGCAAATCGGATCGATTGGCCGTCTCCAAGTTGGTCAACAAATTGACTCGCGGCTCGCTCAAGAGTCCCTACGCCGTTTGCATGCTGGTAAGAATCTATTTTATCTATATATAATCTATGAACTATGATTTATAGCTGATTAACTTAAAAATGATATCCATATTGTATAGGTTTTTAGGATAGAATCCAGGTTATAACTTGTTTGTTACCTGTTTTCAAGTTGTCAACCAACAATTCAAATTAAGCTTAAGTTCCCATTTTTAGAATAACAACCAATGCCATAAATAAAGCATTTGATTTATTTGCACACAGATTCGCATTGCTTGCAAACTGATCGAGGAGGAGGATCTGCCGGCCGAGGAGCTGTCAGACTCACCATTATACACGTTCATTGAGACGTGTCTGCGTCACAAGAGTGAAATGGTCATCTATGAAGCCGCACACGCCATTGTCAATATAAAGAACACAAATCCACGCATGCTCTCGCCAGCCTTTTCCATATTGCAACTGTTTTGTGGATCGCCAAAGGCAACGCTTCGCTTCGCCGCTGTGCGTACGCTCAACAAGGTGGCCATGACGCATCCGGCTGCTGTGACCACATGCAATTTAGATTTGGAGGGTCTAATCACCGATTCGAATCGTTCGGTAGCCACATTGGCCATAACCACACTACTCAAAACGGGCGCTGAATCGTCCGTGGAGCGTCTGATGAAGCAGATCTCCACATTTGTCGCCGAAATCTCCGATGAGTTCAAGGTGGTGGTGGTTCAGGCCATTTGTGCCCTGTGCGCCAAATATCCGCGCAAGCACACCGTCCTCATGAACTTCCTCAGTGGCATGCTGCGCGAGGAGGGTGGCCTGGAGTACAAGACATCCATTGTCGATACCATTATAACGATAATCGAGGAGAATGCGGATGCCAAGGAGTCGGGTCTGTCGCATCTGTGTGAGTTCATTGAGGATTGCGAGCATGTCTCGCTGGCCGTGCGGATCCTGCATCTGCTGGGCAAGGAGGGTCCATTTGCGGCCACGCCTTCCAAATACATACGCTTCATTTACAATCGTGTTATCTTGGAGAGCCCGATTGTACGCGCTGCAGCGGTCACTGCGTTGGCCCAGTTTGGCGCCTCGTGCCCCGCACTACTTGCCAATATTCTTGTGCTGCTCGGACGCTGCCAGATGGATCCCGATGATGAGGTGCGTGATCGTGCCACCTATTACCTAACCATACTTAATACCGCCAAACCGGAGCTCTATAAGAACTACATTATCGAGCGGGAGAATTGCTCACTGGCGCTGCTCGAGAAGGCACTGTCGGATCACTTGAACGGTGATCTGCAGACTCACTTTGACATTTCCGTTGTGCCCAAGGCGGCCATTGTTAAGCACGAGATCAGCAACGATATCATGATGGTCACAAGCGCACCACGTGCACCGAAAATTACACGAGAAGAGGAGAGCGCCGCCCGATTGGCTCAGCTGCCGGGCATCCAGGTGTTGGGACCCATACATCGCAGCACTGCACCCATACAGCTGACCGAGAGCGAGACGGAGTACACGGTGCAGTGCATCAAGCATATATTCGCACAACATGTTGTTTTCCAATTTGATTGCCTTAACACGCTCTCCGAGCAGTTCCTGGAGAATGTGCGCGTCGAACTCACGCTACCCGAGGGCTATACGACGCGTGCCATCATTCCGTGTCCCAAACTGGCATACAACGAATTGCAGACAACATTCGTGATTGTCGAGTTCCCGCCAGATCCCAGTAGTTCGATAGGTAAAGCTCGAATTAGAACTCGGATTATGCAAAAATATTCTACACCTGTTTCTTTTTATTTTGGCAGCTACATTTGGCGCCACTTTGCGTTTCGTGGTCAAAGACTGCGATCCGGTTACGGGCGAGCCAGACTCGGATGAGGGCTACGATGATGAGTATATGCTGGAGGATTTAGAGATCACAGTCGCCGACCAAATACAAAAAATAAAAAAGAACAATTTCCAAGTGGCCTGGGATGCCGCCGACAGCGAGGGCAAGTTCTCATATCAGATAATACCTTCCATCCACATAATAATCATTTATATAATTTGCTTACAGAATGGCTGCAAGCCGAGGACACGTTTGTACTATCAGCCGTTAACAATTTGCAGGATGCTGTCAACACCATTATTAAAATACTGGGCCTGGGCGCAGCGAACCTTTCTGAAAAAGTGCCAGAGGGCACGCATCTGCACACTGTTCACTGCTCAGGTATATTGAATGAACACATCCGGTCAACATCAATTTTATCTCTAATTGGTTCCTTTGCATTTGGGCAGGCACATTCCGAGGCGGCGTCGAGGTGCTGGTGCGTGCTAAACTGGCGCTCTCCGAGGGCGTTACACTAAATCTGACAGTGCGTAGCACGGATCAGGATGTGGCCGAGCTCATAACGGCAGCCATCGGATAAGATTGCGAGCCATGCAGAGATCTCGTTGGGTTTCTGCGTGCCATGAATATGATATGATAAAAAATAAACTATATATAAATCTAAAACTTAAATGTAATAAAAAAATATATAATGTTGTAGCTTTAAGTGATGTTTCCCCTCCCCTCCTGTAATATTTGCAATTCTGCCAAGATTCATTTTTATGATCACCTGTTGCGCGACATCATAAATTTGGATCGATGAAATCTTTGATTTAGAGCAGTTGTCCGGGCTTTGAAAGGGTATTATATTGTTACAGCCACAAGTATATGTCGGTTTTAGTCTGAGTGAGTTTACCTTATGTATTCCAAACCAAAATTTAAATACACACAAATATGCAATAATAACTAAGATACCGAGTGTTGAAGTTTAGACAAACTACAAGTTTGATTTGTAGCTGAACCAACTTTCTCTAGCTACTTGGCTAAGTGCGAACGGAGATTTGATTAAATACCTATTCGAAATCCAAGAGTTGCAATTCATTAACTTATTTCATGTTTGATGTTAGAATATAAAAAAGGAATTGATCGGTTTTAATATTTCCCATATTTCAATTTGTTCACGCCAAAGTAGTAGCCAAAATGAACGAGTTTTCAACTTATTTTGTATTTATTTTTATTCAATTATAAATAACTTAAGTTGCAATTTATACAGTTTCTTTTTCTTCACGCGTTAACTTGTTAATGCTTAAATTAGTTCTGGTTGCTGCATTCATAATAATTTCTTGTGCTTTCTTGTTCGCAATCGATTTCACTCGCATTTCTTGATTTATATATATATTTTTTTTTTGTAAATACACTTCTCATCAAACCAATCGATGCATTAATACTCTTTCATTCAGTATTCATATGAAGTATTTTTGTTTAAAAGTTCATGGTAAATTGACGCAAGAGTACAAAACAAAAAACACCACACGAAAGACTTGGTTTTTATTTCGTAGTTCTTCTATTTTTTCCATTTTTTTTTTTTTTTTGATGCACGCAGACAATTGAAAACAATTTCACACAGCTAATTTCTGTTCGTTACAATTTTGTATGCTCATTGTCAGATTGATTATTAGATTTTAAAGATATCTTATTTGTAAATGTATAGTATATGCATGCACTCACGCTTAAAACGCTAATAATTCGAAAACAAATTGTAAAATGATCGTTTTGTGTTTATCCTCCTAACGCGTTGTTGTCCTACTGCTTGGACTGGGACTGCTCCGCTTTTCTAAAGTTCTTCTTGCATTGTATTAACACATTGGCGCTAATTTAAATTTCATAATTCTCATAATTTTAGTTTTAAAATACACGCTAGTAGGTTGATATTTGCTTTCGTTATCATCTACACCTATTTTCAATCGACGCTATCATTCGCCAATTCAATGTGTATTTTGGTGCTGTTGTTGCTGCTTTTGTTTTGATTCTAGCCATTTTTCCATTACGCTTGCTTATCTTTTTTTCTAGCTGACAACAACGCATCGCCTCACAAACCATACAGATATAGATTTGTATATATATAAATATATATATATATATACATATATATATATATACATATATATATAGACATACATATATATACATGTACTATATTATACTATATTACAATTAGCATACATATTTCGTTTTCCATTTGATTTTGTTTTTTTGTAGCTTAAGGTTTGATTTTTAAGGATGCACGTATTGAGCCTGACCGGAGCGACAAATTCACAACACTGCTCCGGCCACGTTTACAGTATATATGTATATATATATATATATATATATATGTATAGTGAGTCGACGATTTTAAAATTGTTGGATTCGTTGGGGACCGTTTTGACTATTGAGCGCATATTTTTTGATGGTACCCTAAACTGCTTAAACACTATAATTAAAATAGTTAATGCTTGAATATTTATACAGAGTGAATGAGTGCTAGCTGGTGGTGGTGGTGGTTGTTGTTGTTGATTGGTTGTTATCGTTGTTGTTGTTGGTTTAGTAGCAGATCTTCAGCATTTGAACTTGACCATGGGTATATGCTTGGAAGACACACACTTGTCACAGCACCACTCGGCGAACACCTCCTTGTTGAGCATTTGAAAGGCCGCCTCCGAGAGACCCACACAGGTTCTTAAATTAAAAGAGGAATATATATTTACAAAATATTCATGTTTATATATTGATGACTGATTTTTGCTTACCTGTGAAAGAAGAAGTTACAACCAGATTCACAGAAGACTGCTTCGTCGTTGTCGTTTACCTCCTTGTGGCACATGCCACACGGATAAATGGGCGGCGCATTAGGATTCTGCGGATTGAAGACCATCGGCTGACCAGGTGGATACATTTTGCCACCGGTCATTGTCATTGGCTTGCCCATTGGGCCGCCCATGTTACCCATGGGGCCGCCCATTGGCCCTGGGCCCATGTTACCCATGGGACCCGGACCCATTGGACCACCACCGCCGAACATGTTCGGACCGCCCATGGGACTGTGTCCGTGCCCATGATGATGTGGGTGTGTGTGTGCGTGGTGAGGTGGCATTCCATGGTGCGGTGGCGGTCCATTCATGCCGCCTGGTCCCGGACCCGGCCCCGGCACACCGCCCATATGCCCATGTCCCATGTGTGGGCCGGCATTGCCGTGTGGTCCCATCATGTGCGGATTTCCACCACCACCGCCGCCGCCCATGTGCGGCGGCATGCCTCCCGGGCCAGGACCATGCATGCCCGGTCCCGGGCCCATCATGTGATGCGGCGGATGCGGACCGCCCGGATGCGAATGATGCGGGTGCGGATGATTCATTAGCTGCGGGTGCGGTGGTCCTCCAAGATGTGGCGGTTGCTGTGGCGGCAGCATTTGATTCATGCCCATGCCCATTGGACCGCCAGGTCCGTGACCGCCTGGCCCATGACCAGGTCCACCAGGTGGTCCACCCATGTGGACGCCCATTGGCCCGTGCTGCTGCTGCTGCTGCTGTTGGTGTTGTTGATGTTGTTGCTGTTGTTGTTGTTGCTGCTGCTGCTGCTGTTGTTGCTGCTGCTGTTGTTGCTGGTGCTGCTGCATAGGAACATTTGGGTGCATTTGCTGGCTCATCATGGGTCCATTGTTGTTCATGTTATTATTATTATTATTGTTATTGTTGTTGTTATTGCCTCCGCCTGCGCTGCTGAGCGCTGGTGATTGCAGGGGGCTGGGCCCAGAATTGGGCATGCCCGGACTGGGACCGGCACTATGGAGCGCATGATGCGGTGACATGGCGGGCGGCGCTGGTGAGGAAGTAGGCACTGATGTGGTCGCCGTTACCGACGACGTTGTCGTCGTCGTCGCTGTAGACGTTGCTGATGATGATGATGATGACGCCGCCGGCAATGGACCGTTAGATTGCATAGAGTTGGGTGCTACACCACTTCCGCCACCACTACCACCACCACCCAAACGGCCACCCGGCGCCGCTGGCGACAGATGCGGATGAGGATGAGGATTTTGATTGTTGTTGCTATTGTTGGGATTGTTGCCACCACTGTTGTTATTATTATTACTGTTGTTGTTACTGTTGGACGCATTTCCACCCATCATGTTGCTGTTGTTGTTGGGATTGGCTGGCGACATGCCACCGGGTCCAACCAAACCGCCCGGCCCAGGACTTGGCCCGGGACCAGGCACGCCGGACATGTGACTGTGATTTGTCGGCCCATTGCCCAGTGGACTATGCAATGGCGGTGGACCCATTTGGCCATTGTTCATGTGAGTCTGCTGCGGGTTTTGTGGCTGCTGCTGCTGTTGCGATCCTTGCTGCTGTTGTTGCCCCGGTCCGGGTCCGGGCCCTGGTCCTGGTCCGGGACCCAGTGGACTGCCAATCTGGTTGCCCATGGGTGAGCCCATGGGCAGCGAGTTCATTGGCGAGTTCTGGCCGGGCATGGGTCCACCAGCGCCGCCCATGGGCGAGCCTTGCATTGCACGCGGATTGGGCCCATTGGGACCGCCCATTGGTGATAAGCCGCCCATGCCCATATGATGCGGTGATATGCTTGGTCCACCCATATTACCCATGGGACTCATGCCGCCCATGCCAGCCATAGCACCCATCGGGCTGCCCATGGGTACGCCACCGGCACGGCCGTGATTCATGTGCGGCGGTAGACCAACGCCGGGTCCCATCGCATGCGGATGTGGATGCCCACCAGGCCCCAGGGGGCTCATGCCACGCATTGGCGGCGGCCCGCCCATATGATGCGGTCCGTGCGGCCCATGGCCCATGGGTCCACCGCCGGCGCCCGGATGATGTGGATGCATATGCGGATGCATGCCCATTCCCATGCGCTCCTCCCAATGCGGATGCGGTCCAAAGTGTCCCGGACCGCCGGCGCCGCCCATTTGATTCATGGCTGCCATTGCAGCGGCCGCCGAGCTGGACATGGCCGACACCTGGGGGCTGTCATCGAACGGATTGGAGGCAATGATCGTGTCACCGAAACCGCCCATCGGTGGCGGCGGCAGCAGATCCTGCGGCGTTGGCGGCGCCGACTGCTGCTGTTGCATGGAATTGGCAGCGGCCGCTGCCGCAGCAGCTGCCGCCGCCGCAGCGGCAGCTGCCGAGTTAGCCGCATTCGATGTTTTTCGTCGCTTCTTTGGATTACTCGGCGCCGAGATGATATCCGTCGGAGGCGGTGGCTTAAAATCAGGCGGACATAGACCACCCGCTGGACCCGGCATACGATATGGCGCCATACCGATATTGTGGGTCATATTCGAAGTGTTTTTCTTCCGAATGGTGGCAGCTTTTCTTTAACAACGGGGCGAACGAAAATTTCAATCCAATGGCGTCGTCGATCCGCTGGACCACGACGCGTCAATCAAAAAAAAAATGTTTTGTTGATGGTGTTGAAATATGCCCTTTGCAGAGATGGACTCCTCTTCAGTGCTGTTCTTGGTTAAAATAGGATGCCAGGCTGTATGTGTTGTGTATATGTGTGTGTGTGTGTGTGTGTGTGCGAGAAAGAAGACATCGAATGATGAGAGCATTATAAAATTGTATTGTACTGCATCACTCACCAATGCATCCCAGTTCGAAATGTGTTCAATTTTTGAAAAATAAAATATAGAAATCTTCGTTGCTGCTAATTTCCGAGCTGGCAACTCTAGGCGCGCATGTCGTCAGCGTTGGCAGCACCTGCAGCAGTAGCAGTAGCACCAGCAGCAGCAACACAAAATACAACGAGAAATTGCGCTCAGGTCGCGCTCTGAAATTGCAGAGCTGGCTGCACGTTCAAATAATTAAGTCTTCTTTTCTTTTTTTTTTTTTTGATATGATGAATTGATTTTGCTTAAGTGTCGCGCGATTTTAGCGATAGGCGCACGCCACGGCGTTGTTTTTTTTGTTTTCTTTATATATTTTTTGTTTTATTTCACTTTTCTCAGTTGGCGGCTCTTCTTCTTGCCAGCGATTTAATGTTCTTTTTGCACCACCACCGCAATGCAGCGGCAGCTATTTAGCTGCTTCTTTTGCAATTATAACTCCACGAACAATTTGTTTAGCGCATTTCTATGAGCATCGATTTGGAAAATGATTTGCACGTTTCACAATTTTACCATGCGATCTTGCAGTTTGCGCACGCAAATTTGTTTTGTCGTTTTCGTTTTTGTTGATGGCCGCGGTGCCAGGCCAAATTTTTATGGCAAATCGGTTGCTGCGTAACCATTTGGAAAGCAATTGTACACAACTATGCCGCGTTGAGCACCACACATTATCATTTGATCGCAAATGCTTAGATATTTGTTTGAAACTACAATATTTTGCCAATTTTCGTATGCGTAGCGTCGTGGATTCTAAAATATAAATAATTTTCCTCGCCTGCCAGCCAAGGTGACCGTATTTTGACAACAACAAATACCTAAATTCCATTCTTCATTTTGAAACTAGGGTAACCATCACTTTGGATATCGATAATGCGCTAATTTCGACAAATCAAAATTCACCTGGGTTTTATAACTTTTATAATAATATGTCAAACTCTTTAATAAAAGGGGTGCATTTTTTCTTATGTAAAAAAGTAAATTCCATAGCATAAAAATGTCTTCATTTATATTCAAAGAAGAAAATATCGATATTATCGTTAAACTGCCATCACTATTGGTCGCAAAGTGACGCATGTTGATTTGGCGCTGGCTGGTTTAAATATTTTTCGTAGCGACAAAAATATGTGGAGCAACTTTGAAGCATCAGTGGTGGAGGACGAAACCATTTCCAATGCATTCTCATCGCGTAGCATTTTCAAAATAACCAGCGACGATGCGGTAATTTCTATGCAAATGGAGCAAAAAAAAAATCTCATTTGGTTTCTTTTTATTGTTAGGTTACAAAATATCCTACGATTCAAGCGTATTCGCAAAGTGGCAAAATTGTCATTTCAATTGACAAAAGTCTGCTGCTGCTCGAGGACGAGCTCGTGGCCAAGTGCAGTTTCCTTAGCTTTGGCGCGCACATCGATGCCATCGCCATTTCGAACAGCGGCAATCTAATTGTGTGCGGTCTGACAGACGGCGAAGTCCATGGCGTCTACATTAAGGGTCTGCTGCTGTTCAGTGTGTGCATCAGGATTGAGGATGCCAGCATCACAAGCGGCACATTTACGAACATTCAGCAATTGGGGCAACACTTTTACCTCACATGCAGCAACGGCAGCGTCTACTGGTGAGTGTATTCCCTATATAAATATATATGTATATATGTATACAATATATATATATATATATATATATATATATATATATATATATACATCTATATATATACATCTATGATTTCATATTGATCTGACTCGTCGTTAATTTAGTCTCAGCGAAATCGATGAAGCTTCGCTCGAGTCCTTGTCGAATGTCACCTTAAAGGATAGTGAAAACATGGCTGCACTGCTAGATGATGTCACCATTGAACGCACATCTGCCGGTGGTCGAACTCTTAGTGTGGATAGCGCTCTGCTGCTCAAGCAACCAACTGTCCACCGTTATGCCGTGAACAATCAGGAGACTCAGCGAACGAATCAGGAGCTGATCATTGCTGGTGCACAGGGCACGTTAAGCTTCTGGACTGCGTTGAACGATGTCACTCGCATCAATTTACCATCGCAGTTTGGCGGCATAAGGAACATCTACAATATAGAGCATTATATGTAGGCTGTCATATCAAATTATAACTGAGCACTTAACTTTATTTATGCATATACCCCTTCCAATAGCATTGCTTTGACGGAGTCTGGCCACTTGCTGCCGATTTGTCCATTTACACGTACCGTAAGCTTGTGCCAGTCAGAGCAGAGCAGCAAGCTGCTCATTGAGGACATGCAGGTGATGGAGTGCAGCGAAGAGCATATTGAGCTATTAATACTTACCAAGCCTACCGCAGACGGGGAGCGTTTCGTTAAAATTGTCGAATATCCCTGTAAGACTTATTGCCTATTTAAAATTTAGCTTGAGAGTCTTTATTTTGCCGACTTGCTGTGCATTCTTTTCAGCATTGAAGTGCAAAAGCGAGATTGAAGTTCCGTTGAACGCTTGGCTTATACGCCAGCCCAAAAGTGCCGTCAATCTGTATTATCTGGCAGCCAAGGCAGTGGAAGATGGCGAATTTCCCTCGGAGGTGGAAATGATGATGGTTTCTGAGACGGATCCCAGTGATCGTTTCAAAAAACTCATCGCAAAAGGACGTCTGGAAGAGGCCGAGGTGATTTGAATATTCTTTAAAATGTGTATTATATTTTATATATATATATATTTTTTTTGTTTATCCCGGCCATGTAGAGTTTTGGCAAGCAATTCGATATATGCCTGCAGCTGATCTACGAGGCCAGGGCCAAACGTATGCTCGTCGAGCTGTGCAATGCGAATGTAAGCAACGCCAACTTAAAGGAGCTGGAGGAAAAGTTTCAAATGCTGCTCAATCTGCTGGGTCAGATCGAAAGCAAAGCATTCATCAAAAATAATCGCATGGTCAATTTGAGTTCGCGTCAGATTTTGGAGCGTTACCTCAGAGAAATACAAAAGAGATTGGATTTTGAAGTAAGTGGTGCATTAATCGTGTGTGTAATAATACTAATCGACAGGTTTACAGGAGGATGAGGCGCATATGCTTGAAATAGACGAGCAACTGCATCGCCTCAAAACTCTGGCCATCATCGATCCCTACGAGTGCAATAGCGAGTGGCAAAAGTTTGTCTACAACACGAGTCTGGTGAAGGTAGTGAAGAGCATGTTTAGCACTGATATGCCAACGGCCTGCCTCATCTGGCGGCGTCACTCGAGCAGCATTTTACCGCAACTCAACGACGATGAATTACGAACGCTGCTGGGCTTCATACCCAGCAGCACTGTGCCGCTTAATGTGGTGCAGTGGCTGCACCAATTTGTGCCCATGGTCAGCAATACACATCCAACCATTATGCCGTTCATCACCGATTGGAGCATTGAAATGACCCGCAAACTGCAGTACGGTGATCATTGGCCAGATATTGGTTTGGAATTCGCTACCAATATATTGGATATCTTCGAGGAGGTTCGGTTTATCTACTCGTAAGTATTCCATTATAAATTTCGATTCTTCATCAGAAATATGGAACTTTATTAATATATATGTAAATAGGTGAAAATCTAGATGTAAACCCATGAAAATCAGTAGTGTATATTAATCTTAATATATTTTTATAACTATTTTTCCTTTTGTCAAGTGATATGGGTCGTCAGCAGGAGCGTAACATTGGTAAGCTGCGAGATCTGGTTAATGCTCTGCAGGATTTGTCCGTGTTGAAGAAAAGCTACAAATTGTGCTTCACGCTGGACAATTATATGCAGGACTCGATAGACGCGACAGCCTTGCACATATTGCAGCGTGCACATTTAGACAATTTGCAGAGCCTGGTCAAGAACTTTCTCTATCCCATCTATCAGGAGAAGGGAGGCCAGCCTTTGAACGTTATCAAGCAATACATATCACAATTGGTGGCCAATCGTCAATCGCTTAGCAATTGGCTGGAGCGAGCGATGGCCTGCATTGAGCTGCTCCACAATGAGGACACTCGGTTGGAGTGCGCTCTTTCGATACTGCAGAATGCACCGGTTCCTTGGCCAGAAACATTGGGTCCACTTATCAAGCTGCGCAACTCCACGCATCCGCTGAGTTTCAAGATCAATGCCGAGTATGAGATACAGGTGATCAAGATAATGAAGAGTAAATACGGCTGGCCAGCGGATAGCGCCGCTGACATCAATCTCGAGCTGTTCATGATGCGCATCGTTAAGTTGAATCTACCCGATATGCTGGAGGATATTCGCACGCTGACCAAAGCGGCGCCAGATATATCAACCAGTGCCAATTTCAACTGTTGTTATCAGATGGCGCGACGTGGTCAAATCGAGATGGCTTACGAGTTCTTTAAGTCGCTCAACAACAAGAATAACTCCAAGCAGGGCTGCGATGTAGTTGAAATCCTGGCGAATACGCTTGAGATGAGCTCCGGCTCGTTTGCCAATGAGGCCAAGCTGCAGGAGCATGTTAACCAGCTGGAGCTACTTAAGCTAATGCTGCCCCACGTTGATTCTATTTACGGGCAACGTTATCTGCTCATCAAACACAGCTTCCAGCTGCGTCAAAAGTTCAAGTTGCAGCTGAACAGCAGCAGTGATCTGATTTTGTTGCAAAGGCGGCTCGAACTGCTCGATGAGGGCATTGAGTACATCATTCCCCAGTCCAAGGCCACATTGAATGTGTGCGCTTTTATGGTGAGTAAAATGGGTGAATTATGTACGACGCTCGGTCTCCAAAAGATTAGCGGATTGTTGCGCATTAGCCAGCGAGTTGGATGCCTGCCCCTCAGCTGTGCTCTGGCTCATCACGCTCTGGAATTCATCGACTGTGTGCCGGCCAACAGCGGCGACTTCATCAACTTTGCCGTTGAACTGCTGGTGCAGCAAATTTGCAATGCCAAGAGCCGTGGTCAGGGTAAGTCAGTACTCGGTTTCATTAAGCTACAAGTTCGAGTTAAGTTTGCAGAGTTTAGATATGCTTGCGTTCAGTATTTCAATAAATATTAAATATTGTTAAATATAATAATAAATATTGTTAAAGACTAACTTTTGTAACTTATTCAATTCTTAGCTATCAAAAACCGAAATTAATTTAATTCTTAACTATAACTTTTCTTTTACAACCTGGTTGCACGCATTAGACACGCATTCTTCGCTCCAGACGTTGACCGAGAGTGATCCGTTGAGCTTTCCGCTCGCCTATGGACTGCTGACAGAGGCGCTGATGCACGAGCGGAGTCTTCTGCGGGATCTAAATGAGCTAACCAAGTACGTGCGCGTCGCTATCATACACTATCCGATGGATGCCATTGAGGCGCACTATGTTGGCAAGGCGCAGAGTGTTAACGAGCAGATTTGCCGTGCCCTGGATGGCGCACCCATTGCCTTGGGCGAGACAACGCTAAACTTCTCGACAGCGCTCAATATGTCAATTGACGTTAAGGTAAATGTGGAGCCACCGCCCAAGAAGCGCTATTCGGTGTCCATGTTCGATGATGTCGATGTTAAGCCACAGCAGCAGCCGCAGCGAAAAGTAAATAAAACTAAAAAACCAAACTTCAACTGTATTCCAATTATGATTCGTCTATTTTACAGAAGCGCATTAGCGGTAGCATGCCGATTGTAAAGTTCTTGGCACGAACGCTCCTGCTCATGACAATGGAGACTGATCCCAATAATTCGCTGTTGCTGAAGTTGCGGAATTCTTTGCCGCCGGATGTTAAAGAGGATTACGATGGTGCCTGTGCCGATTTCTTTTTGTCGTTGGAGCATTTAACCAAGGCCAAGGAGCACGATGTTTGGTATATTATGTCACAGTATCTACTTGAATACCAGAATCAGAACCGTAGTAAGAAAATCATTAATGAGGGCTTTATTTCGCTGCAATTGCGTCGCATCCTTCGCAATGCCATGAACAACAAGGAAGCTAACTTAATTGGTAAATATGCCTATTGATTGATTAGTCACTCATTTGATTAAAACAATATTTATGTGATTTGCAGAGCTGTTTGTCATGCTGGTGGCGGATAACGAGTCACACGCCTTGCTGGATAAACTGTCCATGGATTTGAAAACTGATCAGCAAAAGATTCATTTTCTCACGCTCTCCGCCATGTATAACGAACACTTTGACGAAATGGATAATGTGCAAATGTTGCGTGCCAAGTAAGTGAAATCCAAACAACAGAACACTTTTGGATTGTATGCTTAAATTGGATCACTTTTTTAAAGGCGCAACAAACTGTATTACTATTTGGAGTTCTGCCAGCAGGATCCCAGCATTAAGGGTAAATTTAATGCCGAAATGGATAATATTGATCAATTGCTGAAAGAGTTCCATAACAAACGGCTCAATGTGCAGCTGCTGGAGCGCATGAGCAACGATTTCGGTTTGGACTATCAGAAAGTGCTAATCACACAAATCCTGAGCATATTAAATGCCCAGGAGCTGCGCTACGAGATCAAGACCAATACCTTTGGTGACGAGGAGATCGTAATGCTGAGCAGTGTGCGTGAAATTCGTGACCTGTGCCAGCCCTACATCAATGAGATTAAGAATGTGGAGCTGTTTACCTCCAAGCTACAACAGTTCATCGAAGAGGTGCGTTTAGCAACAGAATTGCTGCACAAATAATACTCATGCTTTGCTATCTTTAGATCAACATTTACTTTTATGAGTTGTATCTGTGCGTTATCGAGATACTTATGTTCTTTGAGGCGGCGCCCAAGCAGATGGAAACCTGGGTAAATATTTTGCATTTCTTGCGCCACAAGATGATCACGCGTCGACGCAATCGTGCTGGTCAACTGGAGACGGACATGTGGCTGCAATCCCAAAAGGAAAATGGTGTCCTGCCAAAGATTGCTCGCTATCGCCTGCCCTTCATGCCCATTGTGGAGAAGCCGCTCAGAGATATTCTCGGTGCGTTGCACAAAATATAAACAATACGATTATGTTATTTATTTGCTAATATAAATTGACCGTTGCAGATAGTGAACTGAATGTGGACAACTGTCAGAGCTGGTTTCCGCTCATACTTATGTGCACCGAGCTGAAAAACTCCAAGGACATCACACAGAACTGTGACTATTTTTGCATGGCAGCTGTTAAAAACTCAATTGCCGAATACAAATCGAAGAACGATTCGGAGTCATGGAGTTTGCATCCGACCAATAATGCATTCCTTAAATCTGTACGATACAATGATACTAATCTTAACATTTACATTCGCTTAAGTACTTATACCGCTTCCTTAATTGCAGATCTTGCGCTTGGTTAAGAACGTTCACAATTCAAGCAAAATATTTCTCATATTGTATTTTGTTGCTAGCTATGCTCCAGAGGGTGCCGACCAAGTGGAGGCCTCCTACGAGTGCTGGAAATATGCCAAGGAGCATGAAGCTCTGAATAAGGATCCCAAGTGCCAGGATCAGTTGATCAAGATAATGCGTAGATATCCCATACAAAAGACACAGCATTTGCTCTACGTTTACGGCATGACCGATGAGAAACTGCTGCGCCTCGTCGAGCATCCCACAGAGCTCATACATTGCCTATATCATCATGAACTGATACTTAAATCCAGCAAAGTGGATATTAATGCTTTGGTCAAAGAGATTTGCATGCTGCACGAAATCAGTCTTGAAGGTATACAGTTTAAGCTGCTGCAGAAATGGTTATCGATTACAGTGGAGCCTGCGGATGGTACCATATTGGAGGAAACATTCCTTGAGGATCACAATTGGCCTGAGAATGGTGGCGGCAGCAATGGTGCCGATGAAACTGGCAATGCCAGCGAGAATGTCGTTCGTGCATTTTATATACTTAGCAGCTGGCCCAAATCGGAGGCTGTTCAGTTTCTGGTGGGGCTCATCTTTAAGGGCGGGTAAGCTTGACGTAATCAACAATAACAGAGACTTTATCTTCTATTAATGTGATATAAATGTTGCCCTGCAGCTCTGGAAACACCTCCACGCAGTTGCAGATGTACGAGTGTTATTCCAAGCTCAACGATGGTAGCAATTCATTCAGCAACACCATCAGCCAGCGCCAGTTCATCACCATTAAATGTGTCCATGAATTGAAGGCTCTCGGCTACAACTCGAATATTGAAAAGTTTGCAGATGAACACTGCGACAAGATAAGCATTCTGAAGATGGTGTGGCAGCGCAATGCACAGAATCCCCTTTCACTCGAGGTGATGGCCGACATTTGTCTAGGCTTCAATATACATTTACCCAAGATCTGGAATGGCATACTCAAGCGCATGGTCATATTTAATATGGTGCGAGAGCTGAACGCATTGGTCGATGTGCTCAGCTGCAAGCCGCAGCTGCTGCATCTGGATGGACTGGCGATGGCCTTTGACTGTGTGCTCACCCATCCGCTGAAGAATGCGGGCGAGACGCGCTCCCACGCACAGGAGGAGCGCTTGCAGAAGACGCTGCTGCGTCTGCAGGGTTGCCCGGTTGTGCATGCGCTCAATTTATACCAATTTGCCGAGCACTGTGTGCTCATCCAGCGTCCACATATGGCCGCCACAGTGCTCATTTTCTGTCAAAGTGCTGAGCAGCGCAAAAAGATAGTTGAGGTTAGCTGGGAATACTGGGATTAGTGTGTTCTTTATAATAATTTTGATTTAATTTGCAGCTCATCAAATCACGACAGGTGAATAACTTACGACAGCAAATTCTCGACCTGGAGGATTCCGGTTTGCTGCCAATGGTTCTTAACTTTGCGCTCAAGGAATTGGATATTTAATGAAGCATATTAATTAATTTATATATGAACTGTAAAATTACTTAATTGAATAAAATACTATTATTTCTTGAGATTGCGAGAGAGATAAGAAAAGAGTTAAATTCCGATGAGATTTTCGATTAATTCATAAATGTTATTTTTAGAGATTTATGTGATTAGTAAACAATTGATTAGGTTACTAATTACATCTAATGAGAGCTAATTAGAAAACTAGGGCATTCCCAATGGAGGCAAACTGCTAATCAACAATCATTACCACATTGATGACATCACTTTGCGACCAATGCACAGTGTAACTAATGTGGCACTAAGCAAATAAGGCACACGCACCTACACCGATTATTTACATATGTAATGTATATAAGGGATTATAAAGATAAGTGTTTGCATTGCTTTCATTTTAGATAAGATGAACATGCAACCGCCAAAACACTGAAAATATCAGGCGTGCGCGCATTTGAAGCAGATTCATCTTGTGAATGGTTCCACAGTGCGCAGTCCGCAGTTCGCAATCAGCTGTTCGTAAAACTCTCAGAACGTATACAGAAATACTATCTCCAGTTGTTGAATTTGTTTTGTAGAAAAATGTTGCGTTCATTGATTGGAGCACAAAAGTGCTTATATCTGTTTAACAGAACAGTAAACAATTTAAATAATGTGGCACCAGTGGCATCAATGTTATCCATGTGAGTATCGAATGAAAAAAATAAAATAAAATGCGTCACGCAAAGTTAACAACAAATTGTTATCTACATAGACGGCATTATGCACCACCGACGCACATTAAACAATCGGCGGTGCCAAATGATTCGGGCACCATGGCTCAGGGTAAGCAAACCGAATGGGTAAAGGTCAATTTACTTAGGCAAATCTATCGCTGCAGTTAAGTTGGAGATGATGGAACGCCTTGGCCTGGACGGGGGTTATCAGCCAGTGCCAAAGTCGCGTGAACATCTGCTAAAATATCAGCCAAAGCTGGAGGATCTGCCGGCGCGTGCCATGCAGGATTCGTTCACGTCGGCCATTATACCACTCAGCACGAATCGTTCTCTGCAGGACAAGTATGTCACCTATTTGGGCAACGTGCGCATGGGCAGGCTGCTCGAGGATATGGACATTTTTGCCGGTTGGTCACTTATTCTGATAATCCCAATTTCAACATGATTGTAATCATTGTCTCAATCTGTGGCAGCTTGGTGCTGTCACAAGCATTTGATGGTGCCTCAGCTGCCAGCTGATGTGCATTTGCCGTATACGTTTGTGACGATTCTCGTGGATCGCATTGATTTCAGCAATACTCTGGCCTCCGGCACCGAGGATATCCGCCTCTCCGGTCATGTCTCGTGGGTGGGCACCAGCTCCATGGAGGTTGTCGTTTGGCTCGAGCAAATGCAAAATGGCAGCTACAGGAAGCTGACACGTGCCCTGTTCCTAATGGCAGCACGCAATGCCACAAATACTACGGCGGCACCAGTGAATCCCATCAAGCCGGCGAACGAGGAGGAGGTGATGATTCTAGCTGGCGGCATGGATCGCAAGCGCAGGCGTCAACTGATCTGCGCCCAGTCCATCTTCAAGGTGGAGCCCAACGATCCGGAACAGTCGCTCATGTATGAGCTGTATAAGCGGACCACGCCCAGCGACACCATGGAGCTGAACAAGCGCATATTGCCGCCAAATTGCCGCTGGATGTCAGATTCGTATCAGATGAGCACGATTCCTTCGTTCCCCGAGAATCGTAATCATCACAATCGCGTCTTTGGCGGCTTTCTGATGCGCACCGCCCTCGAGATTAGCTGGGCAGCGGCGGTGCTTTACTGCAAGACGCGTCCCAAGCTGGAGCACATTGCCGATATTAGCTTCGAGAAGCCGGTTAGCGTCGATTCCTTCATCAAGATGACCGCCTATGTGGTGTACACCAAACTGAACTATGTACAGATTATGACCGTGGCCGAGGTGCTGGACACGCACACCGGCAACCAGGTGACCACCAATACCTTCTACTACACATTCTCGGCACCGCAGACCGTCACCGAAGTCTTGCCACGCTCCTATCACGAAACAATGTGGTATATACAGGGACGCCGCAAGTTCGAGTACAGCATGGGACTCAATAAAACCTAAACGAGTCGAGAGATAATAATGATAATATCATAATATGAGAGGCTCTTATGATAAGCGCAACTCGTCAGAAAATACTCCCACATACAGTGAAGCTTGCTCAGTTGAACAAACTTTAAAGTGAAATGCACAACTAGCCTAATAATCAAATAGTTTAACGAAACAACAACAACAAATCAGAATATATTAAACTTAAATTGCCAATTAAATTAGTTTGAAAACCAACTAAATTGTTTTTAATATTTAATATAATATAGCATTGCAAAATTATAATTAATTTAATATGAGAATTTGTACCTCGAAATGCCCCACTTTGCCACTTGGCAATTTTCAATAGTCAGCGGTCAACAAAAGCAGCGTTCACTGTATGTGCATTTCTAGCATTTAGCACTCTTCTCTGTTGTAATAAACAATAATACTATATATATATATATATATATATCTATATACCACACATGAATCTTGGCATTAATGTGGTAAACGGAAGACTAGTTGACCGAGACACACATGATTCAGAGAGAATCTGAGAAACAAATACACTCTTAGAATCCGAATCGGAAGAGGGGCTAACCTTCGTACCTTTTTCGCTCGCTGCGTTATTTAAAATTTGAGGAACAGTCTGTCTAGTTCTCAGTGCAATTATTTTCAATTTACCCGTTTGTTACGCGCACAATTTTTTATTTATTTTGTATTTAAACAAAAGTCACAGTATTTCTTCAAAATTAACTGCATTCTATTAAAATGCAACGTATATTGCGTCTTAGGAGCCTATCTCCGGCAAGGTGGCTGTATTTATCAAGGTAAAAGCTGGCAAAGCTACGATTTGGATCTTGGAAATTGATCGTTGAGTATCGTTGTAGGCAACGTTTGCCCCTGGTTCGGAATGCAGTGCGGCATTATCAGATGGGTGAATTTTTAAAAGAGGCCAGGGATCATTACTCCGGCACAATGGCAGAAGGTTAGCTATAAACCCAATCATCCCATAAACTAAAGGTTTTGCCGTCACTTGCAGTTGTTGAGAAGATTCGCAAGCGAACCGATGTGGAAATTGGTTATCATGTTGTGCCAAAGTCACGGGAGCATTTGCTGAAGCACCAGCCGAAGCCGGAGCAGTTGCCGCCTCGCAGCATGCAGGACTCGTACACGACAGTTAAGCTGCCACTGAGTGCTGAATTGATTAGTGAGCGCTATATTAATCACATGGGCAGAATTCGAATCGGTCGCCTAATGGAGGACATGGATATGTTTGCCGGTAAGCGATGCACTCTGGTTATCCATGACTTGTAAGAATTGATTACTGATGCCAGTTTAACACACAGTTTGGCTTTGCCACCGCCATATAAAGATGCCCGATCTGCCGGCAGGTGTGGGCATGCCCTACACTTTTGTCACGCTCCTAGTGGACAGAGTGGACTTCTCCAATATTGAGTTGATCCAGGTTAACAAGGATATCGAGATAAGCGGCTTTGTATCGTTTGCCGGACGCACTTCAATGGAGATAACCATTTATGTGCGCCAACTGTTGGACGATCAGTATCTGAACGTGACCAAAGCCACCTTTTTGATGGTGGCACGCAATGCCACCAATACGGGCCCGGCGCCCGTCAATCCCATCAAGCCCGCCAATGAGATGGAGCAGCGCTGCTTTGACGAGGCCCTCCAGCGTCAAAATCACCGCAAATCCGCAAATGCGGAAAGTGTGTTCATCTCACAGCCACTGGAGCACGAGCAGGCGCTGCTGTATAGCCTGCTGCAGCGTACAACGCCGCCGGATAGCTTTGATTTGAACAAACGCATCTTGCCACATAATTGCCATTGGATGGCCGATTGCCAGCGTTCGACGGTGATGAATTCGTTTCCCGAGAATCGGAATGCCCAGAACACCATATTCGGTGGCTATCTGATGCGTCAGGCGGTCGAGCTGGCCTTCATCATGGCCAGCATCCATGTGGGCGGTCGACCATTGCTGAAATGCATATCGGACATTAGTTTCATGCGACCCGTCAAGGTCAACGTGTTCCTGCAGATGACCGCCTATGTGGTCTACACGGCCCACGACTATGTGCAGCTAATGCTGGTCGCCCAAAATGTGGATGCCAAGAGCGGGGAAGTGACGACAACGAACACATTCTATCTGACCTACAAGGCCGAGAATATTGTGGATGAGGTGCTGCCGGGTTCGTATCGTGAGATGCTCTGGTATATACATGGAAGACGCAAATTCATCTCGGCACTCGGTCTGAACTTGGAGTTGCCGGCCGACAAATCCGAGTTAGAATCGGCTGCGAAATAATAAAGACGACGCTAACGAGTTTTCTTTCACACGCCTCGACACAAGAGTTCCCAATTTTGTAATGTTTATTTTACAAATTGTTTATAGTTTTTGTTGTTGTTGTTTATCAGCGGGGGCTTGTACAAAGTATGTATTTAAAAATCCTTAAACTGAAGTTGCATTTGGGCATTTAGAAGCGCAGACGATGTGGATATTGGGAGGAGTGCAGAGCGAACATGTTCTGCAAGTACTTCTTGAAGAATTTACCCTCGGGATGCGTATTGATCACCTTCAGCAGGGCGCTGTCGACCTCTTTCTGGTCCTTCTTGCGCTGCTCGTTGGGCACAAAGCGCTCCTTCTTGGCAGCAAAGATGTCAGCCTCGCCACCCTTCTTCTGCTTCTTGGCCTTCAGGCGACGGAAGTAGGCGTCATTCAAATGCTCAGGCACCTTGAAGGCGCCCAAATCCACACGCGACGATGTGCCGATCACGAAGCGCTGTGACACGCGGCGCAAGGGGCACGAGTTGAGAGCGAACGGACCGGTGACCAGCAGCAGGCCAGAGGTCAGTGTCTTCAGCAGAATGACACGCTTGCCCTGATGACGGCCAGCCAACAGGATGAGGACAGTGCCGGGCTTCAAGTTGTGGCGCGTGTTCCGCTTATGTTCGCTGAAGTTAGCCTTGCCTGGACGCTTCTTCACGAACGTCTTGGTTGGATAGTTGGCCTTGGTTTTGCGCAGGTAGACGGTACGCTCACCACCGTTCTTGGGGCCACCGATCTTCTTCACCTTCTTGATGGGCACCTTCTCCTTCTGGACGACGGGGTGCTTCTTGTCCTTAAGGCGGTACAACGCACGGCGCTTGTACATCTGCAAAATTAAACAGTAACCACAATCAATCACATTTCCACACACACACACACACGCCAAACATCATGTTGCTACCACCAACGAAATAGGCAAGGCAGATGCAAAAACGCAGGCGCCGTCACAGAAGCGTTGCCCACTCTGGCATCATTTTGAATATGTTTTTTATTGGGTTATTACCTGGGCCTTGGAGTAGCGCAAGACACCGCCCTTGAGGTAAGAGTTGACGGGATGCTTCTTGCCCTTTTTGGCCGATTTGGCGACCTTTTTAGCTTTTTCGACGGGTGCCATTGTGGAGAACACGTGTACACAGCACAAAAAATAATTAGAAAAGGAAGGTTATGTGTTACGGCGTTGCCAGCACCAGGCAAAACACTACATGCGTTTTATCGATACATTTTCGTGACAACTCTGGAATTTGGTGTTTCTCAACACTGCCGCTTAGCACACTGACGATAAGTGATTATCGATAGCAAATCAAACAACAGTAACATCGGTTTTTTTTAAGTTGCTACGAGCAACTTAAGATTTAAAACTGCGTTTTTTACGATTTAATAATACTTTTTTCATTTATTTGTTGTAATGTGTACACAATGAATTAAATCACGTTTTGTTGATGTTCTTATACAGCTCTCTCTTCCTTGTTTTTACACAATCTCCAATTAACTTACTTAATTGTTCATTTGCTTTCACGAATCGTTTAAAAGTTAAATATAGCTCGTAATTTAAATTAATTAATAAATGAATGATAGGTAATTTACAAAATGTTATTTTTTGTAGTTTCAATTTGAAATTAAAACTATAAAAAGTACTCGCTCATAGTCGATGAAATGCAAAAATGATTTTTGTTTTTTTTTCTTTGCAGTTGCAAAATTAATTTCTCCTTGCAAAAAAATAACTAAAAACTAAATTATGATAAGAATGTAGTACATTTGTTGTTCTTATTTGTACTTGTAATACAATATTGACGATGTTCTTTAAAATGCTTCGTTTTTTCTCGCAAATATTTTACTAACTCCGCGCTAAATACATGTAAAATTTGCTAGTTTTAAATTACATACAATTATTTTTAAAATTTTCCGACAGCTCAGCAGAGTTGACGGCTTATTTGTTTTGCATTGTAGAAAGTGTCTTAGGTCTATACTTCTTTTGTTACTTTTACTTGTCATGCTTATTTGTCACTTGCCATTAGTTAAAAGTTAGACTAAGTTTAAAAATGTTGCTGCAGCCTGGCAATGAACACACAATTTTTCCCCTTCTTGCTTAAGTATTAAAAATAGTTTTCGCCATTATTGTGTACAAAATTTGTTAGCTTAACCAAAAACAAAAAAAAAGTGAGTATTGCCACGGTTGTTGAAATGATGACATGAAATTTTGCAAACAAAAATTCAAATAAAACCATTGCACATTCATTAAAGTAGCGTAAGTAATGTATGCGAATAGTTGGAAATTGTTTTATTTACATTTGCAAGTGTTGTGCAGAGTGCGCTCAGAAGTCAGCTTCTCAACGGACAGTTGGCTACTAAGAGATTTGTTGGAAATGTACTCACATTTGAACTGCTCAGAGAGAGAGAGAAAGAGCGAGCGAGAGTGGCGGCCATCTGTGGGCTGTGGGTTTTCCACTGAGGTGGGCGGGGGGCTTGCTCTGCTGCTAGTCTGGCTGATTGATTGGTTGGTTCGTTGGTTGATATAGAAACGGATACGGCTGCAAACGCACACGCATACGCACACACACACACACGCATTGACACACTGACAAAGGTAAATAAAACATTTAGATTTGTTTGCAAATATTCATCAGAAATTGTGTGCCACTGTGCACAGTGACACGCGCATTTATTTAAATGTACAGAAAATGTTTATCGAAAGAGTTTCGACATTCGCATTCATTTGCTTCAATCGAATTTAAGAAATGTTGCTGAAATTGTTTGTCATTCTGCGGGTAGTTGTTGCACAAGTTGTTTGTTTGTTGCTCCCTTAAGGGAGCCTCCTGCCTTGTTCTTCATGTTTCTCATTGCCGTGTATATATATTCATTATAATGCATCATAATTTTTAATCAAAAGCGCTGCGCTTCAATTTAAAAACATATTTGTAAGATAATTACTAATTGTCGCTGTGGTTTTTCTTTTCTTTAGTTTTTTGTTTTTGTTTTTTTTTTTGTTGCTGGTTTCGCTTTTTAGTATTCACTATAAGCTATGGGTGTTATTATAATATCTATCGTATATTTAGTACAACATATGATTGGTTTTTTCTTTTTATATTTGTTGGTTTTGTTTTTGTGTTTTTACAAGTTGTTTTGTTGTTTTGTAATAAATAATAATCATTAAATTATATAACAAAAAAGAAAGTGAAATGTTGACATATGCATACTTTAAAAATAATAATATGCATACATACAAATATAGCTATATAAAATTGATCACTGTTTGTATTTGCATTGTTCTAAATACATTTCACCGCCCATGCCATGGCGACAGGCGGGGTGGTGGCGGGGTGTTACCTCAAAAGATCTTGTTTTGTTTGTTTGTTTGTTGTTAAACACATAATAACAAATTCACTTAGATTGAAATAATAATGAATGCTTTCTATTTTGATTTGACAGCGAATTACGAAAATGCCGCTTTTAAGTTTTCTTTTTTGTTATATATATTATATAAGAGCAAAAATGTTTGACTACACACACAACTACATATTGGTTTTGTTTTTTGTTTTGTTTTTGTATTATTATTTTGTTAATTATTACTGTTATTGTTACGAATTCTTAGTTATAGGTTCTTCAATTCTGAGCGCGGCCAAAATGATTGATAAATTTGATGGTTTTTCTTTTGAACATTTAACTTATCGTTTAATAGTCTGTCTATATTTAATGATTTTTTGTACTTTTTTAGATTTTTTGTTGATTTTTTTGTTGGTTTTTTGTTTTTTTTGTTTTTCTGCTAATGCTTGTGGGTCCACCATATTTTAATTTATATAAAGTGTTTACAAAACAAACATGGAGAACAAAAAGTTATTTAAACTAATTTCAATTGTGGGGGATAGAGTTACTTGATTTTTTTATTTTTTTTTTTGCATTTTGATTTGTTTAAATTTTTTTTCCAGCGCTACCGACAAAAAATTGCTGTTCTATTCCGTGCGCCTATGTTGTGGTTGGGTCCTTTCTCAATTCTCAAATCGATTTCTCTCACCGATCTCTAAAAAATGGCCCGGAACGACATCAATCTTTTGTATGATGGTCCGCAGCATTCCTTTATATTTATATATAATTTTTTTATATTTTTTTTTTGTATATTTTTCTTGTTTGCATTTGTGTATTTTTTTTTAACGTTTCCTTTTTGTCTTCCCGCAAATAAATCGAAAAATGAACTCGCCTGCCGTCGAATCGCAACGAGAATCGTCGCCGCTGGCTGACTTCGCATTTCTCTCATAGTTTCTTAAATGGTAGAAAACCAGCGTAAATAATATATATATATATATGCATATGCTAAACGAATTATGATGCATTCTAGCAATATATACACACGCACACCCCCCATTCCACACACTCACAAATTGCAGACAATCATTTGTTATTGTTGATGTTGTTGTCTCCGCTGGTTTGTAGCCGCCACCAATCGTTGCTGGGATATGTCTCTGATGTTGTTTGTTGGTGTCCAATTTTACTTGCGACAGTTGGCCACAATTTGTGTCGCGGTGTGTGCGAATAGTTGGTTGATTCCTGCTTGCTGCTGCTTCATTCTTGCCCCACATTCATCGTTGTCCGTTCCGGGGGCTTTGCTGCTTTGCTTGGTTGTTGCTGCTTACTTTGCTGCTTGTTTGCTTGTTTTGCTGCTGGGTGCTGCTACTAACATTGTTCGAAAATTGGAATAATAGCTGAAGTTGGCCAGTCCTCTTCCTCCTCGGAGCTAATACTCTCGGTTCTACAAATAAAGCAAGAAAACAGACAACTCATTATTAGTTAGTGTTTTTTCTTCTTCTTCTTCTTCTCTTCTCTTTTCTATTTATATTTATTTTTCAAGCGCACTCTGTTTTTTACAACCACAATGTCAAGTTCATTTCACAAATACAAGTTGAAGGCTATCAGCTAAATAATATATATCAATTTGATCAGCTGATAATAACACACCTCTGCACAAATGCAATCTCTCTCAAAGTCATTGAACTTAAAATGTTTGTGATTCATTTGCTACATAAATATAAAAAACATCCAACAGATAACAAAAAACACATAAGGCAAGGCCATCATTAAATTAACAAAGCAGTCAAGAAGCAGACAAATTGTTGTTGAAATATCTTAATACTCTTGCCAAAAATCAACGGAAATAGATATATGTTTTTTTGTTGTTGAATTTTTGTTTTTTAATTTTTTGTGTCGCGAACTTTGCTTGCCAAGACAACAAGCTCAATGTCAAGTTCACATAATCGCAAGAAATGAAACTATAAACATTTGGCTATCTTCATAATAATTACGCTTCGTGTAAGGTGCTCAATATAGATCAGTCTTTTCTTAAAGTTAATAATTTCAAGGTCTTGCAAAGAGATCGAAACTATGTACAAAAAATGATGGAAAGCCGCCAACAAAACAAAAAGAGAACAACCCACACACTATACAGCTGGTTAACGTACTCAAAAAGAGACATCATTTCATAATTTCAGTAAATAAAACTCCAGCAGCGAACCTTGCACAGTTCGTGCTCGTGCCTGCCCCTGCCCCTCCCCCCCCTCGCTTTCTTCCTTGGCAGCTGGCGGGTGTTGCTCTCTCTCTCTCTGATAAGATTGTAGTCGACAAAATACACTTACAAAAAAACAGTAATATAAATATGTATTTGATAATATATAGACACACACACACACACACATACATATTTATTAGTACATATAAAATGGGCATTTGTCGACTGACTACCAAATGGTATGTGTGTGCGTTGTTGTTGTTGTTGCTGTCAGACCACTTTTGGCAAATGCTTCGAGTTAAAAACAAACAACAACAAAAACCAGCCACTAGGTCTCATGATTTTTATGCGAGTCGGGTTGTTGTTGTTATTGTTGTTGTTGCTGTTGTTGATCGCTAGCTGTTGTGATAATGAAATCGCATCAATTCTAGAAACTTGTTTACGCCAAACTCGACACACAAACTCGCCTACATACAAATTAGTCCAAAGAGTCGACATAATAGCGCTAAAAATAAATAACGGATACCGCCCCTCTTCTATATAAAATAAGACAAAGAGTAGAATAAAAAAAGAAAATGTTTCTGGGCATTTCCCCTCTACCTTCTAAGCTCGGTCAATATGGTACCAAATATAATAAGCATTAATCCCATTAGTATTAATGGGTTGACTTACCTGGAGCGCAGGCCATCGTCTAGGGCATTCGATATGCCCTCCTCGATGGTGGGCAGATCGGATGAGAAGCGATTGATCGGGCGCAGAACGCGCAGCGTGCGACTGGATAACTTCCAGACAAGCCGCTGCTTGTAGGGCGCCTTATTCTGGCCATTGTAATGGGACAGAATGCCCGACACAATGCTAAAACCGCAGGTGAAAACGCGATCGGGAATCTGCAGAAAATGTATAAAATGATGATTAAATAGAGAAACTCACACACAACTGCTAATGATGATTTACATTCTGATGATTTACACTTACCCTCATGTATTGCTGCAGGAAGAGTATGTACTCAAAGACGTGCTTAAGCTCGGGACTGCCGCGGGTGTACGACTCCTTGATGTGGAAATCGAGATGGAGACAGATGAGAACCAGGGCCAATGTCGCTGGGGTAATCACCGTTGTCTTCACATCGCACAACAGGATCTCCAAACGATTCTCCAGCTCCTCGAGCTTGATCAGGTGCTGAAAGAACTTGAAGAAATCGCCGCCAATCTCCTTCGCCAAGTTGCGGAAGAGAGCGTAATAGATGCGCAGGTAGCTCACTGATGTGATGGGTGCATGCCCCATCTGTACGCCCAGTTTGTTGGCAATAACGCCGGCCATGCGTTCCAAATCGCCAGCGGTACAACCACACTGCCAAAACGGATAATAATAATGAATAAATAACCTTTCCGTGAGGTATATGTGTATAATAAAACCTACCTGAGATATTGTAACCAGATCGTCGGCAGGAATGGGCTTCAGGTCGAGCTGCTTGATGGCCAAATGGAAGGAGGCAACGCTCATGCAGGCCATATGTTTCGGCTTGACGGCCATACGATCCAAAAAGCGATCCACCAGGCTCATGGCCGAGAAGAGCACATCGGATGGCAGCTCGTACCACATCTTCAGGCAGCGCAGCACATACGCTGAGCCATCACGTCCGCCAGCGGTCACCTCACGCTACAACGGAGAGAGAGAGAGAGAGAGGAGTCAATTATAGCAAATCATCTCGAGATGATGACGTTGTCGTCTACTACTTACCCTCGACTCCTTGGGTAGCAGCAGTACGGTATGATATTTATCCTGCAGTGCATCGTACTCCTTTAGGGTCTCGTACAATTCATCCGAGCTCATTGCATGCAATTGATCCTCCAGTTGCTTTAGTGCCGTTGTTGGCTCAGATGCTGTTGCTGCTCCAGCTGCTGCTCCAGCTTCAGTTTCCAGTGGTGTCTGTTGTTGTTGCTCTTGTTGTTGTTCGTACTTTTGATATTCCAAGCCAGCAGCACCCGGTGTGCCATACCGGCCCTCGTCCGCAATCCTCATCCAATCAGTTGCCATCTCTGCATTGTGATCGTCGTCGATGCCACCATTGCCATTGCCCAATTTGCCGCGCAACAAATTTGCAGCCGCCGCCGCAGCCTGTGCCGATGTTGATGGTTGCTCATCATCGACCAGGATAGCATTGATGCTAATTGCATCCATGTTGCTGTTGTTGTTGTTGGCGACGTTGTTGTTGTTGTTGCTGTTGTTGTTCTTCATGGGCAATTCAAATCCGGACATCACCGACGACGACGACATCGACATCGATGACCGCTGCTGCTGCATCAACTGCTGCTGCTGCCGCACCGCCTCCGCCTGCTGCTCCGCCTCTGCCTCGACCAGCTGCTGCTGCAATTGGCAATACAGTAGAGCCTCCTTCTCCTGCTCCTGCTGCGCGTAGTATTGCTGCTGCTGTTGCTGCTGCTGATATTGCTCAAATTGCTGCAGCTGCTGCTGTTCGAGTTCGAGTTGATGCTGCTGACGTTGCTGATGCTGCTGCTGATGTTGTTGCTGTTGTTGTTTGTGGTATTGCTCTTCTTGGGTTAGAGTATTATCCAAACCACTATCAACAACGACGGCGTATTCGGCGGCAGCAGAGTAGCATACAGGGACAGACATTGTGAGGGCTGGCCTAGTACCTGTATATTTAGCAAGGTTTTTGTTGTTGGTTTCTCTTATATGTGAATGTTATAAAACACGCAAAAAGGAAAATCTCGTTGCGTTTTTAGGCCAAACAAAAAATTAAATTTTTGTCCCTTATTCAAGTTGTTTGATATGTGATTTTATTTTCAGCAAAGCCCAAAACGAAATTTCAAGCCAACGTTTTTACTAGTATTTTGCAAAGATATCAGCGAGTGTGCTTTGTAAAAAGTACCCTCTCAATCTGTAGCTCGAAATTAAGACCGATAATGCTGCGCTTCAGGGATTATCACTATCAAATAGTATTTATATATATCTATATATATATATATATGTTTATAATCCACTGGTGGCGCGAATGCAACCGAAAATAAAATAAACTGTTTGCTACTTGTGCTGCACACACCGGTTCGAGGAGCCCAGAGCCGAAATGCAATTTGTTTAAATCAAATCGAAAAAAACAATATAATTGCTCTGTTAACTAGCCCCAAAAACCTTAATGCAATTCTTTCAACGATTTGCAAACAGTTAACAAACAAAACGCCCTCAACAATGAATATACACAATATATTATTTATATACGTGTGTATAACGACAATTATTCGCAGTGTACTAACGACAATAACGATGACAATTTTATATATATTTATATATATATTTCTTGCCTTATCAGTCAGTCAAAACGTACGCTGATCTTCAAATTGTCTTTTCTATTTTTTTTTCAAGTGGAAAAAACGCATAAACAATTCAATTTTTAACGTCAATGTGGTTTATTATGTGTTCGCTCAATGCTTGTTACGATAATAAACGCTAGACGCTGTAATTGTTTACAGTGTATTTGGTTGTATTGGTTTTCTTGTAGTTTGGATTTCCCCGCAATGAATGGAAAACCGTTCTTTGTGCTAAAAATTCATAAAAACTTACGCGCTGCAAAAATTGCGCAATTAAATTAAAATATTGTTAATAAAATAAAACATCAAATATGTACACAAAAAGAAAACAAACGATATTTTGTTAAAGTGTAAATTATATATGTATATAAGAAGGTGGTGTTATATGTCAAATGAAGTTCATTAATGCTGAAGTTGTATGTTAATTTCAATTATAATTCTGTTGTTATTTTTTTTCGATCGAGTGCGTTGATCTCATTGTAAGTGTAAAAAAAATATATATATATATTTGAACTGTATGCAATACGTTGAACGAACTTTAATTTGAGAATAATTGAGTGGTGTTTGTGTGTGTGTGTGCGCACAGTGTGACAAATGCGTTGACATTGGTTCACATTTTTATTTATTTCATGACCTCCTCAAAATCACACATACTTTGCTTACATCTTTATTCAAATCACAATCATGACATGAAGGCTGCCCGTGGGCAGCGCTTGGGAGGTGGGCTGGTTGTGGGGGGTGGGCAGGCGACCGCTGTCTCAAGGCAAACCGCTTAAATAGCCAGGCGATATGTGTGTGTTTATTTCTCAAGGCTTATAATACAAGCTGTCTGAGAGTTGCAGACAATATTGACTTCCCCAAGTTCCCAAATAATGATCCATCTTTGATCGAGACTAACCAGAATAACAGAACAAAGAAAAACAACCAAAAAGCTCACTATACGCGCACTTGACTAAACAAAGTGGCCGCCATCTTGTTCCAATTCAGCGTTCGCCTTACAAACACAAACAAAACACAGACAGAATCGGCTACGCTGGGATTGACAGATAACACAAGCAACAACCAGGGCTGGGCTAAGCCTCTCCAATGATGCTGGCTGGTTGTTGTCAGCGAGGAAGAGTAAAACAAAACAATACATTAAATAATGTAAACAGAAACTAGCCGATAAATGACATAAAACTAACATAACGGGAAGAGAGCCAAAAATACAGTTCAGTTGGGAAATCGGAAAGAGCAGCAGCTACTTGAAACGGGGGAAATTGACAGAAGATAATATATTGTTGTAAGTAGCAGCTGGGCGTGAGAAAAGTTTAATTGCTCGCTATTTATAGGCTACAATGTAAACAGCATGCAACCATGACGACGATGCAATTGGTAAACAAGTATTATTAAAAACACAGTAATCAGAGTAAGCAGTTCAAAAACCCAATTCACAAGGCTCAACACATTACGACGAGATCAAAATGAATACCTAGAGTTAATAATAATACCCATATGAACTATACATATATATATTCTTCAAGTTCGACCAGAGTTTAAACTTGTTTTGAATGTAAATCAAGAATTGTTGTGGTTGAGAAAGAACCGCACAACCCTTACTCATATTTTTTATCATAAATATGAATGTGAATTAGAATAAGAACCGATACCGATGCTAATGAATCCCCTACATACGATGATTACAAATACACATCTGACGCACAAATGCAAAATTGGAAAACATCAACTTTTTTTCTTGTTTAAACAGTCGAATCATGCTTTCGACTTCCGCCTGTGAAGCAACACAAAGAAATCACCATCAGAGGCTTGAACGATGATTGGAAGTGTTTCAATTCAAGGTCAACCATCCACCAAACTAGTTTTCGATATTTTTGAGCATGAGCAGCAAAAGCAACAGCAGCCCTGCGCTGCTAATTATCGTAGCTTACAAAAGCACAAAAACTAACGGCAGGTTAAAGTTCAATTCACCTTTACGCTGTTCCGCACACACGACACATAAAGCTTTACAGACCGTAACAACAAAACGACAAGTAAAGCTTATAAGCAGCTACAATTTGTTAGTTGGTCTTTTCTATCCTCTTTCCGTCATTACGACGTCTTTGTGCTGTAATTCCCAACAGATGTTGTGTGGCCTTCTGTCCGTCGTCTAGCAAACAAGGCAATCGTTCTGTTGATCTCATTCAAGGCTCACTCAATATATATAATATAGATATGTGCTTTTTGTAAAATGGAATGCAGACATATGAACGGACACACACATTCTACATTGGCGAGTATTTCAACTTGATTCGATAGTTTCAAAAACGAATTATGATTTTGCTTTTTGCCTTTTGGGTACTCAGATATATGTGTGTATATCGTATGTAGATTTTGTTATTGGCTTTTGGGCAACAAAAATATTGCGCGCACTGCTGACGCAAATCACGTACACACACATACGCACACGGACACACACAAACACACTTACACTTACACATAGTGATATGGAATGTACGAATGTTGTGTGTGTGTGTGTGTAGCTGTTTTTATTTATACACCAGACAGCTATAGCTAGGCTAGTTGTAGTTGTTGGTTGCTTTTAATATTGTTGTTGCCCCCCGTTTTCGCTGCTGCTCAAAAACAACATTTTGCGAGAGCTTGTAAAAAACAAAAGATAAAAAATTTCACTTTTTGCCTATTTTCGTAACTGGCGAACTGGGGAGGAGGCGTTGACGTTTGCTCAGGTGTGAAATATTTCAATATGCATTAAATACTTGGCAATGTATGCATTGCGTTTCCAGTATGAAAAAAAGCTTAGCATGTAATGCAACAACTGAAATAATAAAAGAGAAAATGAAACAAAACGCAATGAAACTGACACACCTGAATGAAATATGTGCACGTACATGTATGTAAGTGTACTTATACACACACACACACACACACACACAACCATACCAAATTTAGAAATCGAAAGTGAATTGCGTCTCTGTGTTTGTGTTTATTCTTGTTTGTTGCTTTGGCTAAGTGCACGGCATCAAAAAATCAAATTCAAAACAATGGCAAGCTTAAAAGCTTGCAAAATACTTTTTCATCATATTTATTTGTGTCACTATTTAATTAACAGACGCAAGAAGCAAAAAGACAAGCATGCGCGAATGAGATGGCCAGAGTATGAAAATTAAAAATTTCACCTGCATAAGAGCGGGATAGCGCTTGTTACTCAGCAGTTTTTTCTTCTGCTGTTTTTGTTGCTTTTTCGTTTTGTACCGTGTCCAACAACGGTTTATTCATTTATCAGCGCTTAATTGATGATGGGGCTGGCTGGCAGCGTATTTAAAGCTGAACACGCTGAAGGTCAACAAATGACAAGACACTTGTTGATGAAGCTACCGTTCAACAAGAGAGCTTTCGAGAGTGAAACGATCGCCTGCCAGTTTCAACAACTGGCTGGCTGCAAGTAAACGCACAATTGCATCAGCAACTGTGAAATTTCTGCTGCACGCAGAGAAGTGACGCATGAAGCAGCAGTAGACTTGTGATAAGTCCATGCCCAACCTTTGAGCTTAAAATAACATCAGCTTTCGCTTTGATAAAATTCAAACAAAACTGTGCAACGAGCCATTTTTAAGAGCGAACGCTTCAAGCAACCCCCGCTCACTGCTCAGGCGGCAGGAAGCCACACATTCGAGTCTATAAATTGCTTTCAACCCCACTTTCAGACAAACACACAAACACACACATACACACATAGACACACATACACACATAGACACACATACATGCACTCACATCACTATGGAAATAAAGTGTGAAACGCAGCAACAAAGGCGGAAATAGAATAAAACAGTTTTACCGACAGCGCAGGCGCAGCAGCTGCTCCTATCTTGTGGCTGTGGCATGCGCCTGATAATAATTTATTCGATTTCCAAAGAAACATTATTTTATTGTTGCATATTGCATTGCAAGGAGAGGTTTGAACATATTTTAAAACATCTAACACAACTAGAGTGTTTATTATGTAAACAAATACGTATATAGACATATACTCGTATGATCATATAAACAAAACGGAAAAAATTTTACTGTGTTATTATTCAATATATTCTATTATCTTGCTTTCCATCGCATTAGTCTAAATGCACTTGAAAAAATATTCGAACTTTGGATTTCATTAGTTCAGCAGCCAATTCCGTGACTAGTTCACTATCTGTTTATGTATGTGTGTCTGAATTTGTTCCCGTCTGGTGACTGTATCAACTATCTGTCAATGGAAGGAGAGTCCATTCAAATAGAACACAGACAGACGCATTGGAATTGGAATTGAAATAGATTTGCATTTCCATTATCGCTTGACTTACGCTGACAGACAGACAGAGTTAATTTTGTAGCACAAAGGCAAAAGACGACGACAAACTGCCTAAAATTAGTTTTCATTATCGAACTGTGCGATATTTAAAAAATGCATTGAGAATTTATCGGTGCTTTAAACTTTAAGGTAATTGCCTTAAATGGATTTTTGGTCAGCAGTACAAATAGGGTGTAGATAAACAAGTGGACAACACACTTTGTACCCAAGATTAAACGGAACAAAAGAACTGATAAGAAAACTAAAGAGAATTGCAAACACCCACCGGACACGACAAAGAGATAGCGCTGTATGTAATGCGGCATTTCATAGCTAGTTATCTAACAATGATAGTTATCATTTCAATTCTTTTATCGATTGATAGTGAGGCAAAAAGAGCCGTTTATGACGTAAGTTGAGTTAAACAAGTTCGATCTTGCCACTGGAACAAATTCTTATCTCTGCTGTTCTCACTCACTCTCTCTCTCTCTCTCTCTCTTCACCTTTTCACATTCCAACAACAATGGAATGGCAGCTGCGAGTGCAGAGCAAAGCAGAGCAGAGCAGCTGCTGCCGCTTGAAACCTGGCACTGGAATGTGTCAGCAGCAGCAACTCTCCTCCTAAATTCAATTACAAATGCACCTTCAATAGAACAAAATAAAACAAAGAGTATCTATGGAAAAGGGGTGAAGAAAAGTCGATTTAGCTTGGCACGAGCTATTGTTGCCATTGGCAACTTGAATTACCAGCGTAGTTCGTAGTGGGGTTGCAGCAAAGGCACCTTTTAATTTATTTTTTTAAGGGATCGGGCATTAGGCATTACAATAGATTAACTTTCGCTGTGCGCATTTGAAAAATGCTTTTTGGGTTAATTTACGCTGTGGATATGTAAATAAAAAAGCAACGCTTAGCGCTTTTAGGTTATGCGTCACATTTTGCGGTGCGCGGTGTTCCCAGCTCAACTGACAAACAGCTGTCCAGTTAGTTTTTTTTGGCGCCGAGTCAAATTTCACTTGAGACAGTTGTCGGAAATTTGCAAGACAGTAATGGGATATTTTTGTATACATATATTTTTCGGATAGTAGCCGAAGATATTATTAGCCCTGCCCTGCCGTGCATATAACTGTGTATCTCCACTACAAGTGAAATCTCAATTGGCGAGACGTCAAATGTGAAACGGATTGAGAGACAGACGGACAGGCAGACAGACTGATAATGACCAGACAGTCAAGATCAAAATGGCTGCTGTTTCTCTTCTCCCTATCTCTTTCTTTCTAACAACATACGCATGAGGAAGCTAAAAATCTTTGTGTGCAAAAGAAGCAACATAAAAAAATGTATACACAATAAAGAAGACGAAGTATGTAAAAGGGGCGTTGTAAATGAGATGGGTAAAATTCAAACGAAATAAAAACGGTAAGCAAAGCAATATCACTCACCCACACGCACACACACACACATAGAGAGAGAGACACATGCAAATGTGTATGTGTGGGAGCTCTTTAAATGGAGGTTATTGAAAAACAAATGAAACAAAACAAAACATAAAAATATAAGCAAATTTATGTGTATGTTGCTTGCGCTGCTGCTTTATATGCTGGACGAAACCAACAAATTGAAATCAACAAATATGACCCAGAAAGCAAACTGCGCCGAAGGTGAAATCAAATCAGAAAGAGAGAGAGAGAGGCTGAAATTAACCTGAGGCAATAAGCTGAGAGGCAAATTATTTGCACTACATTATCAAAATATTGTGAAACTAGTTAAAGACTGGCTAAAACTTTGTTCGTTAGTTGGTTTTAAAATAAATTTTTCAATTGGCTGACGCAATTTCAAGCTCGCACACTCACACACAAACACACTGTGAATATTTATGTTGGTATTGGTGCAAGAATACAAAGCGAAAATACAAATGGGAACATGAACATATAACGCACACATGCAAAAGTCTTTGTTTGCCCATTGCTTGTGTGTGTCTGTGTATGTGTGTGTACGAGGTGGAGAGCGAAACGCTTTGGAATCGAAACACTGCTATAATTGTTGGAGCTCTCGCTCAGTGCGTATATAACTACAAAAGGTGATGAAAAAACAATTGAAGGCAAACTCGAAAAAGAAACAATAGTAGGTTAAATAAATAAGCAAAAGTTGGGTTCACATGTAGCACAGTCAAATTGACAAATTGGCTAGCCCAACAAGTGATGTGCGTAATTGTTTGGGTAACTGTACTCATAAGATACCAGCAGCTTAAATAGTTTCTCTCCCCATCAGCCTATGAATAGCAGCTCCACATACACACACTCATATAGTTAGACGCTCTTATGCGCGCACGCACACATATACAAACACTTATGCCCGAACAGCTGGGAAACGAACTGGGACGTGAAACGAACCAACACGTAAATTGTTACTTGCTGCTATTGCTGCATTCAAACAACTGCATATACAATATACACACAAATGCACATACACGAAGGCATGTGTCAGTGTGTACACACACAATTAGGTGAGAAACAAACAACTGAATAGTGGACAAAATTTGTAGGCCTTTTTAACGCAATAAAATTTGTTGATTAAATCGATAAGCTTACATTTTTACAGCCATTTTGTTGTTTTTATGTTGCGCAGGAATGTTGAGATGATGTTTTTTTTTAGTTACTTGAGAATCTTGACGAAAATCTTAATATTTCACTTAAAAATAAGTGAAACAATTGTTGTTGTTGATTGGCTATACTAAGTTTTTAACTAATTTGTACTGCAAATTGTATCACAGTTAACTTTTGTTGTTGTTGTCAAAGTCTCCTTTTTAAGCCAACATTTTCGTATTCTTTGCAAAAACAGTTTGTGGATCGATTTTTCCCACGCACCAGTTTAAAAGTGGTAGGTTTTTTCCATCAGCTGCACATTTTAGATGTTATTGTTGACTTTGATATTCCACTTGTTTATTATGTACACATTTGTTCTGGCATGTAGGGTGCTATTTAATTAATTTACACCCAAATTATAAAAAAATTTATGCAAAACACACACACACATACAAACACACGCGCACACTCTCTCAACACAGTCCAAACGGTACTTTGCTTTGTTGGATCCAAATGTAAACTAGCATTGAAAAGAGCAGAAAAACAGTCTTTGAAACAAAATGGGAATGTTGACTCACTCGTTCGAATGTTGACTCACGAAGCGAATTGTGCATGTTGCTAAAGAAAATGTTGCAGCCCGAATGTGTAGACACATTGTCGCATTATACCTTGCGGTATTAAAAATACTGCAAATATGCTAAAACGCGTATACCGCACTTTTTCCATATTGCCACTTGTTAAAAATGCAATTAGGTGGCAGCGATATGAGCGGATCTTTTGAAATGTATTGCAAATGGGGATATTTCAAATATCAGATAATATTTAATCTTTCAATTTGCAACATTCTCTTTGACACTTGTACATTCATTTTGTAAGTTTTTTATCAAACATACAAAGTTATTGTTTATATTTATTTTCAGACTAGCTGTTGCCAAGGGACTTAGTGAATGAACTTGCGGGGGCGGTGTGAATGGAAAGTGGAATTTCACGCACACACACAGCTGAAATATAAATATAGGCTTGTGTGTGTGCTTCCAGAAACTTTCAGCAACAAGCTGCATTTGAACATACTCAATATTATACATTAAAATGATATATAAATAAATACACTACACACTTAATGCAAATCTTAATCAAATTCAAATAAGTTAACATATGTACGCAAAGTAATCTAAGCAATAACCCTCATTTTAGTATTTCATCACACTCGCACTCACACACACGCACACACATTCACATATATACTCATTGGAAGAAACGCGTGGCGCAGTTCAAAGTTTCGCAGTTAATTTAATGTGAACAAAGTCGTTTTTCGTATTGAATAACAGTTCGTATTTAAAGTAGTGGGTTAATTTAACTCTTTTTAAATACACTTACCCGGATGCCTCTGCGTTTTTATCAGTATTTGGCTTCTTTTTTCTGAACTGCGACACGACCAAATATATGTAAATACCAAAATGAAATGAGCCGAAGCAGGGCTACCAGGCCGGCTGGCAACTCGATGATTCAGTTCAATTGAACTATTGCGTGATCTGTAAAGTGCTGCTCATAGAAAGTTCATTTCAATTTTAAAATCCTGTTCGCTAGTGCCAATTTCATTTATAAAAATATATTAATTAAATATATAAATTAAAATAGCGGTAACTGCAGATAATCAGTATTCAATATTATGCGCTTGAAATTTAACAGGCACTTAAGTTAATTAAGATCGGATTCTTTTTCATTTGCAAATTGATGTCACAAAATTCTGTTAAATATTCAATTTTCTGCTAAATATTCAATTTTCTGCTAAATATTCAAAATTCTGTTAAAATTATGAGGCGTTAAATAAATAAAATGAAATAATTATTAGATATAGTGTTTTGATTCTGTTTTTGATTAGAACTTGACTCAATATGTCTTAAAATATGTTAAATAACTACAGAATATAGTTTTCTCACAAACTTAATCGATTGTTGCTGTGGGAGATGGAACATTATATCATATATGTACATCATATACATATTCTATACATTACTGATCTGAAATATATATCTTTTGGGATCGAAAACTTTCTTAAGCTAAATAAATTGTGAAGTTTCTTAAAAAAAAACAAGTTTCTCATACAAAAACTTAATCGATATATTCTTAATAATATTGATCAGCTATATATATATATATATATACCCTATTGGCTGGGAAGTGTATTCCGTAAATCCAGTAAATCCTAAATTCGCGTAAATTCTAAAGGTTTCTGTTTTTACATTCATTGAATATAATTTTTTGTGTATATTTTGTAAATATAATTATTTTTGAGAGAATCTATAAACTATTCTCGAGACGACTAGGTTTTCTTAAATTACGCATATATGTCTATACATGGGATTATTGGGAGCTGTAATGGGGTCCCGGAGTGGGCACACTTTTCAGTGGCGAATCAAAGTCCACCGGCGGCAGATCAACGGTGGGCGTCTCCGGCGCCGCAACGGATCCGATGCGCTCCTGGAGCGTCTCGTACAGCTTGTGGATGTGTTCGTTGTGCGCCGTCGTCGGCTGCATGGCCTTCATCAGGGCCGCCAGGCGACCGGCGGGCAGCTTATTGTAGACATACCACAACAGCTTGAGCATGTGCCGCGAGGTGACATTCTCCCGGGTCAGACCCGCGAAGATGAACTCATCGAAGAGTGTGGTGCAAAAGTCCTCTGTGGCGAACTCCTCGCTCATCGGTATGAGCAGCGCAATCAGCGAGTGCAGGAAGGGATCCTCGTAGGCACGATCATCCTTGCAGCCGGACAAAATGGCCAGGACCCGCAGTACACCCACACGATCCCGACTGCGGGCCGTGTGTAGTGTGTAGTACATGGAGAGGATGCTGGCAACGGAGCTCTCTTGGATGTAGGCCTCGACAGCATTGGGTGCCGGACCCGAGTGCTCGATGATTGTCAGAGCGGATTCCCGCTCGTCGGGCGGCAGTTTGGCGTGCAGACTGCGACACTGATCGTCCACCATTAGGGACATGAGGGCGGGCAGAAACTTGGTCACCACCTGGCCGTCCAGTTTGGGCTCCTTGAAGTCCTGCGAGTCGATCATCACCCAGGCGCTCAGACCCAGCGCCAGCATGCGAAGCAGCAGGATCAGGATCTGATTGTCCCGCGGTATGCCATCATTGTTGATCAGATGCTGGAGTATTTTGATGGCCGATGTGGCCAGAAAATTGATAGCATACGGATCGCAGAGGGTCATCGAGAGATCGCCCAGCACCTGCTCCTGGCCCCGCTTGATGTTGTCGAGGAATCCCTGCAGCTCCCGCGAACGCTTAATGTCCACATTCTTCTCACGGATGCAGGCGTCCAGGCACCAGGTGAACTTGTGGCACGGATCAATCGAGATGATCTCCTGCACCTCAAGATCGTGCAGCGCCATCAACAGCTCTGCCCGCAGCGTGCAATAGTGGACGTTGCGTGTGCGCAGGAACAGCGTGCGGAGGAACTGCAGCACCATGTCATACAGCTTGACGCTGTTCCCGATCATTTTGGCCAGCTTCTGGACAACCTCGCCCTGTCTGCGCACCTTCGGCGTCGGCTGAAAGAACAGATTACTCAGATTGCTGTGATCGAACAGAATGTGCTCCTTCTCCCGGATATACTGCGACAGCAGCGGCGACACCTCGTCCCCAAACAGTGATTGATTGTCGCGCCAAATCTGACGCTTCACCTCGGTATCGGTGTCCGCGTACAGTTCGCGATCGCGGACCAGCACCCGCAGATACTTATCATCGATGTGCTGGGTGTTCCGGAGGATGGCCATCACAACGGGACGCAAGTATTTGACACGCACCACGGGAAAACTCTTGACGAGCAGCTCCTTCAGTTTCTTTTCGCGCTCCCGTACATCCTTCTGGCCCAGCTCGTTGATGTGGGCGATCAGCTTGTCGCGCAGCTCCTCCATCAGCGACGTATGAAAGTCCAAGCGGCGCACACCGTGCAAATCGAGCAGGGGCAACATTGGACGCAGCGATGGCAGCAGCACTCCATTCTCCAGCTGGAAACTCTCGATGGCCTTCAGTGGATCTGTGCAGGAGGTGAGTGCCTCGCGTAGAAATGCCTGACCCGGTATATTGACGTCCTCCAGGCCAGTGCCATTGTTTTTAGCCGGCGTGCTCATCTTGTTTTGGCCAATCGCAATGAATGATGTGCCAGGGCTGCACTAAATACCAATTAGATATGAGCGTCTGCTACAAGTTCACACGAAGTGTGATTTAATATTTGTATTATTTAATAAAAATTCAATACTTATAGAGACCTAATAAATATACAATTTGATTATTGATCTTGAAGTAAAACATAAATTCAAATTTCACAAATTTATGCACCAATAAAACTGTTATGCGCCACTTGTGACAAGTAGCAGTTACGATTGCAAATAACTCACATCTCTAGAAAGAGCACAAGCACAGAAAAGCAAATTGGGTGGAAAACTGGCTATGGATGTGCGGAAAATTATTTAGTGCATTTTTGGTGCCGAAAATTAAGTCGCTGCAATTGATATAAAAAAAAGTACAAAAGTGCCAACACAAAGAAACAAACTTGTAGTCAATCATCAACAGCTTAACTCTATATATGTGTGTGTGTGTGTTAAAGAGTTTCTGTTGCTGCTGCTGCTGCAGCCGGACGTATTGAGTGAAGAAGCAGAAAGAAGAGGAGAAGCAAAGGAGGAGCAGGTGGAGGAAGAGGAGGAGAAGTAAGAGCAGAAAGAGCACTCGTACTCCTAGCTGCATCGAAAAGCCTCACTGTAATTACAGCCAGCTTTGTGGGAGTTCAAGTTTAACAGCGCGCGCGTCTGTGTGCGTGTGTGCATGTGTGTGTATGTTCACAAAACAACTTCGATGTGTGTGTGTGTGGCACCCCCAAAGGCGCTCTGCAAGAACGCACTGATGTAAAGTTAAAGCAACAACAACAACAACAATAACAGCAACAACAACATCACTGTAAAGTTGTCAGTGGATAGAGGGAGAGCGGGAGAGTGGGACAACAACGGTCGCTGACTTGCCGTTTGTTTTGTGCGCACATTCGCGTGCTTGTTGTCTTTGTTTGCTGCACTTTCGGTTGGCGCTGCTCGTTTGCAACGCTTTCCAGCCAGCCAGCTTCGCCTTGTGGCCATCAGCTGGATACGGATTTTGTGACGGCGGCGACACCAACAACGCCGAAGTGGATGCCCATGCACGCGGTGGCCTGGGCATTGCCCAGGACTTTGGCATGGCCGGACCGGCCACTGGTCCCCCAGCCCATATGTACGGCGCCATAGCGCAGCAGGACAGTAAGTTGATCAGTTAATCAAATGGTTGCCACATTGCTTAAAAGTACCGAAAGATCGGGACCCCCCCTCGAAATGGTAATTTTGTTTTTTCTCTTGCACGTCTTTAATTAAATTATGTGCAAAACGCTAAAATTGAACTTTTACTGTAACTAGAGATTAATTAAATTATAATATTAAAAGCAAATTTGATGTTTAATTTGCATTTCTTTGTTTTTGCTGTGAATGATTTCAGGCAAGGTGGCAACCGCTAGCAATAATTTCCCTTTATTCTATTCTTCCTTTTGTACTAATCGTCTATTTCTCTCTCTCTCTCTCTCTCTCTTTCTCTGCCTCTGCCTCAGTTATTGTGCGGGACATGGTGCAAATGCCGCCGCCGCCGCCGTCGAATGCGCCAACGTCAGCGGATGCATGTTTGAGCATTGTGCACTCGCTGATGTGTCATCGGCAGGGCGGGGAGAGCGAGGGATTCGCGAAGCGGGCGATCGAATCGCTCGTGAAGAAGCTGAAGGAGAAACGCGACGAATTGGACTCTCTGATAACGGCAATAACAACGAATGGAGCCCATCCCAGCAAATGCGTCACCATTCAGCGCACGCTCGACGGCCGCCTGCAGGTGAGGCGCCATCTTGACCCGGCCCTGCCCCTTATCGCTTAGCGAGTAGTGTCTAAATTCAATGTTTGTTTCTGCGTTTCTCATTCTCTCTGTTTCTCTGTTTGTTTTGCGTATTTATTTTGTGGCATTTCCGGTTGCGATAGGCCGATCATTCGTCATTCATTGTTGACTATTGTCGATTAAAAAGAAATTGATAATTTCGTTTTTGACTGCAGGTCGCCGGTCGCAAGGGCTTTCCGCATGTGATCTATGCTCGGATCTGGCGCTGGCCCGATCTGCACAAGAACGAGCTGAAGCATGTGAAGTACTGCGCCTTTGCGTTCGATCTCAAGTGCGACTCGGTGTGCGTGAATCCCTACCACTATGAGCGGGTCGTCTCGCCGGGCATCGATCTGTCGGGGCTCAGTCTGCAGTCGGGGCCCAGTCGCCTGGTCAAGGATGAATACTCAGCCGGCTCACTCGTCGGCAGCATGGACATCGATGGCAACGACATCGGCACCATACAGCATCATCCCACGCAGATGGTCGGCCCGGGTGGCTATGGCTATCCGCCCCAGGGGCCCGGACCAGGTGAATACGGTATGTCCAACCATTTGCTACTCTTCATTATTCCTCATCGCTTCAGAGTATAATTTATAATTCATTTTTGTAATGAAATGTTTTCAAAAATGGTTTAGTAATTTTGATCGAATATCCATTTGAGTCTCATTGTTTGGCTAAGATCAGTTGTTTAGATGCAAATATAGTTTTTTTATTAGCTTTAAAATCAAATTAAATATTTATTATTTATTTATTTTATTACATATTTATTATACACATTTATTGTGTCTCGAAAGACGAAACTGTTTTCCAAGTAATTCTTAGTTTTTAAATTAAAATACACAATTATAATTAAGACGGACTTTGACAATTGAAAATCCAGTTAATTAGAAATAACATATTTTAAAAATTCAGATTGCTAAGCATTTGCTCTATATCTGTAAGTGTATTGATATTCATTAATTTGCCTAAGTTACACTATGTATCTAAGTTGCCATCATTTTGTGTTGCTTGGATTTTTGTTTACCTTTTTTGTTGGCTTTGTTTCTTTTATTTTGGCTTCTTAGTCACCGATGCTAATCAAATGAGTGCAATGTTTGCTGCCGGGCGCGCAATACCAAAAATTGAGCCAACGGACGGTGCCGGGCCGCGCAGTTCGTGGATGGTGCAGCAGCAGCAACAGCAGCAGCAGCCACCGCCGCGACTCAGCCAGGCTCAGGCCCAGCAGCAGCAGCAGGCAGCGCCGCAACAGCAGCAGCCACAATCCCAATCCCAGCCAGCGCCGCACACTCTTTGTAAGCCTTCTTTTTGTTGATTTCATTTTGTTTGGATGCACGCAATTAATTTGTAGTAGCATTTGCAATTGATTCTATTTAAATGCGGTCTTTGTTGTTGTTCTTCTTCTTTAATTGCAGCCGTACCTCATGGCATGCCGGGTATGGGTGCCATGAATCCTGGCCCCGGTGCAGTTATGGCGCCGCCACCCCCGCCCACACAAGCACAGAACGCCCAAGGCAATGGCGTGCATCATGCCCAGACCAGCTCACCCACAGACGCCGCCACGCTGGCAGCCATGCAACAGCAGCAGCAGCAACAGCAGCCACCGCCAGGTGGTGGTGGAGTCGGCGGCGGCGGCGGAGCCAATGGACCCAATACCGTTCCCAGCAATTCCACTGGATCCGCTGGCAGCGCTGCCCAATACTATGGAGCCCCGCCCACCGGCACACAAATGCAAAATGTCGGCAACGATGTCAGCAAGTTTGGCAACAATGCCGGTGGCAGCAACGCGGGTCCGTCTACAGTGCACGCCCAACAGCAACAGAATGGCTACGTGCCCCAGTCGAATGCCCAAGGCACGGGCGCCGGTAGCTATGGTTCGACGCAGGCGACATCTGGACAGCAGCAGCAGCAGCAACAACAGCAGGCAACCGCTGGCAATCAGGCGAATGCGGGTGGAGCTGTGGGGCAGACCAGTGGCGGGGGCGGTGGCGCTGGCGGTGGCACAGGCGGCACCTGGACCGGACCCAATACACTCACCTACACACAGTCCATGCAACCGCCCGATCCGCGCTCCATGCCGGGCAGCTACTGTAAGTGGAAGGAAATTCACTTAAAAGCCAATTATTCATGTTAATTTGTAGGGAACTCAACGCTGGGAGGGGATCTGGGTTCGCCGCAGCAGGCGCCGCAACAGCAGCAACAGCAGCAGCAGCAACAACAACAGCAGCAGCAGCCGCGTCTGCTGTCGCGTCAACCGGCACCGGAATACTGGTGCTCCATTGCGTACTTTGAGCTGGACACACAGGTGGGCGAAACGTTCAAAGTGCCGTCAGCCAAGCCAAATGTCATCATCGATGGCTACGTGGATCCGTCGGGCGGCAATCGTTTCTGTCTGGGCGCCCTCAGCAATGTGCATCGCACCGAGCAGTCCGAGCGTGCCAGGTGAGCCACCAGCCATCAGTTATCTCCATACGGAGACCATGATTTTAATCTGTGATCATTTACCACACAGGCTGCATATTGGCAAGGGTGTTCAGCTGGATTTGCGGGGCGAGGGCGATGTCTGGCTGCGCTGCCTCAGCGATAACTCTGTGTTCGTACAAAGCTACTATCTGGATCGCGAGGCGGGTCGAACGCCGGGCGATGCAGTGCACAAAATCTATCCAGCAGCATGCATAAAAGTAAGATCAATTGAATATTCTTATCCTTATCACACTTTATAGCTGATCATTTCACTTGAACCTGAACAGGTGTTTGACTTGCGACAATGCCATCAGCAGATGCACTCGCTGGCCACCAACGCACAAGCCGCTGCTGCAGCGCAAGCAGCTGCCGTCGCTGGTGTCTCCAATCAACAAATGGGCGGCGGTGGCAGAAGTAAGTGCATTGCAATTATTACAGAATGTCAGCTGGGAAATTATTATTATTAATTATCAAATTTGGTTTTGATTTTCTCTCTACATAACCAACTCTGAAATAATTTTAATTTACTAACTAACTGTTAACTAAAAACTAATGTAACTAAATTTGTTAAACAATTTTAAGGCATGACGGCTGCCGCTGGCATTGGTGTGGATGATCTGCGTCGATTGTGCATACTGCGACTGAGCTTTGTGAAGGGCTGGGGACCTGATTATCCACGTCAATCGATTAAGGAGACGCCCTGCTGGATTGAGGTGCATCTGCATCGGGCGCTCCAGCTGCTCGACGAGGTGCTGCATGCCATGCCCATCGATGGAGCCGCTGCCTGAGTGGCGAGTGGAGTAGAGTGGAGCTGTCCAACTCACCGAACACATACACATATACACAAAGCATATTTATTATTCATAGCAGCGCAACAAGCAAAGAAGATATGGGATAGAAGCGGACAGAGGAGGAAGAGGATAGATGGAAGGAGCACAGCACGTCTAAATGTTAGTTTAAGATTTAAAGTTTTTGAGCAGCGTTCGTTAAGTTAAGAGCCGAGTGCAAACAGAAGAGAGTATGAAATATTTAGCTTTGATTTGCAATTACAATTATGATTATGTTTGCCTTTAATTATTTAATAATAATTTTTATAAAAAATTTAAACATCAGCTATAAAACGTTAAGCGACTAGTTTTATGTACCATATTCAGACAGATCCATATAAACCACACACAAACACATCTATATATACACATGCATAATATATATATATTTGATAACTGACTTGCGGCACACCATTTGATGTCACTCCTCCTGCCACACACCACAATCCACACCCCAAAAAACACACACAGCATTAGACAACAACTACAGCCGCATCAGAACATAGAAAGAGAAATATCGAAGGCAAGTAAAGAAAGTAGTTGTAATATAAATGTAATAAACAGAGCATAAATTAAATACAGAATGGTAATTTTTTATGCATGCTCATAGATCTTAGCTGTGAGCTGCACCTGGTCACTTAGCCAGGCCAGCCACTCTGCTGTTATGATCCTTTCCAGGGTCACCTCGTGAAAAATCTCTACGCGACGAGTCTCAACAAACTGAAAACTTTTAAACAGACGCAGCGATGCGACATTGTCCATGTCGATTTTAGCCTCGAATTTGGTCAGAGGCAGATGCTGATGAGCGTATTTGAACATGAGAAGCATTGCCTCGCGGCCAAATCCTTTGCCACGTGCCTCGGACGTTGCTATCATGATCTCCGCCTCGGCTACATAGTGTGTTGGCGTCTCCTCATCGGGGCGCAGGAAGAGATTTGTGTCGCCCACCATGGCAGCAATCTCGTCATTGGTCTGCGCATATGTCTCAGCGCAAAGGACAATAAAAGTGAGCTTATCATTGTCCTGTCGCCAACTCTGTTGCATTGCGTACTCCTCGCTGAGGGTCAGTTCATCTGATGCGGTCTGGCTGCGCAGCGTGGCGCTGCTCATCCATTCGTGATACTTGGGCACATGGCGTGCCTCGTAGGGCACCAGCACAACGCGTTGCCCAAGCAGTTTTGTTTGCTCATTAAGTCGCATGGGCACTGAAATTAGTTTAAATGCGAAAAGGTTCCCACTTTAGAGATGCACATTTAGAGATGAGCAACAGTTAAATATCGATATATTGCTACAGATTTTCAGAGGGAAGTTTTATTACGTTTTCCCATTTAATTTTGAATAATTAAATACATAAATATAATGTATATTTTCCAGATATATATAAATATTTAACAAAAGCTCAGCTAAAAAGTTAACAATGCATATTTCCTACTGACCGATTAGTGAATATATCGAAAGCCACCGATATTTGTAATTCACAATAGTGGCTACTGGCTTTTTCAATAAACAGCTGATTGCCGCGAACGATGCGAGTTGTTAATGAAATTTTGTAAATAGCTCGTTGAATTTGTAATATGAATTAAACGAAAATGTCGGAACGCTGTCGTACCTGTGGCAAGATTATTTTTTGTCTGAATCTCAACAATCTATTTCGACAAACTGAAAGCATTATGCTCCATCAAATTGAGGCTTTAACGGGTATTTTTGTAAGCATGGATTTCGAATAAATCATCTCTGATCGAATTTATAAAGAATTTGTTTACAGTTGCTCGAGCAGATGGAATTTCCTGTGCATATTTGTGCACCTTGCGAAGTGGCGTTGCGAAATGCAATCGTGTTCCGTGAGCGCGTAATAAGGACTCAAAAGCTGCTCTTGAACAGCCAAAGCGTCGAGGATGCCCTGCAAAAAATTGACTTGGATGAATTGGAGAATCTAAACCTGAATGTGTGTGACGAGGATGATGATGCTGATCCATCCAACAGGTATGAGGAAAGCCCCGACTATGATTATGGAGCGGATGAAAACGAAACTGATACATTAGAGCAGCAGCAGCAGGAAGCGAATGATGAATTGTCATTGAATGAGGGTCAATCAGATTCAGAGTCTGTTCCGCATATAGAGACTGATGAGCCAATTGCAGAATCTGCTGCGACTGCAGCTGCTAGTGCTCCAGTGCAATCTGTGGAACGCAAACGGAAACTGTATGCAGCTCTGAATTTTGCAATCGATACGAGGAACACTCCCCGCATCAACTGGAGCAAGTTGACGGAGGATGAGATAGTGACGCTTAAACGTGAGCGACGCCGGCGTGACTGCATCTGTGAGCTGTGTGGCAGGCACTTCACGTGCCCCAGCAACTTTAAAGTGCATCTGCTACGACACAGCGGCGTGAAAAGCTTCTCCTGTAAGCAATGTCCCCTAAAGTTCTACACGCCACACCTGTTGCGGCGCCACGAATTGGCGCATCTATGCGAGAAACCCTATCCCTGTCACTATTGCGAACAAACATTTGCCGATCACAGCGGACGCATTCAGCACGAGCGCAAGTAAGTCACACTTACTTTAAGCTGTGTTTGTCTCTTTCTAAGCAAGTTTATACTTTGCAGTCGCCACACAAATTATCGGCCATACAAGTGCAGCAAGTGCGACAAGTCCTTTGCGGTGAGCAATAAGCTGAAGCGGCACATGTTCAGCCATTCCGGAGTGCGTAGTTTCCAGTGAGTATATAGATGTCCTTATATATGTTACAACTACAATTGTTTTAATTCCTTACAGCTGTGAAATATGCAAGGTGTCCTTTATGCGACGCCCCCATTTGGCTGCCCATATTCGATCCAAGGGACACGAGCAGAATGCACAAAACTACGCTGATATGTCTAATAATGTGGAAATCGATATAGAAAAAGTACTGTCATAAAATCACTTCCTATGCGTACATAATAGTTTGTAAGCTGATTTAAATGTAAGTTTTTAGAGAAAATAAAATATTTGTTTTAAATGAGCATCATGATTAACTGTTTTACATTATTAATTAATTAAAGCAGCTGAATAATAAATAAGAATTTCGCAGCGCTGTTTAAAGGCGGGAAAATTTAAATGTGCTTGGAGGCAATATCGGAAATTGTGCACAGATTGTGCGACGCCATTCCTTATAGGCCTCTTAACAATTTTTTTGAAATTTCCTCAACATAATTGCATTCTTTGAGATCCTGCTTGATTTAAAACTTCTGAGCTGGAATAGTTTCGGATTCCGCAAAATTAAACAACATTTGCAAGTTAGTTTTAAAAATGTGTATTTTGAATAGGAAAATCAAGTAATCATGAAAAAGAGGCTACGTCGTTTATATATTTAGTAACTAAAATAAATCTTTAAAATTTGAATTTAAAAATGTCTTCCTGCAACATTTTGGATCTGCCCGATGAGTGCTTGTTGATAATACTTCAGCACTTAGATGCAATGAGCCAGTGTCAATTTGGTGTTGCCTGTGGACGCTTTGAAGATATTTACGAAATGGAACATAAGAATGATTTTAGATTTTTCACTTGGTGCAACACCAGCAACAAGTGGACGGATCTTCAGATTAAAGCGTTCTTCGAGCTAAACGGACACAAAATGCAATCATTAATAGTTTCTGTAACCGAATTCAGTACGCAGCTAAGTCACACTAATAATTTGATAGGCGTATGCTTATATCTTAAGAATCTGCGCTTATTGATCTTGAGTGCAAACAGACAGATAAATGATATGATTATTGCAATTTGCACACATTGCAAGGAATTGAAATATTTAACGATTGATCACAGTGATCTTCGCAGTTGTCCGAATTACGAATGTTTGGTTGAGCTGCCGAAACTATCAAGCTTGGATATTCCATATTTTAATAAAAACTCCAGTGATAAAGTATTCCAAAGGTTTGCTGAGCTGTGTCCCGATGGTTTAGAGTATCTACATATTGGATCGACACTGAAAAGAGAGCAAATCAAATACATTGCCTACTTTCGTTGCCTCAAAATGTTGAATATCTACAAGCCGGACTCTTATTTTATCGACCATTGCATTGTTAAATTATCAAATCTGACAGTTCTTTGCTTAACAAATGCCAAGCGCTTACAAAGCTATAATTTCAGGGATATTATTTTTAAACTCAAGTTTCTAAGCAAGCTGTATATAAGAGAATGTCCGAATTTCAATTACTGCTCATTATTATGCATATCTCGTTGTTTGGATGATGAAGTGATGAATGATGTTAAAGTTCGTCATTTACCTTTTTATTTGGATCTAACTCGAACGGCAGTTTCAAAAAAATTAGATGGCTTGATAAGAAAGTATGAAATTGACGTACTCCTCATACGAGTGGTAAGCTGCGATTCGGCTGTATAATTTACTTATCGATAGTCGATAAGCCTACAGCAAGACGATATATAATCGATGTGGCAGTACTGGCATTCGCTGAAAACAGCTGTTTATTGACTAAATATCTCAGCGTGTCCTCCGCTGTGGCATTATATTTTGTTATTGTTATTTAAATATACATATAGTTATATATATTTTTTAAAATCTGCAAATAAACATTAACAATTGATAACGGCGTATAGTGAAACAGGTGCAGCAACTTTTGCTTTGGTATTTTGATTGAAATAGTATCTATTGCGAAAGCAGCTACCCAAGCACAGCCGGCTTCACAATTGCAACATCAATAATCAACGACAACAACAACTACAACATGATGCAAACGTGTTTATGCTGATGCATGCTCTAATAAATGTGTAAAGTGCGAGTAGTAGTAGAATCTTCACAAAAGAGAGATTAAGCAAAGCAAAAAAGGGCGTTCAGTTCGTAAATAGATTGGGTTTTCTAGCTTAACCAATGTGGCACTTCCAATGAAAAATCAATTTGCAATCGTTGGATGTTCTCAGTATTGGTTATTGGCCAGATGAATCCAAACACAGCAATAATTAAAACCAAATACAACAACAAAAAACTGTAAAATATAGTATAAGTTTTTAAGTACATACAGAAAATGGCAGATAATAATCTGCTAGCTGCTGCAGCGCCATCTGTCGAGAATGCAGAGACTGCTATGTCGGGATTTGTCCGGGATTTGAAGCGTCCGCATCTGGACATCGAGGAGCAGGAGTTGAAAGTGGCCGGCTTCTCCCTCAGCGCCATCAAGGAAATGCGCCAAACACGCGACGCCGAACTCATGTCGGAACCCATCAACCAGCAGTTGCGCCAGTTCCAGGTGCTCGACGAGGTAGCCACTGCCAGTGAAGACGATGACTCAAGTAAGCGATGACTAACACACACGCACACATACACAATAAACAAATTCATTATTCTCGGTTTATGGCGCACAACAGCTTCTATATCAGAGTCTTATCTAAAGATCTCGCCATAGCTTATCATTATCCAAATAAAACCTGATAAGCATTAACTTGACAGGTTGTGCGTGTGTGTGTTGGGGTGTAGATCAGCCAAGCGCACTTGCCAGAATAATTTCAAGCTGTTCGCTTGCGCTGCAATTGAATGACAAAACTTCTGTGATACTTGATTCCTGATCCCTGATCCTCGTCTGTGGAGCTGCTCGAAAGAATCATGCGCATGCTACCGATTGTTCGCCTGGAATTGAAGCGCAAATCGCTCAAGCCAGGTACAGTGATCACTCGAGCAGTGGCAGCTGTCTAAAAATATTATCATTTTGATAATAATTTAAAAAGTTGCCATCTTCGAGCGATCACTGTGTAAACCTATTGATTTTATTTATATATATTTATTTAGAACATGGCTTACTTACCCTACTAATCGTGTGCATTGTTTTGCAGATGACAACAGCGACAAGCTGAATGGCGATAATTATGCTGACGATGACGATGGTGATGGCGATGGCGATGCTGGTGACTATGATTCATCCGATTTCGATGACGAGGAAATTGAAAATCTGCTCGATGAAAAACTGCCCGACGATATGCGGGAATCGAAGCGACCAAAATACGAGCAGCGCTTCAAGACTGTGCTGGAAGGTGAGCGAATTAAATCCCAGTCTCCAATTTCGATTAATTTGCAACTATTCTTTTGTGCAGAGAAGCGGCACAATCACTTTGAGGTGCTGCCGGAGGGCTGGGTGCAGGTGACCCACAATAGTGGCATGCCGCTATTCCTGCATCGCAAGTCGCGTGTCTGCTGTGCGGCTCGACCCTATTTCTTGGGCACGGGCAGTGCACGCAAGCATGCTGTGCCGCTGGGAGCTATACCCTGTCTGAACTATCGACGCGCTCTGGACGAAGAAGCGGGCGTTGTGGAGGAGCCCGCAACGGAGGACAAAACGCAGACGACAGAGGAGGGGACTGACGAAACGATGCCCGCTTCTGTTTGTCCGGTGATGCATGCAGAAGCAATACCCATGGAGCTGGATGACAAAGAGAATAAAGACGCGTCTGCCGCTGTAGCCAGCACAGGTGACGCTCCCCAAAATGAGGCCTTGAAGTCGCTGATACCGGCGGCCAAAATCGTGACCGTCAAGGAGAACACACAGAAGGAGTCGGTGACACCGGATCAGCTGAACACCTACTGCCAGAAACTGTTCAAATTCAAGACGATTCGTGTGCTGCGCTTTCGCAGTTGGAATGCCCGTCGCAAATTCACCAAGAATCGCAAGAATATCAAGAATATACAACGACCAACGCTGCCCGACGGCACCAAGCTCATCAAGTTTCCCATTTTGGCGGCCGGCGGTGCTGACGGTTCATCAAATCCGCGCGGACGCCGCGAGTGGATTATGAATCCAAATGGCAAGAGTTTTGTTTGTATCTTGCATGAGTATGTGCAACATGCGCTGAAGACCCAGCCCACGTATGAGTTCAAGGAGCTGCAGAACGCTGCCACGCCCTATTCCGCAACGGTTTCCGTTAACAATCTCAAATATGGCACTGGCTACGGCACCAGCAAGAAGCAGGCCAAATCGGAGGCGGCACGCGAAACATTGGAGATACTCATACCCGATGTTAAGGACAAAATAACGGGCAACAACAAGGATCAAAAGACGGGTACGGTCAGGAAGACGCAAAGTGATTTGTCAGTAAGTGCATTTATTAACAGTTTGTGACTGACTCAACTCAACTCAATTGTGTTGCACAGGTTTTCGATGACATTCGCATCGAGGATCCGCGCGTGACCGAGTTCTGCAACAAAACGACGGAACCGTCGCCAAATGCCATTCTATTGACATGCCTGCAGCGCAACTTTGGCAGCGATGTGCAGATCACCCAGGAGATCAATCGCACGGCCAACAACAAAAACGAATTCACCATGACCGTTGGCAAGCACACAGCCAAGGTGGTATGCAAGAACAAGCGGGAGGGCAAGCAGCTGGCATCCCAGGCTATTCTGCAGGTAACTTAAATAAGGCAATGCCACCAATCTGAATAATAGGCGGATGGATCACTCCTGCACGCAAATATTGGCCACGGAATCAAAAAAAAAGTACCCTTTACACTCACAATCTGTATAAATTATAAGATTTTTTTAAAAAAATGGAACTCCGATTTAAGAATCATCATAAGTATACCTTGAATACGATTCTGACTATACGTAAGCATTTACTATTAAGTTACAGCATATCTGCAAGTCGGTCAATTAAGTCAATTTATACTCTTTTTATATATTGTTTTATAGGTACTGCATCCGCATATACAGACTTGGGGCTCGCTGTTGCGCCTGTATGGCAACAATTCGATCAAGACGTTTAAGGAGAAGAAGCTGGAGGAGCAGGAGATTACCGTGCTGCAGAGTAAGGCGGCTGTTAATCAGCCCAACCATGCCATTCTCGAGAAGCTCAAATGCGAGATGCTGAAGCTGAGCGCGAAACGCGATGGCGTCCACACCATGGGCACCTTTGTGCCGCCTAGTGATGTTGACTTGCCTACATCCTCCGGTTCCAATTTACACAACGTTGAATTTTAGTTGAATTCTTCTGCTTCTCTTTGGTTATCAACCCCCCCAACTGGCATGACAAACTGTGACACAGTTACTCTATGTGATCCATTAAATTATGACAAACAACAAATATAATGTGTACAACGTCGTGCATTTTTTTTTAGCATATTATCTACTTAAACACTTAATAAATTGCACATGATATTTGCCAAAATTCTAGTAACAATAAATAAATACGGATCTATAAAACTGAACTTTGACTTCCTTTTGAAATACGTCGAACTTTGATGGTGATCGCTTAAGGAATCTAGTGACATTTTCCTCAGCTATTAAATATATTAATAATGATAAATGCAAATAAAAAATGAATTATTTGTAATTACGCTTTTAAGATGGGAGTTTTCTTTTAGCAGGAACTTGCCATAAATTCAGACAAATTTAAAATTATAACAATTCGCATTGGTTTCCACGTGTATGGCCCGTGTCTATACATGCGTTTGTGTGTGTATTAATGTGTGCGTGCAATTATTTAAAAGACAATGCCATCATAAATTATGCTACATTTTCATTTCATTCTAACGCTTCGTTTTTTATCGCATTCCTCGGACACAACACACACAAACACAGGCACACATACAGGCACTCACCGACGAGAATAGGCACGCGCAAGCGAATTCGCCGCGCTGGGCAGCACTGTTTACTGCGCAACGAGAGCGCGCAGCATCAGGCTAAAGACGGCCAAAAAAGAAAAAAAAAATTGAAAAATGCCGTTATTCCTTTCAACCATCGCATGTTTCTTCAGTATTTGTTCGTTGCGTGTCGAGTGCAAAAGCAAGCGTTTGGCCCGTGAGCGCTCTGCCGCCAAATCCGTATTAATTAAATCACATTGAATTGAAAACACATCGAATAGCTGCCAAGGTGCCCAGGGAATAACAATCACAATCCCAATCGCAAAAAGTGTGAGTGGGTCAAGCAAGTGTTGCTCTATCCACGCCAAATTTATGACCCAAGCGGCATCAAAGCAGTGTATAAAGCAGCCAGACGCGCTTTCGTTTTAAAAAAAATTCACTGTTGCAAAATTGGGTCTCGCGTGAAAAACGGAATAAAAAAGAAAATTGAAACGGGTATACATTTTGACGTCGTTGCGGCTGCCGTTGCCGCTGTCCTATTCCTATTGTGTTGTCCCATGTATCATTATTACACACGCACACACACACGCTACACACTCACACACACACACACACTGGCACGCACACATACGCTTATAGAGCTATGTGTGTGAATAATGTTCGGCCTGCGCCATTCAAATACATGTAAATTATGTAAAAAGCGATTGGAATTTTGTCAACGCATCGCCCGGAATTGAAATCAGCAATAGCAGCAACAACAGCAACTAATACACACAAGGTAAGTGAGGCGCATCAGGCGCCAAGTGTCAGTCAAATGTTGGAAAATTCAATAATCCGCCACAGCGCACCAATAGCACTTCCCAACCGCCCCTCCACCCAACTCTTTAGCCCACCACCCCAAAATGGCATATCAAATGTGGTTCACTTTGCATTGGCTGTCGTCTGTTGCGTCGTCAAAAAACTAGGTTGACTTTTGGTTTTGCTTTGTTTGCCAATTCGCGCTATTTCAATATTTCGGTTTCGGTTTCGATTTCACTTTCAGCTAATTTCAGTAAATGAAAGAAAAACAATAAGCAGCAACAGCAAATGTTGACACATTTTGTGAATCTCTCTCATTTCCTATTTGTTTATTTATTTTGGGTACAATTGAAGTGGCCCAATCCATTGTCAAAGGTAGCTTCTTTCATATTGGATAAGTAAATTCGGCTTCTGATTTTTATTGGCCCAAAGGTAGCAGAGATGAGCGCACAAGCCCGAAATCAACAAAGTCCCAACAATAAATTCATATTTCAAGGGCTGTGAATAATAAATAAATAAAGTTAATAAGTTTTAAGCCTAATCGCTGCTTTCCTTCTTAGCTTTTCTTTTACCTTGTGCTTAATAGAAAGAAGATTTTCAATTCAAAATTCACACTGATTTTTTACCGAAATCCTTAGGGTCAGCGTAAGCTAGTAAGTTAAGCTGGATCAGCTATATAACTAAGCTATTTAATATTTATGATAAAGGCCTTTGTTGTCTATTAATTGTTGTATTTAAAAAAATATACGTTTAATTAAAAAAAAGAGATATTTCACATGATAAATAAATTCAGTTGCGACAAAGCTATTATTTTTCAAGCCTAGACATAATGAATAATTAATTCGTTGTTAGCTTGAAAATAATTTGTAGTGAAAATGCATTTAAATATATATTTAAAATAATGAATTTTTAATATAATTGAAATGCACAATTAATTAATTCATTTTAATATAATTCGAATGTACCTTATCTTATCTATGATACATTCATTGTTTACATATTAAATAATCAGACCACTTATCAAGTCATTTAGGTTCAATCGATTAATAGGAAAGCGCTAAAAAATTTGGGTATTTTCCTTAATATAGAATTACAATCGGGGATATTGTTTAGGTAGACAAAGCTGGATTATCAACGTTCATCCATTGTTGGACACATACTTTGAGAATGAAATCTAATTCAATGACAACCTGTTTACAAATTGTAAATAAATATATGTTCAATAGATGGAAACGACATACTTATATTAGAATAAATATTCATATGTTTAATGCTGATTATCAACACCTGCCGACTTGTTTGTATCTGTTGCTGTATCAAACTCTTGCTCTGTCCTAAATTTTTCCATTGTTGTCTGAATTTGCGGCTCCTTTGAGACAACAGGCTTTGGAGTAGACCTGCGATTAGGTAAGAGTAAGCCTTCCAGAACACCAAAGGGTGCCTCCATAATAATGTAAATGATGTAACATAGCAGCAAAGTAAAACCGAAACTACCCCAGAATGTCAGCATCTGTTGAAGGAGCCAAAAGGTTGAGTGACATCCGAGCACCGCATTATAAGTCTAATTCCACTTACCACATCATAATCAGAGTAGAAGGTGTTCGTTCGCATACGCCTTCCGTTTATTTGTTGTATGAATATGTGAAAGACATACGCAGAGTATGAGAGCTTCGTAAGAGGCTGCCACAATGGCGAGGAGAGGAAACTGTTGGCCAATCCCCCATAGCCATGCATGCAGGCAAACACCACCCAGCACAGGCTGAGTGGCCAAGCGATGCGGGCCAGTGTATAATAGGATGCCTCCGACAACATCGATAAATGTGGATTTAAGAAATCGACATATGGTAAGAGTACAAACAGCACGGTGAACATCAAGCCCAAACTGATCAGCCAGCCCAAGCAGACCGCAATCCAATTCAGTTGAAAGGACTTGTTGCGATTCACATGCACGAAATATCCGAAGAGTGCTCCGATTAACCAAGGAGCTGCATGCACGTGTGTTGCATAGTAAAGCCTACGTTGAGCCAAGTCAGGCGTGACTCCATTTCTGTAAAATATGATAATAATCGTATTAGCTGAAATCAAAGAAAGCTTAAGTAAGCTCCTTACTCTACTTGAATGGGATACTTCTTAATCATCATTGTGCTAAAGAGGCAGGCGGAAAGTAGTAGAATCAAAACAATCATTCCAGCTGCGGCTCTCTTTCCCCATTTGTACAAGGCGATGAGGAATATTGGAGATATAATATATAGTTGCATGTCCACGCCCAAATACCAGCTGTGATTAATGCACTACAAGGAGTCAAATTGGGGTCAAGTTATTCAGTTCGTTTAGGCTAAGATTGACTTACAGCATCTATGCTTGCATAGTTTTGCATGTATAGCAATGTCCAGAACCAGGTGCGCTTACAATGGTTATAGTCATCAAATTTAATGCTATCAAAGAGCGGACCATCTCCAAACAGGGGCAACAGTGTCATATACATGAGTATAGCCAGAGCTAAGATGGGTGTGAGGCGCAAATAGCGATGCAGATACATCAGTGGAACGTTAAGTTTACCCTTTGTTCTGATCGAAGGAAAGGAGATTAAATTGGCAATGATTGATTTGATTGATTCGCTTGTCACTCACTTCTCGAGGGAACGCAGCCCAATCGCTATCACCAAAAGGCCACTAAGGAAGAAAAATGTATCCACTGAGAATGCAGCGTGTAGAATCAAACTGGTGTAAGGATTCTCAATCCACTTGAAACGAGAAGCGAGCAAGAAAGAGGTTTAGTGCGACAGTCTGTTATATTTTGGCAATTACTGTGTCTTACATATTTTATTCGAAATTTATTCATATTCGGCGATAGCAAAGCGAATAGGTATTGATGTCCATAGATAACCCACAGCAAGGACATGCAACGCATGCCATACAAACAATCGATAACATTGGGATTCGAATTGGGCTGCACGAGCCGAAACAGCGCTCGGGAATTGGCGCGTGCCGAGAAGATCTTAACCAAGACGGGTAATTGTTCTGTAAATGAAATGAAATTAACAATTAAGGACTCTTCATTCTTAGTTCGCAACTTACTCTGATTCTCGCAGCATAAATAATCGTAGGACATGGCCAAGAGAACAGCAGCAAGCAAAAGTGAGACTAGAATACTGTTAACGAAACCAATTCAATCGAAATGTAAATAAATATTATGATATCGATTCAATACTCACATTGTGAATATAGTTAGACCATCGATAGGCTCTCGGTCGGACGTCCGACATCCGATCTCTCTTACCAACTCCTCCGTATTATCGTAGCTGGCAAGTTTTTCGAATAGTTTACCCAGAAATGTGTTAATTTGCTTTGCGGAGCAGGAGGCAGGAAAACAAACGGATGTCTGTGTGCTCAAGCCTAATAGCTTGAATGGTAAGTTGGCAATGCAATACTTGCCCTTTATCTTGTAGTTATCACTGATCGTCTTGGAGATCGCGATGCACTCGTCGTAGTTGCCCAAGTCTATGGAGTTGCCGTACAGAACACCCTTTGGCATTAGGCCCCATGAATCGAACACTATTACACTTAAGATAAGTTATCTGGTTCACCTAATTGTTTGACTCTACATACTCATTATGGCCCAAATGTTGCCCGAGGATAGTCCACTCATCAGCTGATTCATATCCGCTAAACACTGCAGCTCCTGCTGGCTGGGCAGTCGTTTGTTTATCAAACTCAAGTCATCCATTGTAAAATTTCTATAGTAGTGTTTGGTGAATTCGACTGCAAGTGGACGCATATCTATTATCTTCTTGTATTCCTCCTTGGCAATAAAGTCAGGTGGTTCCAGCTTCATGGAACTATCGGCAAAACTCAGCCCGCACAACACGAACATACACAGGATTTTGATCATGTTTAATGGCGAATCGGTTAATGAATTATGTGCCGGTTTCCCAATACTATGTCCATTATATACGCCTAAATATTCCAACCTTTATGACGATAAGCAGCTCGCTGATAAATTCGAGGTACTTCATTTAATGCATTATCTCAAGTCGTTCCAAGAATTAAACACGATCATTATCATTTTGGTATTGCTTCATTCATTTTGAAGTATAGATTTATTTGTATATTATAAAATACAAATCTATTTATATTAATATAACTAAATATTGTTGAGCAACTTGACACTTCTTGGTAAAACGTCGGAGCACGAAGTCCCCCAATGACTCATCAAAATAAAATATATTTAATTCTAATGAAAATTGTTTGCGGTCCTTTATATTAGTAAAGATTATATTAATTGCAGATATTCTATAGATATATATAATTATCAAACTTATATGTTAATTATGAAATCTTAAGATATCTTGATCCTTCTAACTTACCTCGCATAGCAGATAATCTCGCGGAATTCCTTTTTGAATACTCATCATTTTTGAAGTATTACATTTAATATCTTATCATTGTGTGTATAGAAAGAAGTGCTAATGAGTGATTCATGAATCAATCAATCAAGCCGCTATCAATTCATTCGATGACAATTTTAAAACGTTTTCAAAATGTTAGACTAGTAGTGATTAGATTAAAACGAAATTAATTACACAAATACAATACAATATATACGGTTTGCTGATTAAATACACGTGTATTCACCTAAGCAACAGTATTCACACTTAATCAGTGCGCGTTAATGGATTTGTTGTGGTTTCCGACTTTTGCATCTCGGCATATTGGTTTATCGGTGCGGTTTTTGACGTAGCGTTTGGGCATCAGCATACACTGTAGAACACCAATATTATGTTCATAAAATTTAAAAATGCATAAATTATAACTTTTATAAAAATAATTCCATTTACCACATCTGAGAAAAAGGTTTTAGGACACAAATTGTACCAAAGAATTCACAAATAGATTATAACAGAAGAAAGCCGCTTTGTTCAGTTTTATTACCAATTTATGAACTTTTCGATTGATATTATGAAAAGAGCGATCGGTTGCAATGCTTACCAAAATGGTTTTTCTTTCAAAAGTTTGATTCTTTTATTGCTTACTGAAAAAATGTAAGATTTCCGCATTCAATTTAAGCAGTCAATCTTTCCAGGAAAGAAAAATTAAACTGAAAAAAAACTTTAGCTTAAACTTGATATCTTATCAAGGCACATTTACTTTATTTTCACAAACATATACATATGCTTCTGTAGAATTCTCAAGAACTTAACACAAGCAAATGAATATCAGGAAATACTATCACAATCAATTTGCTTATTTGTTTATAATAAGCTGTCAACTGCCATGATTCAACCAGATTGTATTGCTGGAGGCATGTTATTGATGTAGGTCCAATTTTATAACCGTCAATGCCTTTCAGCCCTCTTTTGCGGAGATCTGATAGTGAACAGAAGAGAAGTTGGTTCGCAGCAAACAAGGAAGGAATTTTGAAAAACGACTCTCGCTTAAATAATACAGATTACGATTACTTTTGGACAGAGCAGGTGGTATAAAAATACTTATGAATTATCTTTTATGGTAGCTGTGTTTTTATTAAAAACGTAGAACCGAAATGAAATAATAATTTAACTAAATCATATAATCAAACAATTTCATGTTCTTCGTAAATTCGGAAACTTTTTAACACACATTTAATCCAAAACCCATGTTAATACTTAATTACTTAATACTTAATTAGCCAGAGTAGATTTAATATTTATAGTAGAGTACTGACTGTCTCTGAGCTCGCTGTTGCTATTATTTCAACCGGAGAAGCAGAAGTTGTCTTAGATTTCGCGATTTCTGCTTCCTGATGGATCTCAGCGGTGTTTTCGGGTTTTGGAGTAGGCCGGCGACTGGGCATAAGCATGGTCGACAGGACCCCAAAGGGAGCCTCAACAATGAGGTGCATCACGAAAGCTAACAGCACACTGAATCCGAATGTTGACCAAAACTTAATCATCTATTGAACGAATGTACGTGGAGTATCCGAAATTAATGTTATTTGACTTGATTTTCACTTACCATTTCGAAGTCGGAGAAAAAGGCGCTTGACCGCATTCGACTTCCGATTATTTGCTGCATAACTATGTGAAATATATAGGCGGAGTACGAGATCTTTGAGAGGGGCTGCCACAGCGGTGAAGAGAGAAAACTATCCGCCATTCCACCGTATCCATTCATACAAGCAAAAACCACCCAGCACAGACCCAATGGCCAAGCAATCCGTGTGAGCGTATAATACAAGGACTGCTCCAGCATACTTAAGGGTGACGCATGCCACTTAGAAGCCGGATATAGTACAAATATCGAGGTGAACAACAAGGCCAAACTGATAAGCCAGCCCAGCCAAACCGAAAGGTGGTTCAGCTTAAAGGTCCTGTTGCGATTCGCATGCAGGAAATATCCGAATAGGAACCCCAACAGCCAGGGTGCCGCGTGCGTATGTGTTGCAAAATATAACTTGCGTTGCGCCTCAACAGGGAGGTGTCCCTGTCTAAATTGAAATCAAATATGTAAAAAGTAAAAATAGTTGCATACCGAAATAGCAATGAACCTACTGTAAGCGAATAGGATACTTCTTTGTCATCATTGTGGTGAAGAGACAGCCGGAGAGGAACAGCATGAGAACAAAAATTCCAGCTGCACCTTTTTTGCCCCATTTGTAGAGGGCGATGAGGAATATTGGCGACAAAATATACAGTTGCATGTCCACTGCCAAGTACCAGGTATGGCTGATACACTATAAGAAAAGGGGGTTTGGGTAATCATCAGCATCCGGTTTTCCCAAAAGTTGACTTACGATTTCAGAGGTGGCATAATTTTGAAGATATAGTAAAGTCCAGAACCAGGTGCGCTCGCAACGTGAATAATCATCAAATCGGACTTTGTGAATTAAGGGTCCTTCTCCCAAATGGGGCAGAAGTGTCATATAGAAAAGAATAGCCACAGCCAGGATGGGAGTAAGGCGCAAATAGCGATGAATATACATGAGAGGCACATTTAACCTTCCCTTGGTTCTTATGATGGACAAAACATTATTGTAATTGTCAATCATTTGCTGGCGCTAAACTTACCTTTCCATGGCCCGCAGTGAAATCATTACCACCAACAAGCCACCGAGGAACAAAAAGGTGTCCACTGAGAACGCAGCGTGACTAACCAAGTTGCTAAAGGGCTCCTCGAACCACTGTAAAACGTAAATCAGCATTGAGCAAATGCATCTTCCATGTTTTGTATGAGTTTTAGCTGCACATGAAGGTTTAGCTGCACAACATACCCGGATAATGCTTATGCTGTTCATAGTCGGCGCCAAAAGCGCCATAATATATTGATGTCCATAGATGACCCAGATCAGGGACAGACAGCGCATTCCATTGAGACAGTCGATGACGTTGGGGTTCGTCCTGGGCTCCACAAGGCGGAAAAGAGTGCGAGAATTCGCGCGTGCCGAAAACGCCATTACAACAAGTGGCCTTTTACCTTTTGGGGTTTGGAAATTGGTTAAAGGATATCAGACTATAATGTCAACTTTGAATTACTCACTTTGATCGCCATAAAGGAAGTAATCGCAAAGTGTGGCTACAGCCAAGGCAGCTCCCATCAGTGATAAGAATACGCTGTAAAGTCAAAGAATTGCATAAGACAATTTAGTTATATTATATTCAGCACTTACATGGTAAATATGGCTAGACCATCGAAGGGTTCCCGATCGGAAGTCTTACAATTCTCCTCCGTCACTAATTGGGTATTAATATTGATACCAATAAGCTTTTGCAGCATCTGCTTCAGAAACATACTCATGTTGGTAGCAGAGCATGAGGCGGGTAAGCAAATTCCTATATTCAAATCTAAGGGAATGCCAAGCGATTTTAAAATAGGCAGTTTTGCCATGCAGTATTTGCCCTGTATTCTATATTTATCCGAGATTGTCTTCTGAATACCAATGCACTCATCGTAGTTGCCCATGTCATATATGTTTCCCATTAGCAATCCTTTTGGGAAAGTGCCCCACGAGTCAAACACTGTAATCCAAAGAAGTTAGATTTTGCCCTGCTGATGAGAGAATCTGACTCACTTTTTACTGACCAGAGCTTCCCAGATGCCAGACCAGTGGTCAACTGAGTCATATCGGCTAGGCACTGTAGATCCTGTTGGTTGGGAATTCGTGTGCTGGGTATATCCAAGTCTGTTTGTGTAATATTTTCGTAATGCTGGGCGAACTCAAAAGCAAGCGAGCGGAATTCCATTATTCGTTTGTATTCCTCCATCGTAATAAAATCACTCGAGTCCAGCTGTGTTGAGCTGACAAGTGCCAGTCCAAACAGCAAAAGCGTAACAATCATTTTGACCATTTCGATTGCGATGCGAGTTTCGCTTTGACCAACTTCAGGTAGCTGCCGTTGTTATGTACTCGCCAAATATCAGGCATTATATTGAGATAAGCGTTTCGTTCTAGGAACAAAAAGCGTTAGCCAGATATGGGTGAATTACTTTGACTTATCTTGACCTATTCAATCTACTGTATATTGCAACAGCTTCTATGGAATTAAGTTTTTTATTTTTCGGTGGAAAATAAGAATTTTTCCAAGGAAAATGTGGTAAATTACATTGAATATATAAAAAATGTGCAAATGCACCCAAAACTTCATCTATAATATAATGATATGTGACCACCACAACTTTGTCTATTTTAGAGACTAGTTTACCCTGAACACATTACAAATTAGTAAAATGAAGTTATAATGATCAGGATTAACAGTCGAGTCGATTAACCCATGTTTGTCTATTTACAATCGGATCTCAGAGACTGTGAAAACTAGAGACTTCAACATTTCGTTATAAGTTTTTGTTCATTATTATATCGGTAACTCTCGCGATTGGCAAATATCGATATAAATCGAATACGGGTTGCAAAGACTGCCACAATTTAAAGGGTATATAGTGTCAACTATTTTATATATTATATCTTTGAACTGCCACTGAATATATTTAATATATATAGCTGGATTCAGGGTCCTAGTCTAACTGTTTACAGAATTCTTATTTGTATTAAAGATGGTTCTGAGTCGAAGGTAATTTCTAGTTAAGCATGTTACTACTTAAAATAATATCAAAATACATAGATTAGTTAATACATTCTCGTACGTCACTTTTTTATCGGTCGCTCATCAGCTGCGTCGTATCAGTGAAGCACTTTGCCGTTTCTTCTGAATAGTTAATCCGAATAGTTAATCTGATTGAGTTAAAACCAAAATATGAGTTCGGTCGAAGAACACAAGTTAATTTTTTTCGAGAACTAGATTATATTTACATTTGGTTCGCTTATTAATGCTGAATTGATATTGTTATTGATTCGATTGAATTTTGATTCGATATCAATTTTAATTTGAACTGTCAGAGATAGTCGGAGTCTGGAGATAGTCGGAAGGTGGAAATTTACTCAGTTACACATTACAGTCAGTTATAAAGTCAATATCTTATCTACTGCTGATTAATTATGACTGTTAATCGGCTAATCAGCTGTGTAAAAGTTTCCTTAATTATACTTTTATCTAATAAGTATATAAAAACGTGGAAGTTAAGGAGGATTCTCTCATCACAAAATACTGAATGCCGAAAGAATAATAGTTCTCCACTTGATTTGGGGCACTTAACCTATCAATATTTCGTTGAAATAATTCAAGTTGCCTATTATAATCCCATAATATAAGATGAGCGCTTCATAGGAGCCTAAAAAAACATACAACCAAAAAAAGCTTTCCACTGTAAATACACATAAAACATTTCGCGGAAAAAAGACAAATTTAAAATAGGCTTAGCAGATCCTTGCGAAACTAAGCCAGGAAAAACAGCCCTTCGATTGGTGTGATTTTGAGCTCCGCATTATCCAGACGAAGAGAAAAATCAATAAACATTAATCTTGACGTGATTTTGCCTTTATCCAGCGCCATTTGCGTATTTGATGCTGCCAATTCCGGGGGTATTTGATAAAAGATTGAAGTTAAATAGAAAAAGCAAACCGCAATGCACGGCAAGGCAAGGGATTGCAATTATCATTACCAGGACCAGGCCCAGGATGAACCCCAGACCCCAGACCCCGGACCCCAGAACCCCTGGATGCCAAACTTATGAAAACTCAATTTCAATCGGAATTCACACGCTTGAAAGATGAGACGCCACCAAACTGGAGCACAATTATCAACAGTGCGGTGTCAGTGTGATGGATTTGCGTCGCCCCCTTTCTATACCACTTGACAAGATAACGTTGAAAATGATGGGGAAATTAGAATGCTTGTCAATATGTCAGCATTTATTTGCTCACATTGAAATGTGTGGAGTGGTGAAACGTGTTGTTAACGCTTTATAAAGATTGGCATGCCTGATTGCCTTATCAAACTGTTATTATTCACATTCCAGCCTAGTTAAGGGTTTGGAAGCGGGGTGGGTTGAGAACCAATCCACCGCAGGACCTTGAGGAATTTCCTCAATGTGAGAAGATATTTACATCGTCTGGTGTCACCTTGAAAATTTCATAATTAAACGCAGACACAGCCACACAAACTCGTCGCTGAGTTCAGTTGCAGATATTTACCTTAAAGAATTCTAATTAAATCATTGAAAAAGTTTCAGGACTTTGTGCTGATTCATGTGTACCGGCAGCTGCTACTTTTCCAAGTCGAGCCCCAAACTTTTCCCTTAGGGGCCAAAAGAATTTGCCTGATTTGTATACCCTGTGCTGCAAACACACACACACATATCAAATGACCAGCAATTGTGCTATCCATTTACATTGCTGTAGGGTATCTATAAGTTTGCCACTCGAAAGCCTTATGCTGAGTGTTACATGTTTTTTTTTTTTTTTTGGGATGTGTTTTGCTTTCATATTTGTTGTTGTCGAGTTGCCTCCACTTGTGTGCCGTCTAATTTGTGGTGTTTGCTTTTGGACTTTCGGCTTTGGCCAGGCAAAGAGCCGACGCTCTTTTGGCTTATGCAAAGCATGGTCTAAAGCCCTATATGTGCCGTTGCTGCTCGAGACTGAGACTGAGCCACTGGGCTGCGAGTGCGTCGGATTTTCCCAGTTTGCCCGGATTGTTGACGATGGGGGGCGACGGCAACGATGGTGGCAGCTTGGCAACCCGCTTATACCGTATCAGTATTTCATGTCCTAACACACTCACACACACCCGCAAGATTCATAGACTCATAAATCTTTAAGTATTGAATACCATTTTTGCATATACATAAGTAAAAACTCACGCCGAAAACTTTATCCAGCCACCAGACCCATCCAACAGCCGACTGTCCAGACTGGCCAAAATATTTGCAAAACTTTGCTTGAGGTGAACGCAAACAACATGGCGCCGAATACCAAACAGCTATGTACAAGAACATATGTATTTACACCCAGAAAAATATACATATCAATTGTCTATGCACTTCAAAATGACTTAACTTATCGCTTAAGCAAATTACGCTCAAGGGGAACATCATTAATATAATTTACATCATTTGTCCTAAATTCTTATTCAATTTGATTTCAAAATTATTTAATCAATGATACTCGTTTTACAACATCAATAATATTTGTAGAAATATAAGAAAAACTATGTAAAACTTAATGATTTATTTATTTACTTAAAACTTTATTTGGTTAGACAATTTGTTGACATATTATTTATTTATTTATATTTGTACATTTATGGCATCAAAGTACAATTAAATTGCAACATCTTTGCATAATTCACACAAGTTTCAAGAGAATTAAAATAGTTTTTCGCTCTAGAATTTTCTTAAATTATCATTTGCAATATTTCTTAGGCTAAAGTTGAAAGTAACGATTATTTACATGATTTTCTTTTTGTTGAGTGTAGAATCTTTCGCTGAGCGGCCGGAAACATTGGATGCCAATTTAGCAGCCGATCCGACGGAAGTGAGTGTAACAGAATCTGGTTGGGAGCAGGCTTGTCGCCACTGGCGGTCGTTTTTTGGCCTGCCTCGGCGCGCTGGCCAAAATCCACCATAATAATGTTGTATCTACGCACACATATTTAAAGCTAACAGCCCGCATATATAGGCCCCATATGCTACAAGCACTCGCACAACACTCACACACATATAACACATATAACACAACAAACACATAACACACTCGGACAGCATACGCACTCGGCTTGTAAAGAGTTCGTATTGGTAGAGGAAATATACTCGTATTCATGAAATGGAATAACTAATGACTTTATGCTAGAAGCGTGTTTTGTTAATTGCATTTGCTAAAAACGAGTCACAGTTGTACTTGAGGGGCGGCTTTTGGGTGGCTATCTGGTTGGTCAGATGTGGGATGTGTCTATATAAACATAGTTAACAGTAGTTGGCTGCCATTTGGTGGCAACTTCATCGCTCGCTCACTTCAGCCAGCTTCTGTGTACACTGAGTTCAAGTTGTTATGGTTATGGAGCATTAAATGCGAAAAAAATTTCAATAGCCGTTGCTGCGGCCACCGAAAACTTAACGAAATGAAAGGAAGCCAAGCGGCAAGCCCATAGATACAACCACAACCGCATTTAGAGCCGCAACAAAAACAACAACAGCAGCAGTAGCAGCAGCAGCAGATACAACAACAACAACAAGTCGACAGACCGCGGCTAATGAAACCGCAGTTGATTTGGGAATGGGAATCGGATGGGTAAAATGTGTATAAGACGAAAAGAAAATCGCTTCTCAAGTAGCTGGCAACATCAACGCCGCTCCCGCACAGTGGTTGCCATCAGTTTTCTACCGGTATGCAATACAATTTGTCCAAGTTCTCAAATATTTTGTAGGTAATCGATAATCGATAGTCGATAATTCGATTTGAGGGCTTAATTTTAGTCAAACAATAATTTCGAACTCCGAGGGGTTAATATCTATGTGCTAAGGGCATGCAAATCGAAACACTAAAATATATTTAAACAATTATTCAACAGTGCTGATAAAAAGTAATCCAAGTCAGGTACCTAGCAACATGACATAATCGATAACCGATAGATTAAAAACCACTTGAACAGAGTTCTTTGTAAATAGAAATTTAAAATTTGTATAAAAAAGATTGTCTAATTTAACTATTAATATATTTTATTAGATGCTAACAACTTAGGACTTTATCTTAGTGTTTCACTACTTTGGTGGCTTCTGCTCCTGTGGCAACTGATTGCATCCACTGTATCCGCGTGATGGCTTTCCGGAGGTTGAAGCTAGAGGTTCGGCCACTGATGATGGCGACAATTTGCCAATGCATGCGATAAGCTGTGTAGGCGTCGGTGCGATGTGTGTGTGTGTGTGTATGTGTGTGCGTGTTTGGGTGTGTGTATTTTGGGCTGTTTTTGTTGAGCCGAAATCGAGTGTCAGTGGCAATGGATGTGCAAAGAGACGAAGATTGAGTCTTTGTTATCTTAGTAAATCGTCAACTTTTGTGTTCGTCAAAAAGCACACATTCCTCTGTCTACAATCGATAGACGCTTGACTAAGTGAATATACATAAGCATCCACTATGTGTATTTGAGTGTATATTTTTGTTTTGATACAATTTGCTGCTTGTCGAGAATAGCCAAACATAATTTAATGAAGAATGCGTCTGCTCAACGAGCTTCATATGTATATAATACATATTGTGAATTCAAAATTTTATGTTTTTTCTTATACGTTTATGCTTCAACTGGTCCAATTAGTTACGCAAATCAGCACAGCACAGCTCTTTACAGAGGCAAACACTGCTGCACTTGATGCACTCCCTCATCAAGTTAATTGGCTGAACTCAAAGTAAAAATGTCGAGAAATTGTCCATTTTGCGTGCCCAGTCTTAAATATATTTAAATAACAAAGTCATTAAAGCTTAATAACACAGCAACAAAAATATATACGACAACAACAACACTCGAATTGGTCAACGCAAATGGAGCATTCAAATGGAGACGATGGGTCTCATCCCGACAACATGTGCCACAATCACGTTAGTGTTTGCCTGTCTCCGTATCTGTTTGCGTACATGCTTTACACGAGTGTCTCCAAACAGACAAACATCCGTATACGGCGCATACGGGAAGCCAGACGGCGGGGAAGGGGGATAAAGCGGGGACAGTCACGTCCTGTCGTCCTGGCCGAAATGTGCCTGTCGGGTAAGCACTTGAGCATCATGGTCGACTTCCTCGACGTTCAATTTGTGCACTTAAATTCATTTCACTTTAATTACAAAGGTATTCCGTTTAATATTTGATGGCTACTGCTGCCAGCCCAGCTGCTCTGCTCTTCTCTGCTCTTCTCTGCTCTTCTCTGCTCTTCTCTGCTCTTCTCTGCTCTTCTCTGCTCTGCTCTGCTCAGCTCTGTTGGATGCCTTCATCTGCTTAATGTCTATCGTCATCGTCATTCCCGACGCTGTTTTCGTTGTTGCTGCCATGCATGTTGTTTTATTACGTTTATTATGTTTGGCATGTAAACATTTTTACAGCAAACTGAATTAGGGTATATGGATGTTCATATATTCATAAATTGTTGTATATTTTACCCTGCCTGCCACCTACCACCTGCCACCTGGCAACAGCCCAGAGCTGTAGTTAAGATTTACAAATATTAAAAGCTCAACAACTTTTTGAAGGCTTTTTCGCACTTTAATAACGGCTTATGGTAATGAAATTAAAATCTGATTTCAGTTAACATTTAGGTTACGCTATTAGCAACCCCCCTCCTCCCATATCGAAGCGACCCGACGCCCTTGCCTGTTGCTAATGACACTTGAACCCATGTGGGGGTAAACCTTTTAATTTTCTCATTGTGGGTGTTTGGCAAATTGAGCTGCAGCACAGCACAAACCGAAAAATCAAAATGGCATATTGGAAAATTTGGTAACGGATCCGATGACATAAAACGGCCTTAACATGGCCAGGCAGACTAAATAGGCAGCAACAAGCTGACTTTGTTCGCTGGTGCCACCACATCCACCACATTGACAAAGTGGCACGAGATGCTCATCAAATACCAGCCAAATGGTGTAAAATGCCTCATTGAATGCTGCGCGAAGTCTCAAAGCACTACTTACCTTATGTATGCAGCCATATACATGCATATTTGTGTATATATACATATATATGTATATAGTGAAGTGTATATATTTGCCAACGTCTACAATGAAAAGAGCACTCGCAGAAAAACGTTGCTCTTGACTCAAGTACAAGGGACTGAGAATTCTCCTCCTTCTCTCCGGTTCTAGGAAAGAAATAGTCTATTCTTAAAGAAAATAAAGTCACTCAACTTGAAAAAGAATTTTTAAATTTGATTCTTGGCTTGAACATTTAATGACTTTAAAATTAAGTGCTTCGTAATTGAAAAACAACTTTTAGATCAATGACAAAGTACTTAGTATAAGCGTAATTTATTCGAATTCAAGGAACTAGAGGACCTCAATTTAGGATGATGTATGAACTTATATGAAAATCTTGAGTACTTAAAGTACGTACTCATTAACTTTACTCATTAATTATCAGATGATTTATAGATTTATTTAAGAATTTAAGTATTTAAGAGACGAACTAAATATCTTACTCCAAGTTTCTTTCCATTTTTCAAATTGTTTTCGAATACTAAACATGTAACGAATTAAAAACAAAAGCTTAATTTTTCTTGGCTTTTAATTGATTTATGTAACTGTGACAAAATGCACGACTGATTTTTCCAAGTGCAAGATGAGGCGAGTCTGTCTGCTTGTCTACTTGGCATTGGGTGCGAAGCGGGCCGCCGATTCTCCGGTTGCTTTTTCGACGATGTCGTTGCCGTTGCCGTTGTCGTTGACGTCGCGACCTGCGTTGGCCTCGTCGCAATTGCTTTTTGGGGTTGCGGCGCACAACAAAGAGATCGGGGTGGTGCTAGGTGGTGCTGCTCTAAGAACGTGCGTTACTGAGATTTGTAATGCTCTCCATGCCCACCTACGACGCCTAATGTGCGGCATGTATATATGGTGTCTGTGTGTATGTATTTGTTTTACAGCATTGCAAGCAGGCGTTGATGGTGGGGTAGTGGGGTGGTGGGGTGGGTGAGCAGTAGCAGCCGCTGCTTTTTATGTGACCATTTCGACTGTGCTGCGACTGAGTTCGTGTTCATTAACGTTGCTATTACATTTTAACACACCGAATCGGAATGTGTCCCGTCGTCGACGTATACATGTATATATATAAATATATATATATATATATATATATATATACCTCACCCCTAATGTCATCCCTCTTGCTAACGGCTCTTTGCCTTGCGTTTTACTTTCATTTGTCGGTTCGTTCATTTGTTGAGTTTTTGTGTTCTTGAATGTTGAAATATCCTGTTTAACTTTATTTCATTTTTCCACAGCATCCGACACGTGCCTTCCACACGCACACCCAAGAGTTTTTAGATATGTGTGTGTGTGTGTATGTATGTGGTTGTGTATGTTTTAGTTGGTACGCATAAATTTTTACGTTTGTTGTTGTCTTATCAGATCATTTAAGGCGCTTGCTGCTGGTTGGGGTGCTGTGGCGAGGTCGCCACCTCGCATTACTCTTGTTATTTGCATGTTGTAGAAAAATATCAATTTGCGCACCTCCGACGTCGACGTCGACGTCGACGCCAGCGGCAACCGTTTAACATTTTCCGCTATTTGCTGGCCTATTGTGTTCTCTGTGTGTGTATGTGTGTGCTACCATTTATCAATGGCTCGCAGCATACAGACATACACCCTATCTAAATGTTGTGCAAATGCTTGGCAAGTGCGCCCATTTTGAATCTGAATTTATAGCGTATGCTGGCGACGTTACGTATACGCAATTTATGTAATTCGTAGCGCTATTTGCATAACTATGAGTACTTACGCGTATGTCCTTGATGCTATTGTCCTCTCCGGCCGATATAAATTGCGTATGACCTGCCGAGCAT